TAGTAATATAGAATATTCTCCCTCAAGAAAGACTTTAGGTGACTTTTTGAGTGGTGTAGAATGTATGTCTTTTAAAGCCCATTTGTTTCACTAGATATTTGTAAATGAAGTGGCCATTATAGAGGTAGTCCTCGATTTGCAACCATAACTGAGCCCAAAATTTCTGTTGCTAAGTGAGACATTTGTTGAGTTTTGTCCCATTTTACGACCTTTCTTGCCTCAATTATTAAGTGAATTGCTGCAGTTGTTAAGTTAGTAACATAGATGTTAAGGGAATCTGGTTTTCCCATTGACTTTGCTTGTCAGGTCACAAAAGGTGATCACATGACTCAGGAACATTGCAACCATCATAAATATGAGTCAGTTACCAAGCGTCTGAAATCTGATCAGGTGACCATGGGAATGCTGCAACAGCCATAAAGTGTGAAAAAAGATCATGTCACTTTTTTCAGTACCATTGTAACTTTGAACAGTCACTAAATGAACTGTTTTAAGTCAAGAACTACTTGTATAATGTAATGGTATGGTATCTAGAACCTTGTTTTGATTTTTTCCCATATCTGTAATTAGATTTGTCTTAATGATGGCTATTTTATATTGTTACCTTGCTGGAATAATTTTTTCTAAATGGGGTACTTCAAATATTTCAACTATATAAATGAAATCTAAATATTGCAACTATATAAATGGTACAAAAATGAAATGTGAATGGGGATTCAATTACAGCTTTTTACTTGTGTATTATTTCCTGGCATTCAACATTCTAAGGCTAGTCTTTTTCTAATAGTTTTGAACACTTTTGTCAATGATAGAATACCAATGTTAAATATTAAATCAAAATCATTTCTCCTAACTACTGTTCTAAGGAATGGCATTATCTCTTATTACAATTCAACATCCATGTTATAAGAACTTCTAAGCTGAGTGAGAAAAGAATAGGGTTTGACCGAACCTGTTTGATTTAAGCTTTAGCTTTTCAAGTTATGATTTGTGTTTCTTTTTAGCTTCTACAAGAACTAGAAATATAACTTACAGATATATTGAGATACTTATGCAATACAACCTAAATGAGAGAGTCAACCAATTTGAACACTGTTGTATGTTGAGTACACAATTTGTCATAATCTTTCTTGGGTTAATCATATGGAGAGAATTAGAAGGCAAGGAATGTGACATCCAGAAGTTACCGCCAACTGGAGAAAAAAGGAAATGATAGATTTCTTCCCAATTAAAGGCTGAAAATCATCATGCTTCCTTTTTCACTGTTTCACTTCCTTTTTACTAGGAGAAAAAGAGAAGTTACTTGGCTTCCAATTTAATTCCAGCAAAAATACTACAGTTTTAGCAGCAAAAATCCAACAGTTCTACTTTTCATTTCATTATATTCTTCTTTGGATGAAAGAGGTTGAAAATGGTTGTCTACAACTGTATATAAGGGAGATGTGGATATGTCTGCTGTGCATGTAAATAGATGTATCATCAAAAAGCTTTGTGCAAAACACAAGGCTTAAATTTTTCTACCCATTTCTTTGAATTTCCTCATTTTATAAATCTTTTGTTTTTCTTGTGTGTTTTGTCTTTTTTCACAGGTTCCTTATTAAATTGTCTACTTCCTTTAGTTTGCTATCTCATGCTTGCTTATCCCAGTTGTCAGGTATTCTATATGTTTAATTTTAGTCCCTGCCAAATAAACAACCATTCAGTTTAGTTTCATGAGCAACTGAATATTATATAAATATATACCATCAAGAAAACCATCGATCAGAGGTGAAGGATTTATCACTACTACTGCACTACAATGTGTATAACCAGAAATACCTATGAATAATTTAGTTTTTGTTGACAAATTCAATAATTTTTAGTCTTATAACCACTTGGTTCTGCTTTAAGTTGCCAACCTATGTTTAAAAAATATTCTGAAACTTTCATTTAATCATTGTAAAACTAGTTTACATATGAATTGGATAATTAAATTTATAGTGTAAGGGCAGGATAAAATATTTTAAGTTGCAGAGAATTTACACTGAGCTTGTCAGCTGAAAAACTGACAGCCTGGGTTTGCGACCTGAGTGCTGCACTACAGAGTAAGCTCTCGTTACTTGCCCCAGGTAGCAATTCAAAAGCATGCAAATATGAGCAGATAAATAGGTACCATTTGGTGGAAAGGTAACATGCTGGCCACATGACCATGGAAATGTCTTCAGAAAATGCTGGCTCCCTTAGCTAAGAAATGGAGATGAGCACTGCTCCTTAGTGTTGGACACGACTGGATAAGGAAAATCTTTACCTTTTTTAAAAAACAATATTTATATTATAATGTATTTATATATATAAAGAAAATAAATGCAGTATATTCAAATTAAAAATCATAAATTTGGAAGATATATTTACATACAATAATTTTTAAATGTCTTTTGTACTTTAACAATAACTTTAACACAGTCAGTACCACAACTATTCTTGCTGTCATCATTTTAACTGCATTAAAAGAAAGAAAAAAATTCTCCTCACCAATCTTAAATTGGACACATGGAAAAATAAAAAACAACCAAATCTTTAATGACAAGGATAAAACACAATTGTTTTTAATTGTGTTTTCTGCCAATTCATTCTTTTTAAATATTATGTACCATATTTTAATTATTTGGAATTGAAATACAGAAAGCAAATTTAATAAGATACTAGACAAATCGTGACCTGATATGTCATCATTTCAGAAATATTTCTCTACTAGATTCCTTCAACAATGTCAGAGCTTCTTACATAATTGAAAGCTTCTTTAAAATTCAGGGAAATATTTAGAGATGTATCTGCCTTCAAAGTAGCCCATGCTGAACTGGATAGTACTGCCAAGCATCAGGAATACACATTTGTATTATGTCATAAAACCTTTAATTTGTATTACTGTATGTCATAGAACATAATTTTTATGTCATCAAATTTTTATACAATTTGCCAAATTTCAAACACACTTGAGTTATGCATCCTGGATTTTGGGCACATTCTGTACATTAGGCCATTTCAGCTCATTTTTAAACTTCCTTTAAAAATTGTTGCTCTATGATGCATTATTTCATCCACCTTAAAGATTACAGATATAAAAGTTTTAGTAATATATAGATGTCAATAATAATGTACAATATTATGTTTATACATTATATTTCATAAAGAAAGAATATTTTCCTTTCTTTTTCCACATTACTAGCTACTGAATTAAACTGAATAATTTATGCTTCCTTTACAAAGTGTTTTTACATAAGTTCCTCTCTTTTTAAAACAGATGTACTTCAGGGATACAAGAGTAGCTACTTATTCCCACCAGGTTTTAATTCCATCATTTTTTTTTTCTTAACTAAGAAGGAAAATGTTTCCAATATGTTAAGACCCTCCCTGTTTTTATTCCTAAATGAATTTTCTTTTGGAATAAGTAGGATGACAAAATTCTTCCAGGAATACTCCCGATTTTATACCAAAATTAAAACCACAGATGTTGAATTAGTTTTTTAAAAAACATAAGCAATATACAATACGTTAAGACTTTCACTTGAGTACATTTATTTGGATTACTTATCAATTCAATTTTGTTTATGTAAAACACATGGACATTAAGAATTTGCACCATGTTTAATGGAAAAAAATATTGTGTTCACAAGCATGAGTGCCTTTTATTGCCAAAACCACCTGTTTGTTGCTTACATATGACTCACTGATTTCTTGGCCATAGAGACATTTCTCTATATTTAAGTATTTATAATAAGTTCCAAGTGACTCATAAAAAAAATTATGTATATTCACGCACAAACCTGTGCGCATGCATACGTGTGTGTGTGTGTGTGTGTCTTTAAGTCATGTAAGTAGGAATCAAGAGAAAGTAAAAGAAAAGCAACCCCCTTCTTTCGTGGTTGAAGACAACAAATTGGGAGAGCATCAGTTTACAGATATTTAAATAACACTTATTTCTAAGAATCAAAATGGTTCTTTACTATATAAAACCACTAGATAAGAAAAGAACAAAGAACCAATAACAACAGACTATAATGTAAGTGCAATACTAATGCAAAAATATATAAGATAGATAAGACTGGGGAAAGCAAGCAGTTCAATTTTCATAGATTCAGCAGTTTAATAGTACTTTCACCTTCATTAAGACAAAAACTTCAAAACAATATAATAAGATTCAATGGCCCATTTTATTAAGGTTCATGAAGGTCCCAGTTATCTCTAACAAAGATAGTTAAATGGTACTAATACATTCTTCATCCCAAACGTCTATCTGAATGATAAATTGTATAAATTAAGATGCTCCATGCCATCTAATACTACCTAGATTTCCTATTTAATGCCTTCACTTTAAAACAGTGTAATAGTAGTTTCAAGATACAACAGCAAGAAAATTAATTATTATGGAAGTAAAGGAACAGATTATAAAATATAGGTCATTTAGTGAAAGATGAATATACCTTGTTTCCCCGAAAATAAGACCCTGTCTTATATTTTTTGGAACCCTGAAATAAGTGCTTGGCCTTATTTTCGGGCAGGTCTTGTTATTTTGGGGTATGTGGAGCAAGATGGGGCTCCTCTTGGCATCTTACCTGATTTCCAGCTCTGTGTTTAAATATTTTCGGGGAGGGCTTATTTTAGCACATGCGCTCAAAAGCCCAATTGGGCTTATTATCAGAGGATGTCTTATTTTCGGGGAAATATTTTTGTTTGTTTTTATGTTTAGAAAAAGCTATCTAACTGCTATAAAATTAATATATATATTTCTGAAATTTTCAAAAGAAAAATATGACAAATATTTATATATAGATATAAGGTAAAGTCTCCTTCAAATTGAGATTGATTGCTCAACACATCATGAAAACATCTATTTAGCTTTTTTGGTAATTATATAAAATGGTTTGCCATCCTTCCGCTGGATGTTTTTATTTTCTTGTGTAACACACAATTCTTTATTAATATTTTAAGTATTTTTACAACTGAGTCTCATTTTCTTTCAGATTAAAAAAGCTCCTTGAACAAGATGCAGTTTATCAAGCAAAAAGAGAAAAGGAAAACTGCAAGAAAATAAACAAACTGAAGGAAGAGCTAATAAAACTGAAATCATTCACTTTAATGCTAGTGGATGAACAACAACAATTAACAGAAGAGCTGAGTCAACAAACTGAGCAAATTCAAAATTTAACCACCTCTGCAGAACAAGCACATGAAAAAATCTCCACTGCAGAATCAAAAGCCCAAGAACAGGAGCAGAAAGCTCTCAGGTTGGAAGGAGAACTTCAAACACAAATCAGAAAGGCTTCTCAAGAACAGGAAGCTACAATGGCCAAATTAACCAATGAAGAGAGCCAACATCGCCAGCTCCGCTTAAAATTAACAGTTCTTAGTCGACAGGTTGATGAACTTGAAGAAACTAACAAGTCCTTAAGAAAGACAGAAGAAGAACTGCAAGATCTAAGAGAGAAAATCAACAGAGGAGAATGTGGAAACTCTACCCTTATGTCTGAAGTAGAGGTGCTCCGGAAAAGAGTCCTAGAAATGGAAGGAAAAGATGAGGAACTCATAAAATTGGAAGAGCAATGCCGAGAGCTTCATAAGAGACTAGAAAAAGAAGCCACACAAAGTAAAAATTTTAAAGTAGAAGTTGATAAACTCAATAAAAGAATTATGGAGCTTGAGAAACTGGAGGATGCTTTCACCAAGAGCAAGCAGGAATGTTCCTCTTTAAAATGTAACCTAGAAAAAGAAAAAAACATTAACAAAGCAGCTGTCACTGGATCTTGATGGCCTAAAAGCTCGCATAGGAGAGCTTGAAACCACTGAGAATAAATTAGAAAAAACAGAGTTCATACTTAAGGAAGATATGTCTAAATTGAAATCATTAACTGTAATGCTTGTAGACGAAAGGAAAACAATGAATGAAAAAATAAAACAAATGGAAGAAAAGGTACAGACTGCAAATCTACAGCTGCAGTTGGAACAAAAAAAAGTTATGTCAGTCACAGAAAAATTGATTGAAGAGAGTAAGAAAGCATTAAAATTTAAAAATGATGCTGAAGAAAAAATGACTAACCTTACAAGGGAGAGAGATGAATTGAAAAACAAACTGAAAATAGAGGAAGAGAAGGGAAATGATCTCTCCTCTAAAATGAATTTGCTAAGAAAAAAGCTTCAGTCCTTGGAAACCATAGAAAAAGAATTTCTTAAAAATAAACTTAAAGAGACAACAAAACCTAACCCAACTTTCCAGCAAGAAAACAACAAGATTAAAGAACTAGTTCAAGAAATTGAGAAGCTGAAACATAAACTGAAAGAAATGAAGGCCATAGAAGATGATCTCATGAAAACTGAAGATGAATTTGAATCTTTAGAACGCAGATATGTTAACGAACAAGACAAAGCCAGATTTTTATCAGAGGAACTTGAGATAGTGAAGAGAGAACTGGCACGATACAAGTTAGCAGAAAAGACAGAATGCAACCATGAGCAGAGATTATTCAGAAAACTCAAGGAAGAAACAGCCAAGTCAGGTCATCTTTCAAGGGAAGTAGACGCACTGAAAGAGAAAATTCATGAATATATGGCAACAGAAGATTTAATATGTCATTTAAGAGAAGACCAGAGAATCTTGCAAAAGAAACTTACTCAACAAGAAAATAAAAACAAAGAATTAGGCAGAGAAATGGAAACTCTTAACGAAGAACTGCAGAGGTATAGGCGTTTCAGTAAGAGCTTGCGACCAAGTCTCAATGGAAGGAGAATCTCTGACTTACAAGTTGCCTCCAAGGAAGTACAAACAGAGCCAGTTGACAATGAACCACCTGATTATAAGAGTCTAGTTCCTTTGGAACGGGCTGTCATAAATGGACATTTATATGAAGAGAGTGATAATGAAGATGATGATAATGATGATGAATCAATGATATCTTTCAGTAATTCTTCAATTGCAAATGTAGCTAATAACAGCAAACTTTGGATCCCCTGGATGAAGTCCAAAGAAAGCCACATTCAAAATGGAAGAATTTATGCCAAGCAGAATGGGAATTGTATTCAGCCTGGAAATTTAGTTTTAAGCCACACACCAGGCCAGCCTCTTCATATAAAAGTCACTCCAGATCATGAGCAAAACACAGCCATGCTTGAAATAACAAGCCCAACTTCAGTGAATTCTCACTCTTTTACTAGTACAGCTGTGATACCCAATTGTGGCACAGCAAAGCAAAGAATAACTATAATTCAAAATGAGTCTTTAACTCCTATAAAATCTAAATTACCTGATGTCTACCCAGCTCAAGAGCAAGCCATGACACCTCTTACTATGACCACTTTCGCTAGATCTCAAATACCTGAATCATGTGCTTCTGTAATAGCTGAAAGAACAACGTCTCCTTTGGCTTTGACAAGTAGAAGTTCCCCTGAGCAGTTACTTTCACCAGTGTCCTTGGAAATGATTGACAAGCATACTGTCTTCAAAATATCCCCCGAAAAACAATCATCTGTGCACTTTCAAAGATCTAACAGTTCTAATTCAAATGTAATAACTACTGAAGATAATAAAATACACATTCATTTAGGAAATCCTTATGCACAAACTATTTCTAATTCTATAAAAAACAATAATCCTTGCACTCCTGTGCAAGATAACAGAACTCCAAATGGAACACCAAGTAAATCTGTCAACAAAATTACCAGCAGCATCACTATTACACCAACTGCAACAAGTCTCCCCCGACAGTCACAAATTACAGTAAGTAGTGTCTACCACTGACTTTTCCTAATTCTGCTGACATCCATATCACTATTGCAAATGTATGCTCTCCTTCCCAGGAAGACTATTTTTGGGACAACCTTAATGAGAAATTGGGACAAATTCTTTGCATGTGTCAATAACAGGATACAAAACTAACTTGCTGGCTTGTCTCAATAATCATATGAATTGTGCACTTACTATATATCTGTTCTGTTAAGTATTTTCTGTTAGATACCTAGATATGTAGCTGTATAAATGCAACTTCATGTATTTATATTTTTACTATTAACTATTTACTATTAGTTCATCTTGCAATCATTTCACTGACAAAATTTAACATAAAACAGTAAATATTTTTCTAACCATTGCCTGCAAAAATCATTTTATTTTTATTCTTGTGTAAAAGTTTAAAGTAAACCATGCATATTTATTTTTAGTCTTTAGTCGCCTCTTTTAATCTTTTAACCAGATATTAATTTTTAGTCAGTCTGTTGACTGGATTTGCTGTGAGCTTAATATAAATATTTTCAGATTGGGCATTATATAAAATTGCATGTATTTTAAATGGTGATAATGAACTTAAATGAGACTCCAGAACACTGTACTAGTTAAGTGAGCAACCTGAGAACCAGATGGTTGCTTAGATATAATTTGAACAAGCTGATAATTATCTGGTTTAAGCAGTCTTTCCTAGCTCACTACCCATAAATAAGTAAAGACTACAAATCCCAGAATTTCCAGACAACATATCCAAAATTGGCCTGAAATGTCTAGAAGGCAACAGGTTTTGGAAGACTGAAGTAGAACAATATAAGCCTCTTGGTGGGTTTTTTTTTTAAAAAACAGCCTTCAGTACAGGCTGTTTTAAAGATTTGATACATGAAATGTTTTCAGTGATTAGGAGGAGCGAACCCCTATCAAAACAAAATTAGCAAAATACTTTTTGAAAGATCAATGTTTCTCCTGCTTATTTTTCCTTAAACATAAATTAAGATATAATACCCAAGTTGTTTAAAGCCAGTAATTTCTTTTACCCCATATTTCTAGGAATATAGGAAACTATCTCAGATGTGATTATTTATTCATCTAGCCCATTATTCTCTACATCAGACTTTCCCAATCTAATGTTCTCCAGATGTGTTGGAAATCAACTCTCATTTTCCCTGCTATCATGCTATCACCCCTGCTTGATGTGAAGTCAAGGAGATGATATCATTCACTTGGGGAGGCTGATCTCTAAAGTCTCAGGCAAAGAGCCATCTAATCATATTGTATTTGATTTTTTTACATGGAGATGCTAGGTAGTCTCATATCAAGAAGATGTGAACATTTTTTTAAAAAATAGAATAGGTAGTTTTGATAAAACAGGCAAATAATCTAAGAACAATTAATCAGTGGAATGACTTGCTTCCATAAGTTGTGGCTATTCCAATACTGGAGATTTTTAAGAAGCGTTTGGACAACCATTTGTCTGAATAGTATAGATTGGGGTGTCAAACTCACATCATCACGGCAGTGTCATGTGATGTATCAGGACTTTTTCCCCCTTCACTAAACTGGGCATGTGATGCATCCAGCCCATGGGCCATGAGTTTGACAACCCTGGTATAAATTTTTCTGCTTGAGCAGGACGTTGGACTAGAAGATCTTTGAAGTCCTTCCAACTCTGCTATTCTGTTAATTTAAGAGAAAAGGAATAAATGTATTAGGGATATAAGATAAGCAATATTTTCTTGGTACTGTAGTTTGAGAATAGATAACTCTTGAGATGTTGCTAGGAGCCTCTCTTCTGAAGCAACAAGGGGGAAATCAGCTACAGTTGATTCTTAATTAGTATTAGTACTGATGAATATTCACAAGAATACTAAACAAACAACATAATAGTCAAACAATATAAAACAATTACAACTCTTCATTTCAGTTGACCTAAATCTTCAATTTAGTCATTTATTTAAAAAATGATTTATCAAATTAATTTATATTGCCACCTATTTTTTTTTTTTTTTTTTTGCAATTCCAAGCAGCTGACCCACAATTTAAAAAACCCACAGTAAATAGCAAATGAATAGGAGAAAATCGTACAAATATAGGTAGCACTTGAAGCCCCCACAGCTTAGCTCCAACCACACAAATAACACATAAAATAGTCATCCATACCAGGGGAACTGGTCATAACTCACTTAACTGTGTGGCTTAGCAATGGAACTTCTGGACTGAATTGTGGTCGTAACTCAAGAACTTTCTATATTTAATATTAAGCCCATATCTCCTTCAGTACTGCAACAAATTGATACTCTAGTCCAGGAGTGTCAAACTGGCAGCCCATGGGTCGGATGAGTCATGTGCAGGTTACGCCCACCTGAGCTCTGAAAAGGCAAAAAACATCACGATATATCACATGATGGCAACGTGACACCACAAGTTTGACACCCGTGCTCTAGCCTGTGTGCATGTGTAATTCACAAAGATTTACTCAAGATCAGCTCTTATGAACAATTTATTTAAATGCACAGAGAAAGATGATCACAGAGAAAATATTTAAGATCTTTATTTCTATTCAAAATGCCAATTCTGTACCAAATACCATGTAAAAAACTATCATAATATTACTGTAATCGGCTGGCAACAGATGATGCCAATTGCCTCTAAGATTCTTCTACTTTTAACTTAAATATAGGGTTCTTCTCTAAATGCTTCAAATGGTAACCACATCCTATGAAATTAAGCAATTCTATCCTGAACCCACAGTAAATTAAACATCCTATAATATGAGATTTAGAAATTCTTGAATCATCAATTGCATCATAAAGGGCAATGGCAAGGTATATATATATAAAAACAAGCGTTTACCCATTCTTTAAAGATTCATTTAAAATGTGTGTGTGTGTGTGTATGTGTGTGTGTGTAAAACTGAATGTGTGTGTGTATCTGAAAACAGCAAAATTAAAGAAAATTTGGGTCATACTATAAGCTATATACAAGTACTACTTTCCTGGATGAGTTGAAAGTTAGATTTTTTTTTTTCCAACAGAGGCCAGCCAGGTCCCATTGACATACATAATTAGGGAAAAGGAAAGAAATTGTCTGCAATTATTCCCCACATTTGACAATCCATAGCTACAGCATTTGGGCAAAAGAGATTTTAGAAGTGGCAAGGAACATGTAAGAGCATGCAACAGTAGCTTTCTGAACTTCCTTCCTCTGGCATACCACTTCCCAGGCTACAAATTATCTGTTCAGTGAGCCTTTTGCCAAGCTGGGCTCAATAAGTCGAAGGGGTTTAAAGGTCCGTTTACATAATCAGCATGTATTTCTAGTTGCCTTGCTTATTGTAGCCTGAAGGGGTAAGGAAGAGAATGAATTAGCTTCATTATTTTTTTCCGTTTAAGATAATCCCTTCAGAACACCAAAAACAAGAAATAACTGAATTGGTGTTTAATATTTTTATGCTGTACAAGCGGGTTATACTTTAACAATATAGGTAATTCTCGACTTACAACCACAGTGGGATCAGAATTTTCGTTGCTAAGCAAGATGTTTACTAAGTGAGTCAAGTCCGATTTTACAACCATTTTGCTCTTTAAGCAAATCGCTGCAGCTAAATGAATAATGCAGTTGTTAAGAGAATACAACTTCCTCCATTGACTTTGCTTGTCAGAAGCCAGCTGGGAAGGTCACAAATAGTGATCACTTGACCCTGAGATGCTCCAACTGTCCTAAATGCATGCCAGTAGCCAAGCACCTGAATTTTGATCACATGACCATGGGGATGTTGTAAGAGTTGTAAGAGCAAGGACTGGTTGTAAGTCACTATTTTCAGTGCCACTGTAACTTAAAATGCTATCTAATGGTTGCAAGTAGAGGACAGCCTGTAGTGTATGTAAACAATCAACATATTTTATAACTATGAAATTTAACATTTATTTTCTAAGTTTCCCTTGTGGAGCAGTATCTTGAGATAAGTTCTTATCCAAATAATAAGAGAGTTATTTATTTAGAGAATGCATCATATGTAATGTTGCAGCTGAAATATTCTTAATTATTCTTAAGAGATTAAGACATGCTTTTATCATCTACAGCAAGCTGATATGACTCTCCCACCTTTATATTTCTTTCTTTTAAATATATTTCTATTTCCTTTTAACATTGTTTAGTATTTTACATTAGTATTTCTCATTAGAGGACTAATGAAATATGTTAATATAAATTTGTGTTTTGTCCTCTTTATGTATAATATTCTACTGACATAAAATAGTTCCCAACAGTGAACAATTATAGCCAATATTACAAACCCAGAATATGAGACTTTGATGCGTGAAAGGAAGATTCATCAAGAGGGCTTCATGATCTTGAAAGAAATTCTATAGGCAAGAACCATTATGTAAACAAAGTAAGCTAAAACATTCCTTAAGGCCTGGCAAACAAGGTAGTATTTGGAAGAGACTTGGACAAGATCCTTCCTGGTTCAATGGGATATATAAGGAGAGGTAATGCACAGGCTTGCATGATTCTATTATTATAGCCTATTTCTAAAAAGGATAGTCTTCCTATGGAACCAAATTCGTGACTGGGTCTCCCCCCTAAAGATAGACAGGATCTATCAATTTGCAATTTCAAAATGCTACACTATTCTTTAAGACAGAAGTGGCCAACTCTGGGACATCTACTGATCACTTTTATAGCTCCTGACATTTTTCACAATTGTGCCTCTGATATTCAGAAGTGTAATTACAATTTTCTGTGGTAAACTGTAATGCAATGAAATAATAGCCTAGCTAGGTCTTCTAGCTTAACAGGATGATTTTCCCTAAAGCCATCACTATCCCAAATAGACTCCCAGCAATTAGCAAATGTCACCACTATACCCCTGTGGCTTCAAAGACAATTTAAAAAAAAAAGAAGGACAAAATAAAAGACAAATCTATACTCGCTTAAGAATAACCTAATGAAAAGTTACTTTTCAGCAGGTATGAACAGGACTGCAGAACATACAATATAACCAGTTACAGTAGTTGTGGATACAGTATGTGGCAGAATGGCATGTAGGACAGTGGTGAAATCCAAATTTTTTTACTACTGGTTCTGTGGGTGTGGCTTGGTGGGTGCGGAAGGGGAAGGATACTGCAAAATCTCCATTCCCACCCCATTCTGGGGCCAGCCAGAGGTGGCATTTGCTGGTTCTCCAAACTACTCAAAATTTTCACTCCTGGTTCTCCAGAACCTGTCAGAACCTGCTGGATTTAACCCCTGATGTAGGATCACTTAGAAATCCCCTATATACAATGGAGCTCTCTCCTATGTACAGAACTGAAGAAGCATCTACAGATGGCTTGTAACTCATCTATCTATGCTACCTGATATTTAAAAGATATGAAAAGTCCAAGTCACAAGTTAACAAAAGCAAATCAGTGGCAGAATGAACGCTATTTAGTGTTACATTGCAGCTACTCTAGAACTGATTACTTTCACAAAAAAACTAATTTTATTGCAAGAGCCAATATATCACATAGCAAATAAAGCGGTTTTTTACCTGGGCAGATTATTTCTCCCTCTATATAGAATTGTTTGAAGTTCACATAGCATGCTAAACCATGCTTTGTTTAAAACCACACAGTGGCTTTGTGTAATAAATAAATCTAACTTATTACCTACTTGACCCATAATAGCTCTCAAATTATAGCTTTAATATATAATTTCACATCCCTTCACATTTTCTTAAGTGGGGAAGTCAGAGATTGAATTTTTGGATGCAAAATCCCTTTTTCTCTAGCGCTACAATTCCTCATTTAAAACAAAATGCAACTTTTATCATACAAATTGTGACAAATCTTAGTTTGATAATCAGCAGAATTAAAAGTCAGTGGTTTCTACATATACAATTTGTACTGTCAAAAAAAGTTCTTAATGAAGTTTAGAGCCAATTTAAATTTTGTACAGATGCTTAATTGGCTATTTGTCCAAGGTGATTAGAAATGATAACTCTTAAAATTTATTCCGAGTTATTTCCTAGATAAAATTAGAATCACCTGTATCCCATGCTAGCCACTTATAGAACATTTTAATAAAAAACCTCTGAAGGGTATTTAATTTCATTGTTACATAAATTTAATGAAGACATATGCCAGTATATATTTAAATATTTATCAAATATAGGCATGCAAAGCTGCTTCATTCTAATAAATTACATGTTTTAATAAATTAAAAATAAATTAATGTAAGTTAATATGGTCTCATCAAGCAAACTATTAGAAGGATATCATATCAGATGATGATGAGAAAAATACTCAAGGTCAATTTTTACACTGCCAATACTGCTCCTCCAGTTGATCATCAAACTTAAGTCATCAAGCTTAAGTCTTGCCTGCAGATTCAGTTTTCCTGCATACTGTAAATACTGTTTACATTTTTAGCCTTAATTTAGTGGGAATGGTTACATGTAATTAGAGTTTAATGCAGTCCTATCCAGTCCGACCATTTCCAGATGTATAATTTTCTTTGTTTGCCACATGCTTTCTCACAAGCAAGCCCTGAGTTCTGGACTCTGCTCCTTCCTGAAATCCAGAGATTAACAACATCACTAATATTAAAGGAGACATTGAAAGGGGGTTTAAAATGTTGGATGTCAGCTGACCAGAGTCTGGTTTTTTAGATGATCTGGGAAACTCGGCAGTTTATAATGAACTACCAGAACTCTAAGCCAGTACAGATAGTCCTTGACTTACAACTACAATTGAGCCCAAAATATCTGTGCTAAGTGAGACAGTTGTTAAGTAAATTTTACCCGATTTTATGACCTTTCTTGACACAGCTGTTAAGTGCATTGCTGAAATTGTTAAGTTAGTAACTTGTTAAGTGAATTTGGCTTCCCCATTGATTGTTTGTCAGAAGGTCACAAAAGGTTTATAACCCCATAAAACTGCAATCGTCATAAATACATGCCAGTTGCCAAGCATCTGTATTTTGATCACATAACCATGGGGATCCTGCAACGGTAGTGTGAAAAAACAGTCATGTCAATTTTTCCAGTGCCATTGTAACTTGAAACAGTCACTAAATAAACTGATATAAATAAGGACTACGTGTATTAACCAAACAAGTAAAAATTCCAACAGTTGCAATCATATCACATTTAGCGAATGGTGAGAGCTGAATTAACATATTAAATATTTTATTCCTGTTATTTTCTGCATGATTATTATGAACTTCAAATGCCACGAAATAGCCCCTTTGTTGCATAACTGTGACCTATTTAGCGTTGCACATAATATTTTGTTATTTCAGGTTTCCTATATGAACTTTATTAGCAATAATGCCATGTTTACAGTTGCTTTACAATTGATGTTCTCAATATTTTCTTACAGTTAGGAATATGTTATATACATCTCTATGTCTCTGCCCCAGAATCTAAGAAAATTCAAATACTACGAACTATTGAGCTTTGCTGCCATCTAGAGATAAGAAGTAGATTAAATCATTTAAAAGCAACACCTTACGAAGCATTTGTCAAAGAAAACATTGTACTTCATCTCACAACAATGAAAGATCACCATAATCTCAATGGGCTATTCTCTTGGCATTAGGAATCTAGTTCTTTCTGAACCGGGATAACACTATAGTTGGTTCTTCTAGTAAATCTATCCACAAACTAGCCAATATTTAATCTAGATATTGTGATTACCAGCCCATATGTTTATCACATGATATGATGCATTGTGCCAACCCAAGGAATTGGGTTAATTAGAATAAAATAAATAGCCATAGCTCTGTCATGCAAGTGAAGCCCATAACTGGGTTTATGAGCTTGCTGTTTGCTTGTATGATGAATTGCTGTTTGCTTATATTTTGCTTAGTATGTTGTACATATCTGACAAAAGAGTTATGTACACAAGGATTTACAGTTTAGCATGAGGTGTGAATGCCGGCTACATAATCTAGTATATTCATTTTTTTAAAAAAAAGTAAAAAATAGTGGCATGTTTTGAATATATTTTTTCATACAATTTATACATTAAAATTGATAACTGCAAATATTTTGATTTTTTTTAAATTATAGATTGCTGATGTTTTCCGTCAAGCAATTCCTATTAGAAATCCTAAATCAAAAACCATCAGTACAACAGTGCTACCAGTGAGGACACCTTCTGGACAATAGAAGAAGCCAACTTAAGATACTAAAGATGGGACATCAGACATCACCAAATATATTCCCAATGCTGCTACTCAAAATGCCAGGAAGACATGAGGCTGCTGATGTGTGAGATAATCGTTACCTAACTCCTAAGTAGAAATGATTTTTTTGCACATCAATACAGCAAAAAAGATTGATGTTGACACTGGAATTAAAAAGCATTGGGACTTTCTTATAACCAGAAATCTACTATTCAGTATAATCTTGCCCCATTTTCCTAATAGGAATCAAATGTTTGTCCTACACTATGGACTGGATGAAGTTTCCACTTAATTCAAATGAAGCTATTGTGAATTCCCTATCTAGCTCTACCTTTATATTCTGGGCAATGTCAAAACAACAGCAACACTGAATAGAGCATGATGAAGAGATTTTAAAAATGCAACTACCATAGAACTCTGCTATTATTTTCTCCCAATTTCCCAGTGCAGTATTAAGAGCAATTGTATTCTTGATTCACTACTCAACCAACCTTAAAGAGATAAAGAATTCTTTAAGGACCAAGGACAAGGAATCAGGGAGAAAGCAAAGTATGCAAACCCTAGAAGGACAAGTGCATTTTTATGCTCAGCAGGAAAAAAAAAAGCAGCGATATCATGACACTGTAAAATTACCATAGGATGATAAAATGTTACCATTTTATCAGCCCCAACCCAAATCACTCCAGCTCAAACCCAAAACAAGAGGAAGAAATCCTACATATTGCATACGCATATGAAGAAATGGATTACTGTCACCAACTGTGCATTTGATGTGTTTTTCAAAGTTGAGATGCTGTGAATTTTGCTTACCACCATGCATTTTTACATCAATGTTTCTAACATATGGTAAATGAAAAACTATTTTTTTAAATTGGATTCTTTTAAAATTATTAGACCTGTATGGAATGTAGAATAGGCAATAAATTATTTTAATATTTAACCCTCAGTATAGGGATGAACAACATTTTCATTAAATAACATTCCTAAACTACTTGTGGGTGCTTCATCACTGGAGGTTTTTAAGAAGAGACTGGACAGTCACTTATCTGAAATGGTATAGGATCTCCTGCTTGTGGCAGGAGGTGGGACTAGAAGACCTCCAGCTCTATTCTGATTGATTGATTTACTATTCATAGAAAAAAATGTCAATTATAGAGAGAAAAGCACAGGTGATAAAATTAAAAGGATAACTGAAGGAGACTCCTAAATTATTTGGGATTGTACAAAATGATATTCTCAAAATCAATTGACTAATATAAAAACAACTTTCCACAAATGAGTGTCTCTGGAGGAGACAAAAGCTACTTTTAAAGGAAACTGAAGCCGACCTGTTTGTAGATACAGTTATATGAATAAAGGCTGACTAACAAAGCATACAATACAAACTGATGGCTTGTTTATATAAAATGATAGCAAGCCACAGCTCATTTGCTATAGAATTAATCCATTGCTTTCAAAAAGTTAATTTTTTTCTCTCTCAATTGTTGCTACTACAACAAACCTTATAAAGCCACAATTATGCATATTAAATTCCTCATTAAAACAGAACCATATCCACATCTCAATATAAAAGTTAACTTTGATTAACCAATTGTTCAATACACAGCACACAGAAATTATATTGTATCTTTCAAGAATGTTTTAATTCCTCATGAGATAGGAACCATCCCTCACTATATATCAGTGGGAAGAAATAACTCATTTGTTTAATTAGGTTCTCTTTATCTTGTTTTCAGACTTTTATGGAGATTATATCACATTCTAGGTTATACTTATGCAAAAATACTGAAAATTCAAAAGGGATCATAAACTTTTAAACACCACAGTAAGTTGCTCTTTAAAAACTAAACAGGCAAGACCTAGTTAATCCTTGGATAGGAGACCATCAGGAAATCACAGGACTGTACTTTGGACTGTGATCTTGAAAATATTTCCAAGAAAACAACATGGCCATATTCATTATAGTCATCAGGAGCTGAAGTGGATCAGAGGATGGACAGCAAAAGTTATATATACCTTGATACACTGTAAAGCCTCAATGAATGTTTATAATATGCACAGGTAAGGCATACACACCTGTATACACCCCAAAAGCACAAAGCAAGAACTGGTAACTAAAAACCACAGCTTGGCCTCAACCTATGGTAACTGACCTGAAAACTCTGTAAGATTAAAACAGTGTGCACAAGAGGAAGACATATCACACTGAACTGGAGGAAAGCTGTAATAAAATAGAATAGAATAGAATTTTTTATTGGCTAAGTGTGATTGGACACACAAGGAATTTGTCTTGGTGAATACGCTCTCAGTGTACATAAAAGGAAAGATACATTCATCAAAAATCATAAGGTACAACACTTAATGATAGTCATAGGGTACAAATAAGAAATCAGGAAACAATCAATATCAATATAAATCATAAGGATACAAGCAACAACGTTACAGTCATACAGTCATAAGTGGAAGGAGATGGCTGATGGGAACGATGAGATTAATAGTAGTGCAGACTTAGTAAATAAATAGTTTGAGTGTTGAGGGAATTATTTGTTTAGCAGAGTGATGGCGTTTGGGGGAAAAACCGTTCTTATGACTAGTTGTTCTGGTGTGTATATAGCATCATTTTGAGGATAGGAGTCGAAACAGTTGAAAAATGTAACTAATAAAAGAAAATAAATACCTAGATACCATATTCTGCTAAACAGATATTTCAATGCATACAAATGCAGCCAATCAGTCTCTAGAAAGTGTACCAACATTTTTCCATAAACCAGTACAGAAGAGCCCCTCAAGACTCACCCCCTCTCTGCCCTTTCCATTTACTTCCAATAATTGTTATTCTGCATCCTTTGCCCAACGTCTCTGCCTGCGGTTTGAGGGTCCACTTGTATCTGTTTTCAGTGGAATCACAGAAATGGCATATCTGTTCATTGGCATATCGGTTTTATAGTCCATTTAAGGAACCAAATTAAAAAGCGGTACATTCGATAGAAGTACTCAAGAAGTACTTTTTATGTACTTCTCCGATATATAGAAAATAATTAGCCTACCCTTCCCTCTCTTTGACTGGAAAAAAGAAACCTGGTTTTCATGCAAGAGCCTGACGACTCTTCCTTTCTGAGTCGTTTTCTAAATACCCAGAGCAATGCGAAGAGACTGCAGTTAAATATGAGGCGATGAGACCGTCTATAAAATTAGCCAGGCAGCATCCCAAAACTTCCACGCTTTCCCCAAAGCCGGGTACCTGGACTAATGTTGGTTCCTTCAGGTGTCTCCCACCAAGGCTCGTCCAACGTGTCTGCCATGCTGTGTAACCCACGCCGCCCCTGCTCGCTGCCGGCTGCAGCTTTGAACGCCTGAATCCCGCCCAGTGGGTCGGGCAGGGAGGAATTTCAAAGGGGAGGTTAACTCTCGTTTCGCTCACAGCAGGCAGTGACCTGGGCTGGAGGCAGGAAGAGGAGGAGAAATGGCACTGCAAATCTACAGAGTTGCGAACAGTTCATTGCTCTATGAGTAGGATAAGGCATTCCACTACTCCGTGTAATCGGACTTGCTTCTGAGGAAACACATGGCGGACATTTGCTTTCGGGATGCGATTAGCTGCGCTAATGCAGCCTTTGCAAAACCATCAACTGCGGTTGACATCCCGATGTTTTCTGCTCGCAAAACCCTTAAGCCATCAAAAAAATAAACCGTTATAGAATGGCCTGGCTCAACGGTAAACCAAACTATATTTTAACCAGGGTTGTAGTGTAGGCTCATCATCCGCAAACGAAACTACCCCTTAGCAGGTGACGGGGGCTCATCCGTGCAGTTTGGGTTGCAGGGGTCTCTAGCAATCCCCGAACAATAGATTGCTTACTTTTTAAATGTCGTGATTTTTGTTTACCGTTCTGAACCTTAAGCTATATTATTTGGCTCCGAGTTATGTCACCGGGTTTGTGATTGAACATAATGCCGACAGCAAAATGTGAAGTATATCTTGGGTGTTTACATTTCGAGCTGGGTTGTGCTGTGTGCTGGAATAGACTCGAACCTGATGATGACACTTTAAAAACAATGCCGCTGGAGCGTGGGGCGGTTGTTAGCGTAAAGGCATGGTAAGTTTCGAGGGATTTATGTCAGTTTCAGTCTTCAATTTTCAGACGATCAGGGATTTATGCCAGTAAATGCACCTTAATTAAGAGCGGTAAACTAGCTCAAGGGACTCCAACCTTGGCAACTTTTAGACTTGTGGACTTCAACTCCCAGAATTCCTCAGCCAGCTTTGCTGGCTGAGGAATTCTGGAAGTTGAAGTCCACAAGTCTAAAAGTTGCCAAGGTTGGAGTCCCTTGAGCTAGTTCACTGATCACTTCATCAGACAAGCACCTCTGACATCTACCAGAAGCAGATGAAGGTCTGTTGGTTTATCTCTTCACGATGTGAAGCAGATCAGAAAAGATTTCTGACTTCTAACCGTAAAAGCCCTCAAAAAGCTTCCCGCTCCCAAAACATGCTTAGCTGAGATCTGTACATCTAATGTATAACGAAATATTATGCAGTCTCCATTAAAAAAAAACAAAACACCACATATACAATATAATCGGTTAGACTTCCAGGTTGAAATCGTATGCCTATGGATTCCGAAATAAGCTCCAGCAGAATCTTCAGTGCATATTTGTATTCTTAAAACTTTGTTTTCTGACCTCTTGACTGAAAGCTGAAGTTACGGATATCTCTTTTGCCCGCAGGAACCCGCTTCGAGGAAGCAAAACGAGGCGGGCGAATCTTAACTATGTTATAGTTCTATATGTTGGCGTCATCGTAGCTGTTTGCACTTTACGACAGCCATACATGAGTTTGGGGTGTGAACGGCGCAGAACCTTGGAAATTTAGATCACGCTTTACGGCACGGCTAGGGGCACGTCAACAGCTATGGCGGAAGGGGAGGCAGCGTCTTCGCCGAGTAGCTGGTGAGTTGAACTGGCTAGGTAATAGACTGCTTGGGAGGGACAGAGGACTTGCGGCTTCTCCGCTGCCAAAGCTCCTCACAAAAACGGGCTGTTCATTACCCTGTTCGAAGTCAACCTGCATCAAGTGGCTGTGATAGATGCCACTTGAACTTACTCTTAGAAAACGTAGTATTGACGGATTCTACTGTGTCTGGATCTCTGCAAAGTGTGATTCCTGGGCAAATCTTCATGACTCGTTTGATGTATTCATTTGTTCATTTGTTCTTGTTTCTAAATGAAGACAAGGGAAATAGCTTAAAGTTCACTCAGAATTCCATTAAGGCGGAGGTCTTTTTTGATGAGCTGCAAAATATTTCAAATTTATTTGAATTTGGTCTTTCTCACCAAAACTGAACCAAGAATTAATGGACGAGTATGACAGTTGAAAGCTGAGTGAATTTCGCAGTTTCTACTCTATTTATAATGTAAACTTTTTCCAAGGAAAAAGATAGATTGAAAAATAGAGAGATAGAATCTTCCAACTCTATCGATCATTTCAGTATGCTTGTAAGATGGTTTAATGATTTGGAGTAGAGCAGCAACATTTCTGACTTCTAACCATAGGAGCAATAAAAAGCATCTCTAAATCATATTTTGCTTAGATCAGCGTATGTACAGTATATTGGACTTATGCCACCCATTGAGCTTCATGGCTGAATCTGTACAGGTAGTTCGCGACCTACAACTACAATTGAACCTAAAATTTATGTTACTAAGTGAGACATTTGTTAAGCGAATTTTGCCCCATTTTACAACCTTTCTTGCCACAGCTGTTAAGTGAACCACTGTAGTTGTTAAGTTAATGACATAGATGTTAAGTGAATCTGGCTTCCCCATTGACTTTGCTTGTCAGAAAGATTGCAAATGGTAATCGCATGACCCTGGGACACTGCAACAGTCATACATATGAGTCAGTTGTCAAGTGTCTGAATTTTGATCACGTGACAACTGGAATGCTGCAACGGTCATAATGGTAGAAACCGGCATAAGTCGGTTTTTAAAGTGCTGTTGTTTCTTTCAACTGTCACTAAATGAACTGTTGCAAGTCGAGGGCTACCTGTATTTTCCAGTATTTATCCACTCAGCTGTCAATGATTGCTGAATGGGATGCTATATCCAGAAGACATGCTAGATATCTTAATTATCAAGGGGCAGGTATCCTTCAAAGTGCCATCGTTTCCAGAGTTTGCTTGTGAATTCAAATACTTTTGGCTAACAAATAGCATACTGGATTTTCTGAATTTAGATCTTACTCAACAAAGCAGTTTTTTTCATTTGTGGTTATCCAGTGTCAACTGTTTTGTCAAGATAAACAAATATTCCACAGTCTATCTTCATTTCCCAGTAACTTTCAGTACAAACTATAAGTAGTTTCATGTCTTATTTTAATTTTGTTGACCGTTTATTTGAGTTAGACAACTGAGAGGATTCGGGAGTTTAACCAGGATTTTAACCAGGTTTTCTTTAAAAATAACCCCCTCTCAATTTGATAAAATGAATTTTCTTGAATTAAATTTTATTACTACTTTTATTTAAAGTCTATATATAATCAGATCCTTAAATGTGATTTATTTTGATTCTCAGAAAGCTGGACAGTGAAGATAAAAGTGGTTCTTAGTTTTAGCTTCCATTGATTATTGATGTCTTTGCTACATCAAACCCATATTTAAGTTTCTTTGTAAGCATGTCCCCAAAAATGTCTAGCAGTCTAAACAATTAGAGAATGACAATCTAAAATACATTGTAAGAAAAGAGGAATGCCCGATCCTCCAGTCTTGAGGTGGACGTGAGCAATTTATATGAGCAATCTGAACTTTATTTTTATTTATTCAGTATTGTTTGAATTACTATTGCTGCTTTACTGCCCTTTCTGGTTTTCCATGGATTTTATGTCCCATATGTTGAATGAAATGTCTCACTCTTTCACACGTATGTTCATTCATTGTTCTATATTATTGTATGTATCTTGGACTCATACAATGTTTCTGCAAATATTGTGTTATGCTGTTATACAGTGTTTTTCTGTTCCTGTATGCTATAATAGTTTGCAACCTTTTATTCTTTCAGTGGAATATACAATAAAACAAGAGTTGTACCACACCCATCTGAAGTCAGTACATGTGACTGAAAGGGTGGAGTATTTTCCAAAGGGCAGGAAGAAGTTTTAAACCCTGCCTTTTAGCCAGAATTTCCTGTATGGTCTTGTGGCCAGAGAAGTACTTGATAGTAAATTCATTTGCTGGTCTACCTTAACAATCCTGAGTATGAGTGTGAGTGAGATGGGCAGTATCTAAATTAGAAAAATAAAAGAATAAAATAAGCTAAGTACAATCAGAATTGGTTAGATCATGTTAACATAGATTTTATTGGGTAATTGAGTGAAAACTCAAAGAAGTCCTGTATAATATGCTGAATAGACATTTCTGAAATTATTAGAACATAAGTAAAAGCTGCTAATCAGTATCAAAGGGCACTGTGATGTTGGAAGTATTAAATGGAAAGTCAGGGGTGATCAAACTCCAGTCTTAATAGTCTTTCTATAATTATTTCTCTTCGATTACTCATAAATTATTTCTTATAAGTTCATATTTTAATTCTACATAGTGCTTTTTTATCAATTTGTGAATCAAATCTCATCAATTATAATTTGTTTCAGGGAGGTAAAGCCTTCTGTAAATGTTTTACAATAATTATAACTGAATGACATTTCCCTTTTTTTTCTGAGCATTTCATATGACTCATTTATATATTGCTGGATAAAATTTTCATATCAATATATGTCTAGGTTCACACATTATACTAGGATTTAGAGAAATCAGGTTCACATAAAGACAAGAAAGATAATCATTTGATTAGAAATTAAGCCCAGTGACAAGAAAGAATTTTTTACTCTTTTATTTTAACAGATATTTAAAGCACAATTAAGAAGACTAAGAAAAAGAAATTAAAAAAGAGGCATAAGCTTTTTTAAAATAACATTAGATTAGTACCATGTATAAATACAGTCTTACATAAATTTTAATTATTATTAAAAGCAAATCAATACTTTGCATTGCATCAAATGATAAGGATCGTTCATCATAATAAACAATTAATATGAGTTTCTACTTTAAGAAAATTTCTCCTTATTAGACTTTTTTGTGATTCATTATAATAACCTAGAGTTATTGTGTTAAGAGAAACCCAAAATCTGTAAGTACTTCCAAATCCACATGCTGAATTTTCATCCATAACTGGTTTCTAGATTAAATTATTCTTTACCTTTATACTTTTTTTGAAATACAAAGGTATTTTTGATATTGACGAGGGTTTCCATAGCTTAGTTTATCATTTTTGTAAAAAAGGGATTATTTGTAATTTCCAATAAAAAACATAAATATACTGTTATCTGTTACAGAGCCAACACCATATACTTTGCAGGAAAGTAAGATAAAACAATTTGATTCATTGTACAGGGAATCATTTTGCCGAATGAACTTTATGATATTACCTTCAACTATGAGGGAAAAAATGAACCTTGTTACATTTCCTGCAATTTTGTTTAATATGAATTATCTGTTTTGCAATCAATAATTGGAGTAAGATTCCAGAAATAAATAAATACATACATACATACTCATTTTCCCTGCATGTAATGCCAGTAAAGAAAGTATGAAGGAGCTTGGTTCTTTTAGCCTTGAGATAAGATGATTGAAAGGCTGTACAGGTAGTCCTCAGTTTATGATCAGAACTTGGATTGCTAAGTGATATGATTGAGTGAGTTGCACCAAATTTATAGTCTTATTTGTCACGATCTTTAAACAACTCATGATCATTAATCAAATTCAACTTCTCCCATTGACTGTCAAAGCCCCTTGGGAGAGTCACAAATGTGACCCTAGATTGGAGCCAGACGAGGATGCTGCAACTGTCAAAAATACATGCCAGTTGCCAAGCATCAATTTTTGATAATGTGAGTGTGGGAATGTTGCAATGGTCATAAGTGCAAGGACCAGTAGTGTCACTTTTTTCAGGACTATCATAACTTTGAAGTTCATTAAATGCATGGCCATAAGTCAAGAACTACCTGTATGATACTTTCCTTCAAATAAGGAAGCTACTTCTCTTTTCAGCTTTACATAACTCAGCTGTACAAAGTTTGAAAATGACATATATGATTTAAGGTGTTATTAACACGTACGATGTGTACCTTGACACATTTGTGCTTTGAATCACCTTTTCCCCTTTAAATCTGAATCACTTTATAGCCCTGGACTACATTCTCTTAGATATACATTAGAGAACTGTACATGTCAATTTCATGATAAGAATTTTAATTCTGAGATTCTTAAATTTGTTTCCACCTATGCCATTGAATTTGAAATTAGTAAAGAAAGAGATGAAAGAGATAATATATTTTGTATTTAGTAATAGTAATATATACAGAGCAGCTTTGTTTAAAGGGCAGGTTAACTATAGTCGTATCTGAGTAAAATAAATACATTATAGTTTGAGTTGTCTGCTTATTTTTTGAGTGCTTATTTTTTATATATTTTCCTGTATTTATCCCAAGTTTTTATCTTAATCATAAATTAACATGCAATTACCTGGTAGCAGCATTTCTTATTTTATTTTAGAATTAAAATTGTAACTCTCAGTTTTATTTACATTTAATACACAGTACATAGTTAAAACCATTTTGGACGTTGTAAAAATCCAATAAAAGTTTCAAATAGAAGTATTACAATACAGGCATTATATCATGTGGTGCTTTCTATGTAGATGTGTGGAAAACTAAATGTTCAAAAACATTTTTTGGGTAATAAGATTTTTAAGACTACTTGTTTGATAATCTGTGGTTTATGAAGCAGTTTTATTAAATTATTGAAAACAAACATTAAAAAACAAGCTGGGAGACTAACCTAATCAGATTTATTACACTATTGCTGGTGCTTAGTGAGACCACACATAAAACTAACTTGGAGTCTACTGGAAGAGATAGGTGTTAAGTTACTTCTTGAAGGCTAGCAGGTTGCGGCAGTGGTGAAATCCTGCCAGTTCGCATCGGTTTGGGCGAACCGGTAGTGATAAAAGCTACCGGTTGGTCCAAACAGATATTTCCGACAATCAGCTGTGCCGCGCAATTTAAAATTGCTAGAAAGCAAGAAATTATGCTTTCTAGTGAATCTAAATCGCGTGGCACAGCTGTTCCTCCCCTCGCTGTTCTACTTACCTTCCCAAGCTTCCTTTTTCTGTGTGCAGTGCACCTTTGTAACGTACTGCACATACACATATGGACACTGTGCATTTGGTGCGCACTGTGCATGCATGCGCAATGTGTGTTTGGCACACACCGCACATGCACAGGCAGTGAACCAATGGCAAACCGGAGGGGGAGATTTCACTACTGGGTTGGAGCCATACAAGCCAGAAGGCAGAGCAAAATTTGCTTCCATGGGGCTATAAAGAAATGCAGAAAGAACCTTGAAGAAAGTATGCAGGAACAAGTAAGAAAAAATACTGTAAAGGGAAACTCAGCCCTGGGAAAGATGACAAAAAGAAACTTGAAATAGCTCAACTTTATTTTCTTTGATTTAAGATGGGGTAGAAGGAATAGACTTTTAAAATTATGTTATTGTACCTAAAACAATTAAACTGCATTCCTATAATCCTTGTGCTGCTTCCTGATCTAGTCTGCTTAAAAGGACTGACAAAGGCAGGTATGAAGAGAAATGACACAAATTCAAGCTCCCATTGGAGACAATAATTTAAGAGATGGGACTCAGAGTGCCAACCTTGTCAGATCTTATTAAATGGGCAGAAACAGTTGTGGGGAGCTTCTCCCACAAACATCCAGATCATGAAGGACTTGTTAGAATACTACCAGGACCTCGAATTGCACCCAGCAGTCTTGTGGTACCATTTTCAAGGCATATCTTTTTCACTTTTATAAATGAAGGCAAATATACTGTAGTGTCCCAGGATAATGTTGCAGGATCCAATCTAAGTCAGTTACCAGAGGTTTAGTCTTCTGAGCTTTCAGACTTGTCCTACAGCCCATCCTCAAGGAACTTCCATCTAGCAGAATGTGTGTTTTTAACTTTTATTAACAGCTTAGTTTCCATTAAAAAAAAGCTAAGTTAATAGCACTATGGAATTACTTTTAGATGTAAAATGATAACACAATCTGCATGCTTCTTTAGAAGTAATACCCACTGAAGTTAAATCACTTATTGATATAAGTTTAAACCATAAAAATGTTTTTGTGTCAAATGAGATTCATCTTAATCATTTATGCTTCAAATTACGTGCATTAAGGTTAGTGCTAAGAGATGAAATATTTCAAAAGTTGAAACCACCATTACCTTAAATCTACATATAATCTTACTCAATGTTTGTAGGGAAAATGATCTTGCAGAAGCTCTGGAAGAGGGAGGCTGTGATCTTGAAACGGTTAGGAACATAGTCCAAGGAAGACCTCTGCCTGAACACCTAAGAGCCAAAGTTTGGAAGGTAAACCTTTCTTACATATTTGGAAAATGATATTTTTTTCTGAGTTATGTAGTTCAGAAAAGACAGGAACTACTTGTTGGGCCATTTTATTTCTTTTTTAAATGACGAATATTTAGTGTATCAGTGATACGTGATATATAGCAGTTAGGATATTTGAGCAGAAAAATGAAGATTGAAACCTACCCATAGCCATGGAATCCTGCTCAGTGACTTTGGACTAGTCTCTGCTGACAGCTGAGTTACCTCACAAGATTGTTGTTATGTAAAAACTTTGGAAGAGAGAATGCTATGTAGCAGTGGTGAAATGTAAAATTTGTTACTACCGGTTCTGTGGGCGTGGCTTGGTTGTGGTGGGGGTAATGTGATTGGGTGGGTGTGGCCAACTTTTTTTTTTTTTTTTTACTTTTAAAAGCATTTTTTCTACAACCTTAAGAGGTTGCAGGAAAAAAAATGCTTTTAAAAGCCTCTGATGATCAGGCAACTCAGCTGGGATCGTCAAAGGCTTTTAAAGGCACTTTTTTTTCTACAACCTCTTCGGCCGAAGAGGTTGTAGAAAAAATGCTTTTAAAAGCCTCTGACGATCCCAGCTGAGCCGTGCGATCATCAGAGGCTTTTTTTTTACTTTTAAAAGCATTTTTTCAGCCGAAGAGATTGTAGAAAAAATGCTTTTAAAAGTAAAAAAAAAAGCCTTTGATGATCGCGCGGCTCAGCTGGGCATGGGGAGTGGGCAAGGATTTTTGCTACCGGTTCTACGGTCCGAACCGGGAGCATTTCACCCCTGCTATGTAGACTGTCGAAGGATAGGACATATAAATCTAACAATAATTGTAATGACTATACTTCAACTTACATATAAATTGTATATATACAGTACCAATGCATCAAAAATATTTACTCAATTAACTTTTCAATTGCCATTCATGTTTCAAGGAAATAATTTCAAAAGCAAATTCAATATGAATGTCTTTCTTTTTTAGAGTCAAATTATGCACTGCATAAATAAAACATAGATTTGTTAGTTTAACTGTCATTTTTAAAAGGGAAATCCATTTCTGAAAATGTAACTGGCTTTGGAGAAGATGTGTGGAAAAAAATTCTTTGTTTCTTTGATCTTTCTTTATTGAAAGTTTCCTGACCCATATAGCAAACTGTGTCAAAGTTATTTTTGCAACATCAGTAAAAAGATCTGGATTCACAGGGAAAAATAATGTTGGGAGGATTTAATTTCAAATACAAAAATAATTTTTGGGAAATGGTTTAATGACAGTCTTTTCCATTACAGTATATTTCCAGTCCTAGCACATGCTTTCTGAAATGGCATTTCTTTTAAATGAGTCCTGAAATACTGTTACATTTATTCAGCTATACCTGCAGTTTCTCTTTAAACCCAACAGGTAATAGTTTACTTCAATAATAAATAAAGAACACTATAGGAAATATAATACACTTGAAATACTAATTTAAAGAGTGCTCACAGTTCTTTGTCACACATTACTTGAATGCATACATTCAATTTGATCAACAATTCTTACATATCATTAAATGTAGATTGTTCAAGAAGATGGCTGCATTCGTTCATTATAAAGAGCCAGTAGTCACTGATTTCATTACTTATACTTGAAACAATGTTTCTTTGAATACTTTTTTTAAGTTGGTTTAAGAATTGTATCTTCATTGCAGTCAATATATGTAATATTTCTTCCTTATTTCCTTTTATAATTATTTTAGATTGCATTAAACGTTGTAGGGAAAGGAGACAGTTTAGCATCTTGGGATGGTTGTTTAGATCTGCCAGAACAATCACTGATTCACAAAGATTGTCAAGAACTAGTTGGTGAGTCTGAAATAATATTTTGATTGTTAAGCTGAAAGCTACCTATAATATTTATTACCGTGTTTCCCCGAAAATAAGACCCTGTCTTATATTTTTTTGATCCCTGAAATAAGCGCTTAGCCTTATTGCCATGCGCTCAAAAGCCTGATTGGGCTTATTATCAGGGGATGTCTTATTTTGGGGGAAACGGTATCTTCATAACAATTACGTTTTTATCCAATCCCTAAGACGCCTGAAATTCAAATACATGTGTTAAGACTACTTGAAATATGGTACAGAGAGACTAAATTTATTTAATGTTATACGGCTCTCATTTTTTGACAATTTATATGTAACAATGTAAAATAGAAGTATAAAAAGTCAGTTACAGAGAATCTGATATATCACCATTTGAATAACAGAACCTTCAAGCATTGCTAAATGTTTTTCTTTAAAAATGAGACTTTAAATATGAGTCTAGAGAATCTCCAGATATATACCAACTCTATCTGGCAGAGTGCAATCCCGTCAAGAGTCAAAGATGGACTATTCTAGAAATAGCTAGCTTCTGAGTTTGCAGCCACTGTTTCTTTCTGCAATTCTATTTAGGTCTCTTTCTCCCCAGTCAGATCCTATCAAGCTATTACTCAGGTATTGTTCACAAAACAATTTTCACTACTGCTGACATTCAGTAAACAACAGTTGCTGAGAGACCTTACTTTGCTCTAGGGATGCTATTCAGATATCCATGGAAAGTTTTTTGATATCCTTTGGTACTAGGTGTTTTTCTTCTTTTTAAAAAAATCAGCTAAACTGTTCTTAACTTATTTTTGTTGTTTTATTATCTCTTTATCATTTGCCAGTTTTGGGGAATGACTTAAGGTCATAATGCATAACTTATACACTATTTCTTTTTAGATCAGCTGTCAATAACAGAAGAGGATAAGTCAGTGTTACGTTTGGATATTGAATCTGTGATTACGTTTTATTGTAAATCTCGTAATGTTAAATACAGTTCTAGCCTTAGCTGGTCCTATCTCCTTAAACCTTTGGTTCATCTTCGACTTTCACGAAGTGACTTGTACAACTGCTTCTATGCTATCATGAACAAATACATTCCAAGGTAAAGAAATCATTTATGACCATTAAATTAAATCTTAATTTTTATTTTATGGATATCACTTTACCTCTTTATTGTCCTTTCTTTTTTCTCAAGGTGGCATTTTTTATTTGAATTTTTTAAAATCATGAACCTATGAAGATAGAATTCTTCGGATCCTTTGTTTGTCACATATCTTTATGAAAATCATTCATACAGGTTTTTTTTTAAATATACAATCATTTTTATTGTCTCTGCTTCTATTGCTCTTTTTTTAGGGACTGTTTTCTGAAGGGGAGACCATTTCATCTCTTTAGGCTGCTCCTCCAATATCATGAACCAGAACTATGCTCATTTCTGGACACAAAAAAGATGACGCCGGATTCATATGCACTCAACTGGGTAATAAAGTGAAAGTAGGAAAATATAATGAAAAGTGAAGTTCTATAACAGAAAATTTCACACACTGGTAACAACGTCTAAACAAAAAGAATGCATTTTTGCACAATTTTTTTGTGGCTAGGATATTATAAGATTCTGATTTCTGGTATTAAGGTCTCATAGTGAATTCACTTGTTCATAAGAGGTCTTTCTATGGATCACAAATTATTTTATGTTGGCCCATAACAGATAAGCAGAAATGTCTGATTAACAATGGTAATTTTCCCAAGAATTAAAGGATATAGGGTTTTATTTTTGTTGCACTTTCCTGGCATGCTATTATACCCACAGTTCCTAAAGAATTATCTATGATCTATCTATTAATCTAGTATTAGCCATATAAGAAAACACACAAATGCACAATTTAATCATTGTTTAAAATCAATAAAAATCACAACATTTATCCTACAAAGAAGGATGTTTATTAATATGAAAATTGCTTTGTTCTAATAGGTGGATGCTTCAGAATCTTTATATAATGTGCAATCGAACTGATTAAACTCAGTGATTGTAAAGATTTTATAAAGAAGTATATTTAATTTTCATATCTTATAATATCTGTCATCTTTAATAAAGAATAATCATTTATATTATATAAAGACTAATCATTTATATAATCAACGTCTATCTTTTTGGATTTTAAAATTTACTTTTAATCAGAATATATTTTTAAAACGTTCCTGTGGCTTAATCTCTTTATATGAGAATTAGGCTGCATTTAAAAAAAACAGCTGATCCATTGTAAATACATGTATAAAGCTCTTCCATGTTTTCTATTCTCAAAAATATTATATTAGTAAATGTTCTACTTAAAAACTAATTTGAGTTGAATCTACCTTTACATCCCCTATTTACTTCTGTTAAAACCAAAATGCATATGATCATGCATATATGAGGTCTGTTTCTCAGCCAGCAGTTTCAAGAAATAAAATTAAATTGTTTTGTTATTCTGCATCATAAACAATACCGTGTTTTAAATTTACAACTAAAAGTTTGAGCATATTCTTTTGCTCTCAGGTTTCTGAGAGCAGTTCTTAGAACTTCTTATAGTTCTTTAAACATTAAGCATTAATTAATGGCCTGTGTTTGTAGGAAAATATAACACTTTTGTTTAATACAAGCCTAATTAAAGTTTGAAGTATGTGCAGTGATAATTTTGGCAATCCCGCTTTCTGATGATTGAAAATTGAAATTGTACACTTAAACTTTTTGGCGGTTTCATGGCAGTCACATTACCTTATTTATAGATATATGTTCAAGATTGGAATACATGAAACAAATTTAATATTTGTTTTAATATATTACTAAAATCTGCTTCAGTTTCTTTTTCATCTACTTTTCAGCTTGGGTCCCTATTTTCAAGTTACTGCACAGATGAAGTTACCCAAACAATATGGGATGGATATTTTCAGCTAGCAGATCCATTCTTCATTTATTTCCTAATGCTTATCATTCTTGTTAATGCTAAGTAAGTATATGACAGCAAATTACTTAGCTGCTACTCTTGATTCTTTTTTTTTTTACACCTACTTTATGTTTCTCCATTTGCATTTTCAGGGAATTGATCTTGGCACCAGAATCCGATAGTAAAGAAGATGTTATGAGTAAGTTCTTCAGCTTTAGTGTAATACTATTTAGGCAAAATAATACAGTGAAGTTCTACTGATAATGTGGAAGACTACATTTTCATATTTTTAAAAATAGGTTAATGTAAGGTCACATTGAACTAATTCAGACCCAAAAATAAAAAGTGGTTTAATGCAGGACTGTTTTGTCAGATACATCTGCATTTTGTCAGTGACTGGTGTACCATATAACCTTTCTACAAAATGATTACAAAATATTGTTATATTTTAAAAGTCCCTTTCACATTACAAATATTATTGTTTTGGTCTTGCTCTGCTTTTTTTTTCTGAATTATTTCCAGTTATCTGCTCCACCATTTACATTTTTGTTATCTGTCCATTCAGTTATTATATGCTGACTTCTTTATCTCAAATCGATGGTCTTTTGGGAAAATATACAATTATATACTGTGGAGCTACTGCAACGAATACAAGCCCATTGAATCCTAACATGTATACATGCTCACACATCAAGCATTTAATATGTTCCTTTCTCTTCCTATCACTTTACATCTTGAACAATTTTTTTGCTACCACTCTTTTTCTCTTCTCCATATATGAGCAATTTTTAATCAAGCTCCAGGAGTGAGTGAGGTTGCAGTTATTTGTGTAAAGTGGAAGAACACTACAAGATAAGGAGACGTTGCTTTGGTCACCAGGACACAATCTCTCTTTCTGTCATTAGCACATCTAGGTTGGTTAGCAACAGCATTTTGCGTCTTTATTACATGAGTTTTTATATTCTCCATGTTACAAGCCATTTCTATGAAACTTGATCATGAACAAAATCATATAAGTATTGATTAAAAGAGAATAATAACATAAAGCTGTGCTTTTAAAAAAATCATCTTGTAGTACTTGCTGTAATGTTTTGTATATTTCAGACTTTCTTGAAAAATCTCCTGGCAGTTTGGAAGTAGAAGATATAGAAGACCTTTTCTCCCTAGCACAATATTATTGTAGCAAGACTCCAGTTTCTTTCAGAAAGGTAATTGTCAAGCACATTGAGCTGTCTTCTCTATTCTTACTTCTGCTGACTGCCAGCTGACTGCAATTTGGCAGTTCGAATCTCACCAGGCTCAAAGTTGACTCAGCCTTCCATCCTTCTGTAAAATGAGGACCCAGATTGTTGGGGGAAATATGCTGACTCTGTAAACCACTTAAAGAGGGTTGTGGAGCACTGTGAGGCAATTATAAGTCTAAGTGCTCTTGTTCTTGCTATGCCCTCTAGAGGATGTGTACTAATACTGTCATCGATCTTAGCAGCATAGTTGTATTTTAAATTCCAACAATGAACTAGTTAAAGGATAGATTCAGAATGAGGGCATAAGGAATAAACATGTAATATAATTATATTAATTCTTCATTAATTGAATTAATCCAATAAGAATGGCAGACCTTGAGATCGTCGATTTTAAGTAATAGTATGCCCAGCATTTCTTTCAATATCGATTGCTATTGCTTAGGAGCTCCATAGTAACTTCTGCCAAACCCAGATGACTTTTAAAAACATTGATTCAAATCTCTGTAATTACAGTTTCCATTCACTCTGCTAGATGGCAGTACTAGGTAGGTTTGAGTAACCTTACATGAGAGGCCACCAGGAACTACTAAACAATTAGATTGGGTTGAGAAACAAAATCTTCCAGAAAACAATGGTGACAAATGTCTTTCATATTTTTATTGCCCAGAGTGTCTTTGTGAGAGAGAGAGAGAGAGAGAGAGCTGGTAGCAAATTATATGGGTATATCCATAACATCACCAGACACTGATCTAAAGAATGCTCCATTAACTCCCAGTTATTAAAAACAAAGTTCAGTAAAATATTACATTAAATATATGGAAAAAATTGTAAAGATCCAGGATGTGAATGAACTGAGGGTCCTGCAAATAATATGTAAAAATGCACATGTAAACATCTATATATCTAATTCTGTATATGTTATAAAAGTTTTATCCAAGAGCTTACAAAAAGGCCATGGTTTTTAATGTATTGACTCTGCTTATGTTTTAATATTTAACTATTGTTTTTTTCTTACTGGCATAGGAAAATCATAGTCTATTTGGCAGCAGCTTATTGGGTATCAAAGATGATGACTCAGACTTGAGCCAAGCTTTGTGTCTTGCAGTTTCAGTATCAGAGATACTTCAAGCAAATCAACAACAAGGGGTCAGTAAGTATTCCCAAAATGGGAAAAATTTAAATCATTTGCTACATCTAGAAGAGTACTTAAGGGTATTTTAATATTAGCAAGTCAGACAACTGAATCTCTGATCCGCTGCTGTGATTAAATTATTTGATTTATTATCTCAATATTATATAGAGATAATATAGTTAGGATGTACTTCTCACATGGGTACTAGTAGTTGTTTATCTTATTAAATATATTTCGGACCACACTGTTCTGCCAGCCCAGCTATTTTGAATCCGAAGCAGAAAATGTGCTTCATGTGGGATATAAGCAGACTCTCCGCACTTATCAGCTCCAATTTTAAAGACACACCTTTTCTTGGGTTCACACAGTAGATGTCAGCTCTTGGCTGCAGATCAGATTAAGAAATGTACTCCACAGGAATTATTGCATTATGCTTTACTAATACAGACTAGTAACAAATCTTTCAAGCCTGACTACACTTGACTTTATCTCCCTCTTATACTCCAGTGAAAAAGGGGGAGCCTGCCAGAGTCTCCTTCAAATATTCTCTTGTTTCGAGCATTAAAGATTGTTTCAGTTTCTTGGCTTGTATAATGGTTCTTGCCTATTTCTCTAAACTCATGTACCTGACTCTCTACAGTGATCCGAAGAGTATACATATTTGAGTTCAGATAGTAAGGAGCCAACAAAGTATGGTGACCTGAATGTTTTTCTGACTACCATGAAAATTGATGTCTATTTTCATATTTGTTATAATCATAACCATCTCACTGCAAAGCAACTTTGTAAAAAACATTTTCAAAGTGCACAATCTTTGGCTAAAGGAGTTGTCTGTATGCTTTTGTTAGCATAAATAAATTATCTTAAGATATGGTGCATTTTCTCTGCCTTACCAACTGATATTATTAAAAAATATTCTTGTTATAGGAAGGAGTAAGATTCTTTGTGGTGGATTGTCGCCCTGCAGAACAATACAATGCTGGCCATTTATCGACTGCATTTCATTTAGATTCAGACTTAGTAAGTAAGCTGTCAGCTTAATATGTTTACTTTTAACTTTTTAGAAGAAAAGGATAGAGTTCAGATATTGCATCAAGTGATGTCATATTGATTTCACTTTTCAGATATCATTCTGAAAATGAAATAGTCTCAGTCTTCCATATAAGCACCCTCCCTCTCTTCTGCTTTTGATAAGGAGCATGGCATATGGAATGGTGATGCGATACTGTACTGTATGTGCAAGAATCCAGTTGCATAGCAGGAGATACAAGTCTGAGAATATTAAAATTTTAGTTCCAAGTGTACTAGGTTCCATAGCTGTTGACTTTATACTCTCATGTTTCAGGGGTTAGTTTTTCATACTGGAAGCTGTTTGTGGACATTCTACATATTAAATACAATAACAGATGGTTTACAGAGGGATTTGAAGATTAGTATAATGTTTGGGTTAATCTGTTTGTTTTTTTTAACATTATGATTAGATGTTGGGTTGATTTGATTATTAGAGACTTCCTCATCTGGAATATTTGTTAATTTAATATAGTATTTTTGTTAACTCAGGAAGGGAAAGCTTATAACTATTTGTAAGGGGAGGAAAACCTATCAGTTTTATTATTATTTATTATTATTTATTTTTCAGCATCTAGCTGGGGTGGATTCTTTATGTTTAATGTTAGATCTATTTGACATTTGGGGGGTTTTGTACACAAGAATTTTTTATTCTTGTTAGCATTGGATGTTCTTTTTTTCTATTTTATTCTAGTTTAGTTGATAAACTAAATTTAAAAAATATTTTCATTACTGCTATGTAAATCTTTTGTAAGTAATTGTTCAATTGTGAGACTTCTTCATGCCTTGCCTAAATGTTTTACAAAAGCTGAAATATTGAAAAGTAAAATCCAAGATTGATCATTGGGATACTTAACCCCTCCCCTATATAATAAGGAACCTACTGATGAGCACTCTGCTTTTTGTGCTAGTTGTTTGTTCACTTGATTTTACTGTCACCCAGCTAATTACTTAACTAGCTTTCTGATCAAACCTCATGGGAGACTAAATAAAATTATTTGCCAAATTCAAATTACATTATGTCTACAACATTCCCACAAATTACTGAGAAAGTTACCCATTTAAAAATGAGATGAGATTAATCCAGTAAGATTTGTTCTTGACATTTCCACACTGATGTCTGATGCTGGTTATACTGCTTTCAAGATGCATATATCCACGAAGATATAACTATAGATCTCTGTGTAGCTGACTTTTCCAAAACGTAGTTTAGTTTAGCTATAGAAAAACATAATAAATGAATTAGCTATAATAGTCTCTTAACAACTGGCTGAGAATTATTTTTTCTCAATTTTAAATATATCAGTAGGTTTTTTAAAGTGATGATTTAGAGAAAGAATTAAATGATCAGCTGAACAGATGTGCAGAAATGATTTCTGCTTTCGCCTTCTTTTACAGATGCTTCAGAACCCATCAGAATTTGCCCAGTCTGTGAAATCTTTGTTAGAAGCACAGAAACAGTCAATTGAATCTGGTTCTGTAGCTGGTGGAGAACATCTTTGTTTCATGGGTAGCGGTCGAGAAGAAGAAGATATGTACATGAACATGGTACTTGCACATTTCTTACAGGTATATCTAAAATTCTATCACATATTGCCTTTAAACACGATAATTAATTTCTTTCCTTTGTATGCCATCAATTCAATTTGGGTGATACTCCCATCCTTACCATACTGAAAAAATATTTGCAATTAATTTTCATAGATGTAGGGTCCAACTGTTTGGATTATTGCATGTAAATTCCCTGTCAAACAGTTAACTGAATTGTGAAAAGTTTGCACAATATATTGTTGAATTGTATATGTTGTATAGGGAGGAATGTCTGTAGTAATGGGAGGTAAATTTTGTTATGTGTGTTCACCATAAACATCAATATTTTTAATAAACATTAAAAACATAATTCTAGGCTTGAAAAGTCCCTTAAGAGCAAGAGAGATATTTTTAAGGTAGTTAAAACACAATTTTTTCTATGGTTTTCTGCCACTGGAAGCCACTTCTATATTAAAAATGCAGATTGGGGAAACCGGATTCTAAACCTTTTTTATGTTATTTGACTCTTATCATGAATCTGGAGATATTGCGCCTCTCACATGTATGAGATTGGTCCTTAGGCTGAGAAAGGAGGAAATGTTTATTGTTAATGAAAAAGGCCCACTCTTATTTAGAAAGGGAACTATAAGACTTATTGACCTGTTTCAGTGAAGCACCAGCTTTTTCAAGATGAAAAATGTCAAATAGATCTAACATTAAACATAAAGAATCCACCCCAGCTAGATGCTGAAAAATAAATAATAATAAATAATAATAAAACTGATAGGTTTTCCTCCCCTAAGGCTTTTTTTTTATGTTACACTTATTTTGTTTTTAAAAAATCCCTATGCTAATCTCATCTTGGTGATTTCCAATTTTCTTATTTCAGAAAAATAAAGAATACGTAAGCATTGCTAAAGGTGGATTTATGGGTAAGATTTTCTTTTAACTACAGGAATAAATGGAATCATGGCTCATTAAAGAACTGCAACATTTGCTTAATGACAATCACAAAAAGGATCATAAAATTGAATTGGTCATGTGAGTGATCCATTTTAGGACCATTATGATTTACAGCCATATACGTTAAGTCAAGGACTACCTATAGTTTCTATAATATTCTAGGATGTTTATCTCAAGCTGCACTGACCAGAGATCTTAACCTCTTGGTTTTGAATTCCATAGGGATTATAGTTTTAATCCTAATCTGGTCTAAAATAGAGTCTGACAGAAGTTGAGTCTTTTTTTTTTCTCTTACGTTAATATTAACATACAGTATTTGTTCTCATAGTTCCCACTTCAAAATTCTGCTTATGACCTAATCATTCTTAAATTTAAGAAAGATTGTATGATTAGAAAAAAATATTTATTCCTATTATTATATGGCACCCAACTCCTAGGAATCCTGAGAGTTTTTAGTAGCTTTAATTGTGCAAGTTTTGGATAGAACTGAATTTGTAGCTAATGCCTTTTACATAATATGATGCTTTATAGAATGCATCATAATTATTAGCATATTTGAGCACTTTATTGCATACATTAGGTAACATTTATATACACCTGTTAGTTTATTACATTTTAATGAGGTTAACAAGACAGTTTTGCTCAATCAACATTAATTTTTTTTTCATAGCACTGCAACAGCACTTAGCAGACATTAACATTGAAGGACCAGAAAATGGATATGGCCATTGGATTGCTAGCACCTCAGGCTCAAAAAATAGTATTAACTCCTTAGTTGATGTGAGTGTTTTTTAAATCAAATTATTTAGCTTTTAACATAAAGTTTCATGATTGTATTTATTTATTTATAATATAGAACAACATATCACATGCATTGAAGGAGAAAAGAGATGTTAGGCTTTGTTTCCAGTCAGCTAGTAAACCCTTTCCCAGTTAACAAATTTTAATAAAGGGCATAAGTGATAATTAGCGCTACTTTAAATTTGATACCTTAGCTGAACTGTATGTTGGCCTAGAAGTGGAGCTCTCCCCTCACAATCAGGAGGCTGTGAGTTCAATCCAATTAGCAGCAAATATTTCTCTCTCTGGATGCAATGAGAAAATATCTGCTGTGAACTCTGCATAGGCGTCAGGAAGGCCATTCGGCCAGTAAATGCTCAGGTCCATTCAGTTGCCAGGACTCCACCCCGATGCAACGGATTACAGGGTTGTTAAAACAAAAAAAATGTGATTCCTAGCATCATGTTATAAACTAGATTATGGCAGCGTTTTCCGTCTTCAGTTGCCTCTACATTAGGAATAGCCAATGTAGTAACAAAAATATAGACTTTTATTTATTTCGCCATGTTTTTAAGAGAAGAATATAGAAACAAGACTTGCCAATATATATGCTCTATATGTTACAGTCTAAATAGTTCATATACTGTGGCCATATGTAGAGGTTGGTAGAGATTCAACAGAAACTATAAAAGCAAATTTCAGAAGCACTTCGGGGGGGGAGCATGCGTACCCTTGGGTGCTTAGATTTCACTCTTTTGTTCCTTACAAATAGTGCTTGTATCAAGTTCAGATTTTGGTGATTATGGAATATAAATGAATTATACTCAGAAACATTATGTTTTTTTAGGGTGATTCTCCAAATGGATCAAATGATGGAAAGGGTGTCAAGTCTCTGGTAAACAAGATGACTGAAGCTTTAAAGACAAAATCTGTAAATGTGAAAGAAAAAGTTATCAGTTTTATTGAAAATACTTCAACTCCTGTAGATAGGTGAGTTATATTGACATATTTATTATAGGAATGTGAATTCTCTGGAATGTTTCACTTTATCCCAGAATACAGTGATTACATCTAAAATACTAAATTACTTCTTTATCAATTCCATGGATAAATGATAATCCGGGACTGGATTGATATATTTCAGGAAAAAAGAAATTTTCCAGAAACACCGTTTTCAGATTACTATTTCTGACCAATCTTCTTGCATGTTAAATCACACATTTTATTCTTCCCTGATTGTTTTATGCTTCTGTGAAGAGATTTAATGGGTTGACATTAGAATTATTCCTATGTGTTAGCAAACATATATGCAACATTTTTTAGATTGGAAAATTTGTTATTTCTCATTTCTTGTTCCACCTACCGTATTTTTCACTCAGATACATATACACACACATATACACATATTCATGAAAGCCAGTGGGGTATTGTGGTAAAAGTGCTGGATTAGGAGTCAGGAAGAACATATATGTTTTTCTTTTAGCCAGGTTTTTCCTACGTAACCAAGATTTTTCTACAGCCCTAGCTCAGTGGAGTCACATCCACTCGATTCTGGGCTTTTTTCTTCTGGCAGCCAGCAGGCCTTATGCTGCCCTATGCTGCTTAGTGAGAGACTTATATAGATCTATTTCTGGCTCGCTAGCCATCATCAGTAAGCCACACCCACATCTCATGTATCCTCCCTGTAAAGGTACAATATCTATTCTGGCAGGCCTGCTGGCTGCCAGAAGAAAAAAGCCCAGAATCGAGTGGATGTGACTCCACTGAGCTAGGGCTGTAGAAAAATCTTGATTACGTAGGAAAAACCTGGCTAAAAGAAAAATACACATAAAACCTACGAAAAAGTAAGAAAATATACATACATACATATATAATGTTAATATATAACATTAATTCCAAATGGGAAGACAAAAATCAGATTTTCTTAATATATTGTAATTATTTATTCTGTCCTCTGCCCAATTTGATATAGAATTTCTTTCAATCTTCCCTGGCCTGACAGAGCAAGTATGCTGCGGTAAGCCACATGCAGAACCATCTGAGTAAAACTGCCTTTGTCCTTTTTTAGCATGACTTCATACTATTTGTAAGCATCAGTTATACTGTCAATGGTTCTCAGAGTTTTTAAAATTAGGAGTGCTTTACATCAAGCTCAAATATTTAAATTACTAGTCATAGATGTTCACATTCATTTATAGATGACACATGCATATGTAATAAATGCTACCTCCTTTTCAATATGATGCAGTCAAATGTTAGTCACAATTTACTATTTTGTTTGAACGTTAAAATGCAGCTACATTTTTGATAATCCTACTCAACAAAATGGGATTCTGTGGTTAATTAGATTTTGGATGAGAGTTGAAAAATTGATATGGAAGAGAGGTTTCATTATTAAATTACATTTCAATAATTTTAAAAAGTATACCCTTATGGCATACCTTAAGTATATTTATATGGCCCATTACATTGCCAGTGATGCTTTGACTAAGTATCATAGATAAGAATTTTGAAATAATTCAATAATAAGAACCCAATGGATTTCATAGGCATAATGCAAGAAGAAATCATTTTGACGATGGACAGATTAAAGTAGCCAGAATTGTTATGGTAGATAAATTTAGCAGTTGTCTATGGGAATATTGTTTCTAAATTGTGGTTGTATTTAATATCACCTGAATATCTAGCTTACAACAGCAAATTACCTTAAAGGTATTTATTTATTTACATGAAGTGTGAGAACAGCTACCCTCTTAAACTAAATGACTGGAAAAATGTAATTTGGTTTGCAAACCATGGTGTGCGTTAACCATGTTTATATTAAAACAAGCAGATTATGGCTAAAGGTCGTGTTCTTATTAAGCACATCAATAACGATTTCTCTATTGGCATGTATTCCTTATACCTTCTTGAAGTGCACTTAAGCCCATCAAACTAAGGTATCTCATATCTAGATATGATGGGCAGCTCACAAACAAACAAATAGACCATATCAATCTTAAAACCACAAATCAGAATTAGCGTTATCTTTGCCTAGATAGCGACTATAGTATGTTGGGCTTGTAGTGAAATCTGAAAGAACAGAGAATTGTATAGGCCTTTAAAGCATATAAAGAGGGCCTGCAAATTTTGAAACAATTGCAAGGAAGGATAAATTGTTGCCTAAAGCCATTTTGTAAAAATAGTGGGCATTCTGGAGATAGTAAATAAACAAAGTATCCAGTAGAATATATTTATCTCATACACCAGCTATTTTATTGAACACTGTCAGTGTTACAGATGCTTATCTTTACTAACAAGCACCCCTCATCTGGCTTTCTCTGGATGGCGCATGTGTTGTCTCTCTTCAACGCAGTTCAGTTTCCTATTATTTTAATCTGCCAACTCCTAGAAAATGAAAGCACTTACCTTCAGGAATAGAGATAAATGTGAGTGTTCCCATCAGTTTTCCCATTCTTCTTTCTTATGTTACCTATTTGCATCTTCTAGCAGCCATTTCTACACTAAAAAGTGAAATTTGAATCATTTTCAAAAGTGAATCGGACAGAGATTTTCTTATACCTAATCAGCATTACAATTTTTAAAATGTATGCATAACATGCTGGAATGAGCTACTTGCTGTGAAGTATGAAACTATTTAACATGGCATTCGGTTTCTGTAATAAAGTGCGCTTTCAGTAATTGATGAAAGATGAATGAGCAAGAAACAAGATCCATCTGTGAAAAATCTAAAGAAGAAATGCTATAATTCACATTCTACAGCTCTCAAGTCTGTTCTATTATTGATGTTATGATTTCTCCAGAGATATTTATTAGATTAAACTAACACTTAAATATTCTCAGTTTTTTATCTGTCAGTATTGCATACATTGGTTGGAAACCAATAATAGTTTGTCCCTAAACATGCCTTGATATATTACCACTTTAAGGAAACCTTTGACTTAGATTTGTTAAAACATAGATGTGCAGTGTGTTGCCCTCTAGATGTTGCTGAATTACAAAGCCCAGTGAGAAGAGGAGCTTGGAACTGTAATTTAATAATATCTGGAAAGCTACATAAACCCACTGAAGAGATCTGTGTTTTCTGACTATGCTTACTGAACTTTTCAAACCAAACTTCTTGTACGTAATACAGTCCAGCCAGTTCAGTGCTCTTTTGCTTGCTTTTCACTAATTCAGTACGGTTCATTGCTTTTGCACAGCCAACTACCTTTATTGAATTCTTTGACTACACGCACACAGATTTACACCTGGATCACATTGCATGCTGCTAATGAGAAAAATGCTTCGATAAATTATATTTTAAAATGAAGATTATTTTTCCTTTCTTATGTTCTTTCCCTGCCAATAGGCATGTCAGCAGCAGTGACCGAGTAGGAAAACCTTATCGGGGTGTGAAGCCGGTTTTCAGTATTGGAGATGAAGAAGAATATGATACTGGTATAGTAAAAGTTATTATAAGCAAATTATGTGTTGTAATTTCTAGCTAAGTCTGGAATTCTGTTATTAAAAAGACACTCTAATTGTGATCTGAAATTCCAACTGAATCTGCAATATTACCAATATCATTTTGGAGAAGCCATCATTCATCAGACTTCAGATACACCTTACAAAATCCGAAGGCTTTACAACAGAAAAGTGCATTGTTTGGAAAATCAAACAATGATGATGAGCAGCAGTGTTTTATTTCATGAATTTCAAATTAGAATGAAAAATGTTTTTCAAAATATGTGACAGAAATCGAAAAGATTTTGACCATGACAGCATTTTTTTTCTTTTTGAAACAGATGAAATCGATAGCTCTTCAATGTCTGATGATGATAGAAAAGAAATCGTAAACATTCAGACTTGGATAAATAAGCCAGATATAAAATATCATTTCCCTTGTAGTGAAGTGAAAGAAAGCGGACACATGTTTCCTAGGTATTGTTGCATTGGCTTTATAAACTTAATAATGTTTCTAATGCTAAAAAGTGGCTCCCTCTGTCTTTCTCTTTCTGTATGTGTGTGTGTAGGTATACACATACACATACACACTTTAGTATAGACAATTGCTAGCTTTTAAATGCTTCTGTAATTTTTCTGTAATTTGTAATTTTATGTAGGCTTCTGTAATTATTTTCCAAATTAACCTTTAACCCTACTTAATAAAAAAAAATATAGGGTGACTAATTAAGTGTATGGATTAATGGCTCACACATTGTATTGCAAATTGACTGCAGATAATCATTTCATAGCAGATATTTCGTTTTGGTCGTAGCATAATATTATATATTTGCGCTTTTACCACAATATAAAACATGTCCACAACTTGATGAAAAGTCAATTGTAAACTTGCCAAATAACTGTTATGTATAGTCACATAATATTATTATTTACAAAATGCATTTGACTCATGATAATAATGCTGAGGATGGGGAAGTATCTGTTTCCTGATATAATGCCAGTTATTTTCTGATTTTTTTTTTTTATAGTCACCTTTTGGTAACTACAACACACATGTACTGTTTGCGAGAGATTGTCTCTCGAAAGGGATTTGCTTACATACAATCTCGTCAGGCACTAAATGCTGTGGTCAAAATTACTTCCAAAAAAAAGCATCCAGAATTAATAACCTTTAAGTATGGAAATAGCACTGCTTCAGGCATAGAGATTTTGGCAATTGAGAGGTAAGATTTTACTATGATTACATATGAACTACATATGAATCATCCATATATTTTGAGGATTCATTTATGTATCAAAATGAAATAATCAATTGACAGTAATTTCTAATATTGTTAAGCGCAGCCTTATTATATGGGAAATTATAAAGTCATTATATAAACAATGTCTCATGTTTAATGAAAAATGCTAGTATCAGAGGTGGGTTTCAGCAGGTTCTGACCAGTTCTGGAGAACCGGTAGCGGAACTTGAGTAGTTTGGAGAACCGGTAGCAGAAATTTTGAGTAGTTCGGAGAACCGGTAAATACCACCTCTGACTGGTCCCACCCCCATCTATTCTCTGCCTCCCGAGTCCCAGCTGATCGGGAGGAAATGGGGATTTTGCAGTAACCTTCCCCTGGAGTGGAGTGGAAATGGGGATTTTACAGTATCCTTCCTCTACCACGCCCAGCATGCCACGCCCACCAAGCCACACCCACAGAACCGGTAGTAAAAAAAAATTTAAACCAACTACTGGCTAGTATTTTTTTTGGTTTGATTTATATGCCACCCTTCTCCGGAGACTCAGGGCGGCTTACAATACGTTAAGCAATAGCCTTCATACTTTTGTATATTTATACAAAGTCAGCTTATTGCCCCCACAGTCTGGGTCCTCATTTTACCTACCTTAGAAAGGATGGAAGGCTGAGTCAACCTTGATTATATTACCATTCAAAAGGCTGAGCCTTCTTCAAGTTCTATAGAACTTTTTATACATTCTTTAGTTGGCTAAACAATAGTCTAGAAATTATTACTCCTTGTGTTTTAATTAAGATACAGTTTAATCACTATGTTAGATCATGAGTGAATCATCTACATACATCCTGGAATTTTGTGATTCTCTTAACAGCAACATATTAATCAGTGTTCCATATAATTTAAACTTTTCCCAAGTGTAAAAATAAATTGGAAATTAGTTGCTAGGCAACCAATATTTTATATATTTATGTATTTATCAAATTTATGTAGCCTCCATTTTACAAGTAGTTACTCTGGGACAACAATAAAGTAAAACAAAAATATATAAAAACAATCTATCAAAAATATACAACAGTCATGATTAAAAATAAAAAGTCTCAAGAGAGAATAAATATTAACTATATCAGCGGAGCCATCTTAGAATGTCAGTGGTCTCCTGGGATCTCAGCCTAAGGACATAGCCATGTCTTGAGAGACTTCCAGAACATTATGCGGCTAACTGTAGGTGATGATGAGGCAGAGCCTGAAGGCGGAGTAGAAAAGAAATGACACACTGATTCTTTATCTCATTTCAATTTCTTTGGAAATCAGCATCATTGTATATGTATGCCTGAGTATGTGTGCCCGTGTGCGCATGCGCGTCATATATAAGGATCCTATTGATCATGATGCAATATTTTAATTGTACTATTTTATATTATGAAAGGGATTTAGTATATTAACAAATGATGTTATCATTTCCATTTTTAAGGTACTTGATTCCAAATGCAGGTGATGCCACCAAAGCTATAAAACTACAGATTATGAAAGTACTGGATGCCCTGGAAAGCTAATAAGAACAGATGTTTTCACTGTGTCTTCAGAAGAAAGTGGTGGCCAAAATATTTTATGTGGCCTAAAATGACTTGTTGCAGCTGAATACTAACCTAAGAGGACATTTCAGTTTATTGATGGGAGTGCCTGGATAACCACTTTATGGTAGAAGTAAACTATACTTTTGAAGAGATTTTTTTAAAGTATTTTCTTTAACACATTTGCAAATATTGTTTGTTATAAACTTGAGTTATTTTTAAAGTAGCTTTGGAGAAGCTGACTTATTCGTAAGGAGAAAACTCAGTACATAGATCTGTTTGAAAAGATGTACTGTAGCCAGGCAATACTTTCCAATATTGGAAAATATTTGAACTACATAATTCACAATTGAAAAACAAGACATATTTTTACAAGCCTTGAATATTTGGCTTGAACTGCTACGCATAGTATCAGGGTTTGGCACAGTACTTGAGGCAAGGATCTAGAACTTCTTTAAAATAACATTACATGCTATCAAACTTGGGGCAGGTTTATAGGGACATACAATGTGTATGTAATTTTTAAAGTCTTCTATGAGGTTTAAGAGAATAGTTAAATTCCGGAAGCTTGAAATGGTAAGCAGCATACAGCAGTTGAATGTTAACAGCTTTATGCTCTAGAATGAAAGCTAAGGTTTTCCAAAGTCAACATTAGATTGGGAAATGAAATCATAATTCATTTTTCATAAGAGAATATAAGAATTGGCTACACTAATGGACATGCAAATATAATCTTTCAGAAACCTGTTCAAAATCTGTCCAGCACTTACTAAAATTGCAATGCGCATGAGTGAAGCAAAGTGTGGAAACTTTATGTATGATGTCTTTAGTTTTTCTTTGAAATGTATCAGCTGAATGCTATTAATAATGTCTTCAGTGCTTGAGATTAAAAAAATAAAATCTGGTGCAAAAATCCATAGTTTTTAAAGATAACCAAAATGGTTGTGAGAGGTATTTGAATGCACTTACAAGTCTCAAGGAAATCCTGTAAATGCTGACATGAAAGCTGCAAAACGTGAGAGTAACAATTCTTAGGATTTCAGTAGGTTGGACAAAAAAATAATAGAATATCTGCAGATCCAATCAACATGCCAATGGAAACTAAAATCAACTGATCTTCACTACCAACTCTTTTGAACTCTTAATAAGAATCATGTAGGCACCTTAATCCTGAAACCAATACTCATTTTTTAAAAAATAAAACAAGTATATAAATATGAATTGCATGAACTGCACTTTTGCCAATACTCCTGTATTTATAGTTCTGTCCCAGAACTGTTGCATTATTTTTTTCCCCTTTCTCTACTCTCCTTTTAAAAAGCAAATTAAAATCTCCTAGAGGTTTTCCTGCCTAATTTAGCAATGACACTTTTTTCATAATATTAATGTAAAGATGTTCGTGCAATTGTTTATAAAAGTGCTATTGTAAATAAATCATTACTACTTAAAAGCCAATTATTTGTCCAAGTCATTTGGATACAGGATGCTTGATCCAACCGTCATTTCCAAGAAATAACAATAATAAATCAACAAATCTACACTTCACATCATTAGATTGGGTTAATGCAATTCTAACTATTTTCTTTAACTCTACATTCTTCAGTCTGTTCTGGAAGGTGAGGAATCTTCTGAGAATCTGAGTGCTTGCAAAGTAACAAGTGTACACTGGAAGTTTCAATGAATTCCATCCAGTGATACTGGTGAAACTTCTTTTTGCATTCTCTGCTATACAGTTTTTAGTGTGGGTAGCATTACTTCTGCTTAGCGCTGTTGCAAAGAGTGTGCAAAGGCGTGTACAGTTAGTTATACACACATTTAAATGTCACTTCCTTGACGTACCGGTATTATCTAAGATTCTAAGGAGTATATGAAGTTAATACAACATACTGAAACTCTTCTTAGTAACCATTTTTGGTCTAAGTAGGGTTTGGGTTTAAAAGACAAAGTGGGATTTGGAGTGTGGGGAACACTTGTTGCAAACACCCTAAAGCAGTCATGTCTTTTCATGTGCTTATGTGGCTGCCTCTGCAGCTGAAAACAATCCTCAAAAAAGAAGCAATTGCTCTAAAGTGTTCTGACCAGGCACTGGGTATTGGGTGGATTGACTGTCCACGGGATGTTCAAGTTATATTTTGTCTTTGAATCCTAATCTCTGCACTGCCCACTTTCCTCTTTGAGCCAAGCTTATTGTCTTTACTTTTACTACACCTACATTACTATTCGAGCAGGCCATGAGCATTGGAGCACCATTGTTATATACTTTATTAAAAGGGTTTATTAGTTGTTCAACAGACGATGGTATTTAGGAAAAGCAAAGCAAAACAAACTGTAACTGCAACAATGAAAGGAATAAATACTGTAAATTCTATGTGTGGAAGAAAGTCTAACATAACTGGCAGAAGAACAAATTCTAGAGCCACTTAATACAGAACAATGGAAATTTAACAAACTAAAAGGCCTGTCTATATAACACTGTCTAAGCCCAAAATAAAACCTTGGGGTAGGAGGGCTACTACTGAAAAAGTCCAGTCTTTCAACAACTGCCTACTATATGAATTTATCATGGGAATGCTAACTGCCATATATGAAACATAAAATAAGTGATATGGTATTAATTTGTGGGTGATATTTTTGGTCCTGGTCTAATTTAATGTTCCTGATTTCACTGCTAAAATAAGTCATAAATATTTAAAGCGAAGCAGTGTTTTCCCATAAAGCTATGAATTTCTAATTTGATCACTGATTAAATGTGCTTAAAATTACATTGTCGTATAAACGTGTAAGATTGCAAACAATTTTAATGAAGGTAAATCTCATAATTAATCTAAAACAAGTATGCTTTTAAGATACAGTATTTCAGTCTGCAGTCCTTAGAACATTGCAGTAATTAGTGATCACATTTGACTTGCAACAATTGTTTTTGAATGCTCAAATCCATATTTTACTACTCAAAATTATCTTGAAATAGCAATAGCACTTAGACTTATATACTGCTTCATGGTGCTTTACAGCCTTCTCTAATAAATATTGGAGGCAATATGCTTACATAATCAGCATATTGCCTCCAACAATCTAGGTTCTCATTTTACCGATCTCAGAAGGATGGAAGGCTGAATTAACCTGGAGTGGTCAGGATCGAACTGCTGGCAGTTGGCAGTTAGCCTGCAATACTGCATTCTAACCACTGCACCATCATGGCTGTGCTGCACTTTTTAAGTAGAAAAGATCAGCATGAATGTATGTTACATCTAACTTACAGTCAATCAGTGCTGCTTGCAACACCTTATCAGCTCTCGCCACTTGCAATTTGTTTCATGGCTTGGCACAAAGGTGCTTTTCAAAAAGTCAACTGGACTTTCTTGGTTTTTTTCTTTGAAAACATTTCACTTTTCATCCAAGAAGCTTCTTCAGTTCTGGCTGGATGAGAAGCAAAATATTTTCAAAGAAAAAAACCAAGAAAGCCCAGTTGCCTTTTATAAAAGCACCTTAGGGACAACCATGACGTAGATGACTGAGAATCTCCATAGACATTTTCATGACTTGGGAATGGCTAGGATTGAGAGGGCTGGAGGTATAGCCTTGATCCACGGTCAGAAATTTATGCTGAGAGCATGCTCACCTTTCCCAGAGACACCAATCTTCCCTTGAGATCATGATCAGGTAAATGGTTCACACAAGTTGACAACACATAAAGAATTATTTGTTGACCATTTAGCTTTCTTGATTTCAATGTAGTGAGGTTTTCCTTAGGCATACACACACATTGCACTCTTTTTGCTCTCAGTCACAAATTTTACTAACTGATAAAAGAAATCGGAGAAGAGTGGGAAAAACAGCTGACCTTGGTGAAGTTAATACATTTTACAACATTTTTAAATCTGTATTATTTATTATGAGTGTGTGTCAGATCTATGGGACATGATTCTGAAGGATTACTTTAGAGGCCTTTTAATACACTGGGGCCTACACTGATAGTTACTTAGGAGAAAATACATGACATCCTCAACTTGTGCCCAAAATTTATGTTGTTAAGCTAAACATTTGGTAAGTGAGTTGTGCCCCCATTATACGACCTTTCTTGCCACAGTTGTTAAGTGAATCACTGTAGTTAAGTTAGTAACATGATTGTTAAGTGAATCTGGCTTCCCAATTGACTTTGCTTATCAGAAGGTTGCAGAAGGTAACCTGATCCTGGGACACTGCAACCGCCATAAATTTGAACCAGTTTCCAAGCGTCTGAATTTTGATCATGTGATCAGGGGAATGCTGCAATGGTTGTGAGTGTGAAAAATGGTTATCAGTCACTTTTTTTAAGTGCCGCTGAAAGTTTGAATGGTCATTAAATGAACTCTTGTAAATCAAGGACTACCTGAATTGAGAAATATTATTGGTACAGAGAATATGCCTAAGGCTTCACATCATGAAGTAGAGTTGCCAACTGAACAAAAAGTAAACAATTAGACAACAGATTTTTGCAGGTCTAATTCCTCATCTTGGCCATTCTCAGCCCAATAACATCACCACTTACAAAACATGGTCATTTCTCATCCAACACACTTGGAAGGTTCCAGATCAACCGGGAATACACACGCCAGCACCCATTCTAAAAAATAGATTAAAAATCTACAGTATTATAATTTTAAATTGAAATTCAACACAAATTATTAATAATATTGTTTTATGTGTTAATTTTTACAACAATATTAACATAAAAATATCACTGGCTCCCTACAACCATTACTTCATATATTAATTCTCTACTAATTTGTTGAAACTCCCTTTGATGGTCACGTTGGTAGCATCAAATTCTTTAATAAGAACACTACACTAAAGAAGTGCTTTTATTACTTTTTTTTTTTTTTTTTTTTGCAGCCTATCTCACTCAAGGCAACTCTTAGAATCATTCTTAGATTGTGAGGAAGATTAAAAACAAAGCAACCCCCCCCACTTTGCATACTTGACATCATGCAGAGTTTACATACTGTACCTCTATCATGACCTCCCTTTACCCATTTTTGACTGTAAACCAGAATATTTCAAGTTCTTGAACTGTTTCTCTGACTTTGGTTACTTTCCCTCTCCCCTCCCACTTTGGTAAAGGTGCAAAACAATATCCTATTTGAGATGCAATGATCAGAAGAGTACAGCATTCCAATCAACCTTACTCCTTTTTACACAAGGGCATCATTATATTTGAAGTTTTATTTAATGTTTCATTCTCAATATGTTTTCTTAAATAGTCACATTCTGGGTTTACATTTTCATTGAGCTACGCACCAGGATGAGTTGCTCTCAGCTGAAGTTCCATTAATAAATGTGAAATTTGGTCTTTATAGACAGCAAGACATGCAGCTCTTTGCACTGAATTACATTTGCTATCTTGTCATTCTTGTTTTACTTTAGGTCAGAGGTCTTCAAACTTGGCAGCTTTAAGACTTGTGGACTTCAACTCCACAAGTTGAAGTCCACAAGTCTTAAAGCTGCCAAGTTTGAAGACCTCTGCTCTAGGTGGTATTCAGTATATAAGAGGAGAGCTGCAAAATCCCAAATGGCTGCTAAATGGCAGCAAATAGGTTTCTATTGTAGCAGGCGTCTGTATCTTTGTAGCTCAGATATGCTCGTCTGATTAAATGGAGTACAGCCTTGTTCACGACAGCTCTCTCTCTGAAGGGCTAATGATTACAAATTCGGCAAGCTTATCATTCCCCTTCGAAGTTTTCCATGACGAAATATTGGGCTTTATGCTTTTCACAGATTTTCACATACTACAAAAGCCCTGACGGCGGAAGCAAGGAGGAAATAACGCAGCCCTTTTTTTCAAGGATAGAGAATCTGGAATCCGCCCAATGATCTGGACTTCAACTCCCATCATTCTCAGAGACACTATTAAGAGCAAGGGCTTGTGGGAGTAGTGTAAAATAAAAATCGGGAAATAAATGCTCCAAAAGAACTACATTTCCTAGAAGCCCTTGCACTTTTTGAGCATGCGTTGTGATCTCTAAGGATCTTTTTTCTGGACAGCGGCAATCCTTATGAACCAATGTTATGCAGCTGGTGAAAGGAGTCATGGCCAGTGAGTACCGTAATTTTTCCTACAACGGGAAATTGTGTGCTCGGGTAGTTCAGTTTCCACTGAACGCTTAATAAGAGGAGAGTAAAAGAGAAGAGAAACTTTGTCTCTGGCCTGAGGCTTGCCTTCTGCTAAGGGGAGATGACTGGCAGAGGTGCTAAGTTCCTTTCTGTCTAATTTTTGAACAAATTTAACTTAGAAACCTGCCAGTGCAAATTTATGTTGGTTGACGTCGAGCTGTAGTCGTGCAATGGCTTGGTCTGTCTTGGGTGCGGGTGAGGAGAGCAATTAAGAAAAAAGGTGCTGCTTCTGTTTAAGAAAATCTTTTCTCTTACCTTAAGTACTCTTTTTTTTTTGTAATTTTGGATAACTTCAATGGAAGTTATCCAAAATTACATCTAATATAAAGTTATCCAAAATGTGCATCTAAATATAAAGAAAAAAACCATTAGCAAATATAGAAATCAATTTATCACAGTAACTTTCATGAATCAGTCTATACTTTAAATTGTATTTGTTTATATGTATGTATGTATGTGGTTCGTATGTGTAATTCCCAGGTATATAACTATGTTAGTAAATTCCATTCAATCGGATCTGATTCTCAAAGTCTGCCTGGACAAGTAGCTAGAGTTTTCTTGGCAAGGTTTTTTTCCCCAGAAGTGGTTTGTCATTTTAGGACTGAGAGAAAGTGACCCAAAATCATTTCATGGCTAATGTGATCTCCTGGTGTCTATCCTGATGTCTTAACCACTACAATAAACTGGTTCTCATTTACAGTAATATTTTAAATGAATTTATGTCTATTTATTATTAACATTTAATACTACAAATTAACTTATCCTCTAACTGGAGCACTTTGATATTTGGCATGTCTCTGAGTTACTGTGCAATGAGCTGTAATGTTAAATGTGTTACTCAGTTTGCTCATTTGGACTCCAGTTATAAAGTACTAAAAAGTAAGTCTATGTTATTTGTACCATCGGGTTGAGGTGCAGGAAAACATTGGTGATAGGCAGTTCTGCTATTCTGTCAGTTTTGTAAATTATGCTCCAGTAAGTTCATAAAAGATGTTTTGGAACTTTTTTTGGAACTCTTTTTTTTTATCTGAAATTTTGGGAAACCTTATAACTACAATAATTTTATAGCATTGTGCACTCAAGAAATAACATTTTATGATCATGGAATGATACCAAGATGTTTCATTCCTTCTGGCTACTTTTGCTCATGTGACCAGATAAATTGAGGATGGGCAATCTTTTTGTAAGGATTTCTCAAAATTGATAATATGGTTTCCCTAAAATAGTAATATTGTTATTTTTAAAGGCCCAATTCACCCCTACACAGTACATTTTCACTAACATGTTTTTAACAACTGCATCATAGAGTTTGCTAATGTTAAACTTTTATTCAACACAATTTATATAAGGAAGAGAAAGCAAAGCTTTAGTTGTTGGGATTGGGTTGATACAGAATTATGATTTTAATCAAGAGTGCTGCTTAACCCCTCTTTTTTCTTTACATCAGTTTCTTCATCTTGATGCCATCTAGCTACGTAGTTACATTGAGATTCCAGTCCCTGTTCAACATGATCTTTGGTACCCTGAATTTTTTAAGATTTTTAGTTGCTTAACAGTGGTCTGGGAGGCAGGTGTAATTTCTAATTGAAAATTGATGGTAGGATTTTTTGTTTTTCTTCATAGCTGATCCTTTATCTTTTTTTTTACATTTAGATTTTCGTTTAGCACTCATCCAGCTCCATGTGTCTGCTGCCAAAACAGAGAACTTGAACAGAGCCTGTAGACTTGTGAGAACTGCAGCAGGACAAGGAGCAAAAATTGTAATTCTGCCAGTGCGTATAACTTTTTTCAAAAATTACTCTCCAAATTCAGATTTTATTTTATTTTTACTGTTCCTGAGCCCTACACTTGGTGTTTACTTTTTCTCCCTGACATAGTTAGGGATTTCTTTTCAAGATCAGAATGAATATTAAAATTGGGCTTCAGACAAACACTCACTGCCGTAGCTATTCCTGCATCTATATGCTACTAAAACTATCCTGCCGGTTGATTTCTAACTTTCAAGTACCCAAAGAGTGCATCATAGCACAACAATTTTTAATCAAGGTATCTCAAATCCACTACTTTAAAGAATGCACACCATGTCCAGGACCCATTACTCCTGTGTAATTGAAATTTCAATGTTTTTCATGCCAGTTGTATTTGCAAAATTGTGGCTGTTGCAGCATTTTATGTTTTTAAAACATTATTTCTTGTTTTATAATGTATTTTTCACATATTTTAAAGTTGATATCTTGTTGTTTTTCTGCAGAGCACTGGGCTCTTTCCAGATGTTTTGTGGAAATTTGGTGGTTTTGTGATATTTTTCTTGGCCATGTGACCAATATTTTAGAAAATGTGGACAGTTTATTTTGATTTAAAAATGGGTTTCATTCTGTTTTCAAGTGAATATTAGAGCTTCATTTGCAGTGATAGAAGGCAAACTGGGATATTAATGTGTGTGTGGGGAGAGACATTTAAGTAATACCTGTGGCCCAGATGAGTTTTCCCATTTGTTGAAAGTGCTTATCTCTGACTCTGCTTAGTGAAGTTGAAACTTGTATCAGATGTAGCCAAAATCCAAGGCCTTATATATTAGTGGCCCAAAGCCATGCAGCAGCTTTCATGCCTGAAAGAGGCCAACCAGCCAGATGCTTGCTGACTACACCCCAAATAATTCGATGTCTATCCAAATAGTGATCCCAAATAACTCCATGTCTATCCAAATAGTGATCTTAATTAAGCAACAAAATCAGAGCAGAACTTCTTTGAACAGCAAAGGATTTATTTGCTTATGATATTTGAAGCCTAAGTTTATAGATCAGACTAAGCTATAATGTATGTTTTGAGTGGCAGAGGTTTCCTTAGCTATTAAGCCGAAGATATCACATTATGGCTTAGTGTGCTGTTGAAACCTGTAGAAGCTTATTCATTCAGGTAGTCCTTGTCTTATGACCATAATAGGGCCTACTGATCACAGTAGTAAACTGGGACTAATTTTACAATATTTTTTGCAGCAGTCATTAAGCGAATGTGGTGGACATTAAGCGAACCCATTGTATGCTGTAGGGCAGTTTTTGCTGGAAACTAAAAGTAAATGCTAGTTTCTGTCAAAAACATAAATCATGGTCACATGGGTCATGTGACTGGGGGGCAAACATCACAACTTCAAAATTGGGTTGTTAGTCCATTTTTGGGGGTCAATTGTAACTTTGAACTCTCACTAAGCAACCTGTTATAAATCAAGGACTACCTGTACTGTGGTGAAGTGTAGTATATTTTTTATTCTGCCTTGATTTATACATACCCATCCACACAAACACCCACACAAACTCAAGGCGATAAACATACCTGATATTCCTGCCTCCTATTTTCCTCACAACAACAATCTTTTGAGATGGGTTGGGCTGGTAAAGAATTACTCACACAGTTAGCTTTTATGCCTGAGAGAGGCCAAGAATTCCCAGTATCCTGGTTTCTAGGTAAGCAACTTAATCGCTACACCAAACTGGTTATCTCTCATGATTTATAATGTAGTATGACTTCATATGTTATGTGAACCAGGTTTGTATAATTCCAGTATCAGTTCAGCCATTTAGCTTCCTCCAGCTGGAAGAAAAAAAAAGATATTGAATTAAGTCTGCTCCAACAAATCTATTGTCATGAGTGGTTTTTTTTCTTATGGCCAGTCATTTTTGCATTTTATATTTTTATGTTACTTTTTTTTAAAAAAAAAAAAAGATATATTCCTTAAATATGTTTACATGGGTGTCTGACTTACTTTGGTTCTCGTTATAGGAATGCTTCAATTGTCCCTATGGCACAAAATATTTCCCAGAATATGCAGAGAAAATTCCTGGAGACTGCACACAGAAGCTCTCCAATATTGCAAAGGAATGTGGTATATATCTCATTGGAGGTAAATTGTTATTTTTAAATTTTACTTTTGTATATAAATACAGCAGGGGTGAAAGTTAGAACCAGCAGGTTCTTACTGATTCTAGAGAACCGGTAGCAGAAACTTTGAGTAGTTCGGATAACTGGCAAATACCACCTCTAGCTGGCGCCAGAGCGGGGTGAGAATGAACATTTTGCAATATCCTTCCCCAAGGAGGGGAGGGAATGGAGATTTTGCAATATCCTTCCCCTGCCACACCCACCAAGCCACGCCCACAGAACCGTTAGGGGAAAAAAATGGATTTCATCCCTGAAATAGAGCCCATTTATTTGACTAAATAATCATCTTTGTTTTTAACAGGTTCTATTCCAGAGGACGATGCAGGAAAATTGTATAATACGTGTACAGCTTTTGGTCCTGATGGCACTATGTTAGCTAAATACAGAAAGGTAGAAAAAGAAATTCTTGTTTGTCCCTTTTTCTTTCAGTTTGATAACATTACAGATAGTCCTTGACTTACGACCACAATTGACCCCAAAATTTCTGTTGTTAAGTGAGACCTTTGTTGAGTGAATTTTGTCCCATTTTACAAATTTTCTTCCACAGTTGTTAACTGAATCAGTGCAATTGATAAGTTGGTAACATGGTTGTTAAGTGAATCCGGCTTTCCAATTGATTTTGCTTGTCAAAAGGTTGCAAAAGGTGATCACATGACCTTGGGAAAACAGCAAGAGTCATAAGTATGAACCAGTTGCCAAGCATCTGAATTTTGATCATCTGAATCATTGGGATGCTACAAATGTTGTAAATGTGAAAAATGGACATAAAGTCACTTTTTCAGTGCCATTGTAACTTGGAAGTGTCACTAAATGAACTGTTGTAAATTGAGGATTACCTGTATCTGCCTCATTTAAAATAAATAATACAATTCTTTATTGAGAGAAGCGTGGATGTCTCATTTAGATATCTTAGTAGAATCCTAGAATTATTTCTTTTGTCACATTTTCCCTCCTACAGTTTAGGAATAGATTTTACTTAAAAACAACTTTTAAAAATACTGGAGTTTAGCTTGAGAATCTGAAACTTAGCACAGGTTCTAATTTTTATAGAAGAGCTCAAGGTCTCTCATTTCCATTTTCATATCTGGATTTAAATTGACTGCATCTGAGTCTAGGGACTTTTGTTCATTTCCCTATACTGTCAATATCACACAATTTTATTTCTTTTATGACTTGTATGACAGTGATAATAGCAAAGAGATTTAGGCTAAAGCTATAAACTGAAATTTTAACTTGTGGAAACGTTTTTGTATTTACTGCAATAAACTGGAAATATTAAACAAAACTAATTAATTTTCTCTGACTTCTTCCAATGTATGAGATTACTTCCAATAGTAATAATTGACAGATGGTAGGTAACAGAGGTTAGTGTGCATGTGTCAAAGAAGTAACTGAAAAAACAAGGACATTTCAACACATTGCTTCTGTCACAATCATCCACTCCTTGTTAACTATATTAACCACTAAATTATTTACTGTTGCAATGATCCTGGTTTAATTATTTCTAGGAAGAGCTGGTGGAATGCCATTGTAATTTAGGCAGTCATCATACCCATTAAACAAAACTTCTGTGGTGCTTTCTGAAAGTTAAATATTTTCAAGTGATCTAAATGAAGTATAAAGAGCCTTGGTGGTGCAGCAGACTAAAGTGCTGTTAGGTAGCACTTAGCTGCCAGCTGCCTCCAATTACTGCGAGTTCAAATCTCACCAGGCTCAAGGTTGACTCAGCCTTCCATCTTTCTGAGGTAGGTAAAATGAGGACCGGATTGTGAGGGCAATAAGCTGACTTTGTATATAAAAAAGAACACCGCTTAGGGAGGGCCGAAAGCCCTACTAAGCAGGTATATACAAAAGTATGAAGGCTATTGCTTAATGCACTGTAAGCCGCCCTGAGTCTCCGGAGAAGGGTGACATATAAATCGAACCAAAAAATAAATAAATGTGTTGCTTGTGTATACGGTATTATTTGACATGTTATATTGGTTTGTACATATAGCTGCATTAAGACAAAGTGTACTTCAGTTGAGAAATACCGTTTCCCCTAAAATAAGCCCTCCTCGAAAATATTTAAACACATGCACAGCTGGTCCCTGATATTTCCTCTGGTTAGGGTTAGGGAGAAAGAGCTGGAAATCAGATAAGACGGCAAGAGAAGCCCCGTCTTGCTCCACGCGCCCCAAAATAATAAGACATCCCTGAAAATAAGGCCAAGCACTTATTTCGGGGTTCAAAAAAATATAAGACAGAGTCTTATTTTCGGGGAAACACAGTACATGAATTTCTTGCACTTTCTGGCAACTAGCTGCCTTGTTTCCCATAAATACCCACCAAGTCAATATCTTGCCATTAAAAAGCATACCTTTTTTCCAGACTACTGGCTTAAAGTTTATTTGAAACTTTAATTTAATTTAACTTAATTTAGATTTAACAGAAATGTCTTAATGTTTTTTACTACTCACAAGAAGCTAGGATCAAAATGGTTGACTCTCAATGTATCAATCTCATCTTTCAGTTTAGTGATTGGTCATTTCTTCCTGGACAAAGCTTTTCTCTGTGTTTAATTGTAAACTGATGGTCTGGCATAGCAGTAGTTGGAAGGGCTCAATGTACCATTGCATTCAATGTGCCATTCTGTGAATTTGGGCAGAGAATATGCAATTAAAGAATCTTTAAACAAGAATTGTCTTCACTTTTAAAACAGATTCATTTGTTTGACATTGATGTGCCTGGAAAAATCCGATTTCAGGAATCAGAAACTCTGAGTCCGGGTGACAGGTTTTCTGTATTTGATACACGTAAGTAAAGGAGCTTTGTTTTTGACAGTGAAAACTAATTCACTTTCAGATTTTTTTAATGTCATTTTTTTTTCTAAAGCTAGGATTTTATTCACGATTAACATTTATCTTAATGTACATTCAGTTCCATCATATTTGATTATAAATTATAGTCAAATGTACCATTATAAATGTTTAACATACTTCATGGTGCTGGAGAAATTCTGTGAATTTCTCTGTATGTAACTACTTATTTGCAGAGTTCTTAACTCTATTTTTAGTAGAAAGATATGAATTGATGAAATATTTAATTCCTGAGATGAAACTTGTGATTTAGAGCAAACTTGCTATATGGATATTATAAATCAGGATTCCTTTCCTCTGACATAATAGATACTTTATACAAAAAAAACTAGCATTCTAGAGACATCAATGTTGATCTATAGTAATAAGAAATGTCTTGCATGTCTTGTTTTGATGCAGCATACTGTAAAATAGGAATTGGCATTTGTTATGACATCCGATTTCCTGAGCTAGCTCAAATCTACACCCAGAAAGGTAAAATTGAGAAAAATAAATCTTACCTCCCTCCCTCCCTTCTTCCCTCCCTTCCTTCCTTCTCTGTCTCTCTCTCTCTCTCTCTTTCTTTCTTTCATTAAATGTACATGGCTATCCATCTACTAGAGCAGGGATCTCCAAACTTGGCAACTTTAAGACTTTTGGACTTCAACTCCCAGAAGTCAAGTCTTAAAGTTGCCAAGTTTGGAGACCCCTGTACTAGAGAAATCCAGGGCAGCAAATAAGGATAAAAACACTCATTATATCTTATTAATCCTGGCTCAGTACTTAGGGGAAAAGGCAGGTCTTCATCATTTTCCCGAAGGCCTATAGTGTTGAGGCCACTCCAATTGTGCTGCAATTGGATAGAATTAGAACTAGTTCTAATAGGTTTTCTGCTTCAAAACGGCAACCATTCCACTGGCAAATCAAAGCATCATTTCCAAGGGGCCTTTTCTAGAAGTCAAGTGGTGGTGATGATGGTGGAGCAGGAGGAGCAGGATTATTTAAATATATTAGCTGTCCATCTCCAGTAAATACTAGTGTACAAAAGTGGAAAAAAACAAAAAACTAAAAATATAAAAACAGACAGTTCAGACCAAAATGATCCAATAAACAACAAAATCAACAAAACATAACAGAGGCTTTAAACCAATAAACATCAACCCTGGGCCTGGGAGCAAACCATTGTTTTCAATTATCAGTTTAATTTCAATTATCAGTTTGGAATTCTAATCTGGCAGGTTTTACTGCAAACTGACTTCTTAAAATTATACTGTCAAATATACTTCACAGACTCACCAATGAAAACAAATAGAAAGATTGACTAAAGTGTAGCAAATCAACAGTGATAACTTTCTGTTGCCTACGTTGATCATATTGTCATCCTATCTTCCTTTTGAAGGTTGCAAACTCCTAGTATATCCAGGGGCTTTTAACTTGACAACTGGGCCAGCTCACTGGGAACTGCTGCAGAGAGGCCGGTATGAATCAATTTATTTGTGCCTACACTCATTCCTACATTTGTTACATTGAAATGACTCTCGGTACTGTAACTCTTGGTTATTGTATTTAACTTTTTAAAATTTAAATTCAAATTATGTTATCCCATTTGCTGATATTTTAGATACTTGTGATCTAATGTAGTGCTTGCTATTGAATTTTATTGAACTAAAAAACCCAAAGTTTTCCATATTTAAGAAATCAAGTGCCACATTTTTAATTCCACCTGAAAGGACTAATTGGCTGATACTCTTCCTTTCCCTTTTTGGCAGAGCTGTGGATAACCAGGTCTATGTAGCAACTGCATCTCCTGCTAGGGATGAGACAGGATCTTATGTGGCTTGGGGACATAGTACAGTAGTAAATCCATGGTAAGTAAGAAAACAAACTTCTTCCACTAATATATCACAACTAACAAGACAAAATTGCTAAATTAAAATGTACAGTATTTTTTTTTTAAAGTAGCAATTACCCTCACATGTTCCTAAATCTGGCAGAATGAATGTTCAGCATTATCTCTATGGTGCCTTAGTAGAAAAAAATTGTACCTTTGCCCTGATCGCTAAAGATTTCCTCCTTCCATTTTGTTTGAATTCACAGATAACCTCATCAAAGGATAATTTTTACTTCAAATATATTTTTAATGACATGGCTGGCAACACATTTAGGTATTCTATTCTCTTTTTAATCATTTGAAAATCCCCATGCCTGAAATATGTTTCATATTTTTGACTAGATTTTTTTTTAGAAAATGAAAAATGATTATAAAACCATTGATGAAAGTATCAATTTTGTATCATTACTTTTAGTAATATCATCCAACAGTACAGGAAAAAAGGGAGATGCATATGAGAAAGAATGTATTTCAGTATCTAAGTTCAAGCCTACATTATTTCAGAACTTATTGCTTTATAATCTTCTGCTATAAGAAAATCAACAATACAGTTAATAAGTACAAGAAAATATTCAAACAGGTTAGATTTTACACATTGTAAAGTTTTTATCTTGTCTAAGATGAATTTTAGTATACCTGTTTTACCATTGAAATGCTAACACTTGCTCTTTTTTTCATGTGATTTCTTTTTTTAGCTGGAAAGCAAAGATCAATACTCTATAAGCCTTGAAATGATAGGTTCATTCCAGTTCCTTTCTGCTTTCTGAAGCAGAACTTCAGAAAAAACATTTGCATTTTCTGAAATAGTGCAAAATAGACACAGCCTTTAGATACCTCATAGAAAGCTGAGGCTTACAAGTCCACAGCTTGAAGTTGTGAAGTCCACGAAGATAAAAACAAATGTGGAACATATTCACACATTCCTGATCTGTAATATTGATTACTTTAGATCAATCTCCATTAACTCCTGGCCATCAGGTATGTTAGGACTACATTTGGAAGGAATTATTTCAGCACGTCACAGTTCTATCAGGATTAGGAAATATTATCTTAAACTGAAGTACATTGTGGTTGTCTTTATCTTTTAACAAGAAAGGAAGAATTGTGTAGGACTTGAAAGCACATTCTTTTTTTCATTTATCAGATTTCTGTATTGCCTTTGAACAAATGCAGGTTAAATTCTGCTAAGAAGCAACTCTGAGGAAGAAGTGATTTTTGCCAATTTCTGCTCCTTGAATAATGTGTCTTCCCTATTTTTCAATCTCCATTCATTAAAAGTGTGGAAGAAGTGCATTTCTAGAACAGTTCTAGGAGGTGCCCCTTGACGACCAGCAGGGGAATAAGAAATCAGTAAGGTCACACTATGGCAATACATGATTTGTTAAACTTTTGTTTTCCTTTCTAGGGGTGAGGTTATAGCCAAAGCTGGCACTGAAGAAACAATTGTCTATGCAGAAATAGGTGAGCTGTTAGGACTAATTTAAATCTTACAGAGGCTCTTGTAAATTAGCTAAGTAGTTCTGTCTCAGTTTTCTGCCTATTAGTTGGAATATTGATCATATTCAGAAGGTTATAAGCGTGAATAAGCGTGAAGTCATTTAAGAACTTTTCATCTATAAGAGGTGCAGCAATTATAATAGTTCAGTCTGTTGATATAAGATTTGCCTTATGAAGATGTAAATATACAGTATTACCAAGTCAATGCATTGCTTCAGATTTGGTTGAGAATACATATATCAGAATTTGCTGGAACATAATTGCAGCTCTTTCCGGTAATTTATTAAAGCATGCATCATTTTATAGGATCATATAGCTCTTAGGGGATGCTTTTATTTTGACCACACAACACAGGAAAAATACAGATGCTTTAATTAGTGGTTAATAGGAAATGTGTTCAAGCTACGTGTTGTATAATCATATCAGTATGGGAAGGAAACAGAATTGGGATTAATATGGCTTTATTTTTTTATACAGACTTAAAGAAGGCTGAAGAAATCCGTGAACAAATCCCCATTCTTTCTCAGAAACGATCTGATCTTTACGCTGTTGAAGCAAAAATTGTATGATTCTAATTTGGACTGACACTTTTTCTAATAGCTATTACTAGCTAATTCAGTGTAATAAACTAGTAAATCAAGTTTATAGATAATTAAAATTATCTCCATATAATGGTGAAAGTTTGAGTTTACAATTTTTTTTAGTCTGCACAGATTTTGGACATCTTGTATTGCATTAGAAACTTTTCTGACACTTATACATATAAAAATATTTTTATGAAAATGGAATAATCAGTAATATTAAGAAATACTCAATTTTAGACAATATATTTTTACCAAAATAATACTGGATAAAAGCAGAAAATTTCCATTTTTGTTAGTTGACCTAAATTGGTTACTCCTGAAAATTCATTATCAAATAAATGCATGCTTCTTTTAAACTTTGGTGTTTATTTGATTTTATGAAAAATAATCAGAAGAGATTAAATTAGCTAAACTCCAACAGTATTTTGAAGACACTTTTGAAGCATCATGCAAGTCTCAAAGATGTTCATCCAGTTCTAATGTGGAACTTTTGTGTACAAGAATCAATTACCGTACATTCTCTGCATTAAGGTTTAGTCAGCTGCTGGCAAATCAGATTAGTCAATATGTAAGCCCTGACCAGATTGCAAAGCACTTTAAATCCTTTAATTTTGTAGGCACCTTACATGAATTAAGTGCCATTTAGATCTCTGCTTCAGTAGTGATCATTGGACCTGACTTTAAAAAGGCTTGGTTTTTTTTTACCATATTCATCAAAAAGGTTTGAGTTATTACCTAAAGAAGCAGTTTTGGCATTCTATCTCTTATAAGTCCCAACATCACAAGGTCCAGATTGCCTTTCTACCTTCTCATTACTCCCACTTCCCGATTTATATGAAGAAGTAATCCGGTATCTCCCAACTGACCCAGAAGAGCTTGTATTTTCAGCTGCTGCAGCTATCCATAAATTATCCTTGGTTCCTTCCCATCAAACTAAGCCTCATGCAGGGATAGTTTTATCCAAATCTGGGATGGTTCCATACTTGGAGGTTGATCGGAATGAACTTAAACTACAATTCAGTTTTCATCAATAATTCAGATCTATAGCTAGTTCTATCTTGAGAACCATTTAGAAATTTGGGCACTGTAGCTCAGTTAATTAACCTACCATTCTGGTCATTCCAAGAGTGTTCTAGACCTCTTTCCCCCTTAATTTTTTTTTAAAATTTGATTTATATGCTGCCCTTTTCCGGAGATTCAGGGCGGTTTACAATGTGCTAAGCAATAGCCTTCATCCTTTTGTATATTAATCCAAAGTCAGCTTATTGCCCCCACAACTGGGTCCTCAATTTACCTACCTTAGAAAGGATGGAAGGCTGAGTCAACCTTGAGCCTGGTGAGATTCAAACCTGCAGTAATTGCAGGCAGCTGGTCTTAATAACAGGGTGCTTTAGACCACTGTACTACCAAGGCTCTTATATTCAAAACTGGGAATGGTTTGTTTGGAACACCAGGAACTGATTCCAGCTGCCTAGACTGCAGATATTTATGTAGTGCTTTAAATAAACAGTCTTGGTCACTCAACCATCAATTACAAGCCAGATAGGACAACTAAACTCTTTTAATGTTCCATAATTAATAACTGTCTTCAGGTTTTTTTACACTTTTAAAAAATATCTTTGGCCGATGTACTGTAGGAACCTTTTTTTTGGGGGGTGGGGGGGTGGGGTATTTTTGCTTTCTGCAAGCAAATGCTTTCCTACCTTGTGAAACATCTTCCTGCTCGTGATTTGACAGGTCCCCACCCTTCTAGCCTTTCGGAAGGTCGTTATAATTGGTTGGTTGTGATTTTTTTTACTGAGGTGCTGGAATTGTATGGGTGGGGGGCATGGAAAGAAAGTAGATGAGCCTGCTATGGGGAATCTCCAAGAGACAATTGGGGTGTAGAGTTTTTATTTTTTAATATTGTTTACTGGTTTTATGATTGTTTTAAGCCATCCAGTTAAGATTTGTGGCCATATAAATCTTTAAAATAAAATTTATGCTTGCAGAAGAATATCTTCTGATGATTTTTAATTGCATGAATAATATTAACATATAACAAATCAACGCCATATGTTGTAGTCTTTATATAACTTTTAGCAGCATTATCAATGTGGTGTGTATATAAACATATACAGCCTCTGCACTATCTGACAACAAAATAAAACATTAATAGAATCCATCCATTTCCCCATTTGAAGTCTAGCTTTTTATAACATTCTTTTTTTTTTAAAAAAAATAGCAACTTATCAAATAGATGAGAAGGCTGTATGGCTATTAATATTCTTCTGTTTCCTCTACATACTTCATTCCCATATCCCCCTATTCACTCTACACCAAGAGCTGCAGAGGCATAATTGGGCCTTGCTATTACATATCTGTAAAAATTCTGAAAAATACAGCCCAATCATGAGTCAAATAATGACAATGTTAGAACAGCCAGAATCCTAAAAATTATGTCTTTTGAAATATCCAATTTCACACTTTGTGCACATTTTGAAGACAATTATAATCTATATTCACAATTGGGGTATTTCAAGGCTGAAACTCATCCCTAATATGGAATGGGTTTTCTCCCTAAATTTCAGCAAAGAAAATAAACAGAATTTTAGAAGTTTCATTAATTTCATTTGTGTAACAGTTTCTAATACATTTTCTTTACCCAATTACAGACAATTTCCAACCAACACCCTAGACCACAGATGTATAAAGATATCTGAACATATTTATTTGGTGACTTTACATGTATAAGTCATTTACAAAAAGAATCATATGCATTGTTTCAGTGCAACTTTAAATATCTGAACAGGCAAAAATTCTGATAATTCGAAATGCTAGTATTAGTTCACACATGCTTAATTCTTCATTGTTTTCAAGAGAGAAGTGCCTGTATAGCCATGCAAATAAAAACCCCTTTGAAAATATGATGCAGTCATGGTAGGGAAATGAGATGGAGACATAGGAAATAAAGTTTCATTGCACTGCTTTTTTTGAAAAGCTGAAATTCTAACTTGAACATTGAGCAATATTATTTGACTTTGCTCAATCATTCCAGGTCAGCCACTGTCTTTTAATAAGTGAAAAAGACAACAATCTTTGGGGGAAGATATTGTAAATATGATTTTATTTCTTTGGCATTTGTAGCAAAAAGAAATTCCAATAAAGGAATACTCAAATGTGCTACACAATGCATTTCAGATAAATTGAAATAGCACTACAAGAATTATGGATTGAATTTACAAATAACAGGGGAACAACTGATAACATCTTTTCTAAGTACTCTAATTCAAAGACTGTTTAAACAGAACTAAACTTTGTATAGTGTAGTATCAATACAAGAAAATATTGTTTCATGAAAGAATAATTAGCTATAGTTTTCAAATCAGTCAGACCTTTTGAACCAAGCGTCATTCCAAGGTTCTAAACTCTTGTATGACACAGCAATTGTAGCATATTGTTTTGAACAGTTCCAGGATTTCTTAGGCAATTTTGCTATTGTTGTTTTGAAAAGCTCTTTAATAATAAAATTATTTCTAAGAATGCTCAAATCAAAATAATTTGCTTTCGGAACACAGAACATCCTCATATGACAGCGAATGAGCTATAAACTGTTTACGAGAGTGTCCTGAAAACTAGTATAGCCACTGTCTCATATGAAACAGAAACCAAAGGGAAGTAAGGAAATGTTTGCATATGAGATCTTCTTTTGGGAAAAAAAAAGCTTCAGTACCTATTGCCACAAAATCTTCCCCCTCAAACAATTCACAATTTTTCTTGTTTCCCCAAACCTAAAATAATGAAAAAGGATTCTTATATATATAAAATACACAGCACTATTGTTAAAATCAACAGAACAGCATGTTGCATAACACTCTTGTGGTTAGAACCAGTCATTCACAACAGTTACCATTAAAAAAAGAGTCAGATTTTTATTTGCATGGCCAAAATAATCTTTGATCCCCTTGCAATTTTGTTTTTAAGTTTCTTCTAACAATTATTTGATGGGGGAGGGCAAGGGGGGGAATTGCTTTCTTTCTTGAATAGCCATTTCCACAACACCTAAACATTTAACAGAATTACAACAGCACAAAAAAAAAAGTAACTTCCACCATTCAACACACTGCAACAGTGTCTTTAGGACTAGGTTGAAGTGGGCAGCTTTACTTTTTAAAAGATCATTCCTCCCCTATTCCTTTTTGTTTTACAGCGTTGGTGGCTTCAATCCATATTTTTTAGCAACTTCTGTCTGGGCATAAGCAGCATCACAGAGTGAGTAGAGGTGAGCCATTTCCATTTCTGATTTGGCTAGATTAATAGCTTTGTTGAACATTTCAATGGCTTTATCCAGATTGCCCCTGCAATAGTGAAAAATGTATTATAAAAAAAGAAGCAAAGACTGATCTGGCAACAAGTAGAAATCAGTCATATATATTTAAAGTTTAAAAATAGTCTACAACTGATATGAAGTTTAATAGAACATTAAAAAATATACTGTATTTTTTGGAGTATAAGATGCACCCACCTCTAAAAGTGGGTAGAAATGTCTGTGCATCTTATACACCAAATGTTGCTGAAGCCCCACCCTCCTTCGGCAGTTTTCAGCCTCCATGTGTCGTGTTTTCAGTCTCCGCGTGCTCCATTATAGACCCGTTCCAGGCTGCGGGGATCGCCACAGCACATCGCCGCCTCCGCGTGTTGCGTTTTCGGCTGGTTCCAAGAGGAGGATATTACCACCACCACCACCAATCCCCACCACTTGGAACCGGCCAAAAACACAACATGCAGAAGCCAAAAATGCGAAGCACGGAGGCGGCAATGGGCTGTGGCGATCCCTGCAGCCTAGAACAGCTGATTGCAAGTATTCTGGGAGGCCAATCCAACCGCCAATCAGCTGCTCGTGCTGAATCAGGCTGCGATAACGTGTTGAAGCTGACCTGGCTGTTTGCTGCAAGGATGCTAGTCAGATGAATACCAATGGATGCTGGTAGGTAGAGGCAGAATTTTTTTTTCTCATTTTCCTCCTCAAAAACTAATGTGTGTCTTATAACTCCGAAAAATACAGTAAATTATAAAATTTTGGAAACAGCTGTACGGCCACCTCCCAAAAAACTCAAAGGTTAGGCATATCTGATCAAAGGAAAGACTATGAAAACATTTTATCTTTAAATTAAATTCATAATGGGAAAATTTGATGATTGTACAATATAACCACAACAGGTTCTTTTTTAACTAATATCCAACTCTGCCTGAACTAAACATATGTTAATCGAATTCTACAGCTACTGAGAACAATTTATAGTATGTTGTTTCCAACAGTAATTCAGAATTTTAGATGTCAAACTTGAAAAAATATATTTACCTTTGCACTTCAATTGTCCCCATGGTTTCATATGCAAAATCACATTTGTTATCAATTTCAATAGCTTTGCTTATAAGTTCCAAACCTTTATCTAAATCTTGCTTCCACTGAAGCTGAAGTAAACTGGAAAAAAATCATTACAGATCAATGGTGAATGTTTAGTCCACAACTCATGTGCATAAAAATGACAAACATATTCCTGCTGAATCAGGCTTGGATTCATTTTCACAATAGCTGGATACATTTTAGATGAAGCAGAAATCAAAACATGTCCCTATTTTTGCTGTAATTTACAATCAGAGGTATTCAGAAAAATAGTTACACAAAGTAACAAATGAATCAAAATAGCAACCCTTGATAGATTTGCTCTCCTTGAATTTACCCATTCTCATTTTAAAATTATTCAATTACTGGTCATCATGAAACTCTTGCAGTGATGAACTTTACAGGATCATGTAAATACATATTTTGTTCTGTCTGAGCTAAATATCTTTTTGTACAGCTTCACTGGACCCCCTATTGTAATATTTTGAAAATGAGAGAAAAAAGCTTCTCTCCATTCACTTTTGTCCATACCAAGCATCATTTTATACATCTCCCCCATCTCCTTTTTTCTGGCTAAAACACTTTAATTCTACAGGCAGTCCTCGACATATGACCCCAACTGGGACTGGAACTTGTCACTAAGTAATGTGGGCAGCGAGTCACAACCACTTTTATGGCCTTTTTGTCAACGTTTAATGACTTCCCCCACTGACTTTATTGCAAACTGGCAGGGAAGGTTGCAAATGGCTATCATGTGACCCCAGGATGCTGCAACCATTGTAAATGCTAAGTGCCCGAACTGTGATCATGTGAATATTGCAATGGCTGTAAGTTCAAGAACTGATTGTAAGTCCATTTTTTCAGTGCTATCATAACTGAACAGTTGCTAAAGGATTGGTCATAAGTCAGGAACTACTTGTGGTCACTTTTTAGAAAGAAAGGTCTTTGAGTACTGGATCCTTTCTGTCACTGCACACAGATCTGGCATTCTAAATTCAAGTTCATGGTGTCATATTTAAAAGAAAAAAAAAGTAATATGAATGTTTTGGCATCTCATTAACCCATTTAGTAGTTAAGCAACTGACAAACAGAAATAATGTAAACTTTCAACTTTCACATTTGATGCTTAAATCAACAATTTCAGACTATGATCCACAGTAATAGTACAGTTACAAGAAAAAGTATGTGAACCCCTTGGGATTACGTGGAGTTGTGCATGAATTGGTCATAAAATATGCTCTGAACTTCATCTAAGTCACAACAATAGAAAAGCACAGTCTGCTTAAAATACTACACAAACATTAGATGTTGCCATGGTTTAATTGAACATAACATGTAAACATTCACAGTGCAGGGAGGAAAAAATATGTGAGTCCCTAGCCTAATGACTTCTCCAAGAGCTAATTGGAGCCAGGAGTGAGCCAACCTTGACTCCAATCAGCGTGATATTGGATGTGTTGCTGACAGCTGTCCTGCCCTTTAAAAACACACACCTGTTTTGGGTTTACTGGTTTCAAGAAGCACTGTCTGATGTGAACCATGCCTCGCAGAAAAGAGCTCTCAGAAGACCTACGATCAAGAATTGTTGACTTGCATGAAGCTGGAAAGGGTTACAAAAATATCTCCAAAAGTCTTGATGTTCATGTGTCCACGGTAAGACAGACTGTCTACAAATGGAGAAAGTTTAGCACTGTTGCTACTCTCCCTAGTCGTGGTCGTCCTGTAAAAATGACTGCAAGAGCACAGCGCAGAATGCTTCATGAGGTAAAGAAGAATCCTAGAGTGTCAGCTAAAGACCTACAGAAATCTCTGGCACATGCTAACATTTTTGTTGACACATCTACAATAAGGAAAACATTAAACAAGAATGAAGTACATTGGAGGACACCACGGAGGAAGCCATTGCTGTCCAAAAAAAATATTGCAGCACGTTTGAAGTTTGCAAAAGAGCACCTGGATATTCCACAGCACTACTGGCAAAATATACTGTGGACAGATGAAACCAAAATTGAGTTGTTTGGGAAGAACACAAACACTGTGTGTGGAGAAAAAAAGGCACAGCACACCAACATCAAAACCTCATCCCCACTGTAAAACATGGCGGAGGGAACATCATGGTTTGGGGCTGCTTTGCTGCCTCAGGGCCTAGACAGATTGTTGTCATTGATGGGTATATGAATTCCAGAGTTTATCAAGACATTTTGCAGGAAAACGTACGACCATCTGTCTGCCAACCGAAGCTCCGCAGAGGATGGGTGATGCAACAGGACAATGACCCAAAGCATACAAGTAATTCAACAAAAAAATGGCTTCAACAGCACAGAATATGCCTTCTGGAGTGGCCCAGTCAGAGTCCTGACCCCAACCCGATTGAAATGCTGTGGCATGACCTTAAGAGAGCGATTCACACCAGACATCCCAAGAATATTGCTACACTGAAACAGTTTTGTGAAGAGAAGTGGTCCAAAATTACTCAATTGTTGTGCAGGTCTGATCTGCAACTACAGGAAACGTTTGGTTGAGGATATTGCTGCCAAAGGAGGGTCAAGTTATTAAGTCCAAAGGTTCACATACTTTTTCCTCCCTGCACTGTAAATGTTTACATGTTATGTTCAATTAAACCATGGCAACATCTAATGTTTGTATAGTATTATTTTAAGCAGATTGTGTTTTTCTATTGTTGTGACTTAGATGAAGTTCAGAGCACATTTTATGACCAATTCATGCAAAACTCCACGTAATCCCAACGGGTTCACATACTTTTTCTTGCAACTATAGTTAGGGCTAAAACCCAGCTATTTTACCAATAAAGTTTTATCATGATTCACTGAACAAGTATTCTGTACTATAATTACTATATTAGCTGTATTAAGAAGTGCTACTGTATAATTAAAAATTATGTCATTGTATGTGAATTTAATATTAAAACAAATAGTTACCCCTTATGAACGTAGGTAGTAGCATTATCTGGCTCAAGATCAATACATTTATCATACATATCATCAGCTTTGCTAAAGTGTTGTTGGTCTGTTAATGCCTGCATGGAGACACAATAACAACACAGTTCATCCATGAATGTTTAATAATAAATAAAATATTGTTGTTTATTATTAAATTTATATGCCACCCATCTCACTATCTAAAGCATCTCTGGCCATCTTACAATACATAAAAAACACAAATATACAAACATTTAAAGCATTAACATTAATTAGATAAAACTAGGAATTAAGTACCCAAGAGGTACAGGGGCGGGATCTTATTCCTCCAGCATAAAGTGATGCCATCGTGATGCCAGGCCAATCGGTAGAGCTAGATTTTGAGGCCCTTCTGGAAGGCCAGGACATTGGAGGTGGATCTCATTTCTAGCAGCAAGATGTCCTAAAAGGTGGGGAAAAAGTTCGTTTTCCAAGATCCTGTGAGCTGAAATTCGTTGACCGACAAAGTCAGTAAAGCGCCCCTTCTGCCAGAATGAGTGGGGCAGGCCAACCCTATTGACAGTTCCTCAGGTAACCTAGAACCATGCCATGAAGGGCTTTAAAGGTCCAACACCTAGAATCAGACCCAGAAGCAAACCAGTAGCCAGTGCAGCTTGCTTAACAGCAGTGTTATATGTGTTACTCTAGGCCCTCTAGAACTTTCCGCATAGTTGCGTTCTGTGCAAGTTGTAGCTTCCAAATATTCTTCAAAGGTAGCTCCATGTACAGTGCACTGCAGCGCAACCCCATCCAGAACTAAAGTTGCTAAACTTCCAGATCCCTAAGCTCCTCACACCCATAGCCACTGAGTGTTGGCAGAGTCGAGCTGAAATTTGTTTTCTCCCATCCAGATCCCCTCAGCCTCCAGGAACTGCAAAAGGGCAGAGACAATAACACTTGGGACACCCGGGACAAAGATATATTATTGAACATCAGCAGCATCCTGATAATACTTCATCCTGGGATGTCTGATGATCTCACCCAGTAGCTTCATGAAGATATTAAAAATATTGTACAGAGTACTAAGTACTAAGCCCTGTGATGCATCATAAAGGAGAAGCTGTGGGCTGGACCTGTTACAATTAGGACTGGTCTTGGTTAAAAAAAAAAAAAAAAAAAAGCCAAAATCCTGCTCTCATCTACAAATGTGATAAATGCTGTTTCTGTTGCAAAACAAGGTTTGAAGCTCAATTGAAAGGGTTCCAGATAATTCATTTCATCTAAGGCCCTCTGAAACTGCCATGCTGTTCTCAATATATTTTTTTAGTCATTAGCACTTACATATATTTGCATTATCTCCTACGGTGTTTTGCACGTAACATCTCTTACAACAATATTTTATATTGAGCTGGTTCATGATAGCACACGAGCTTTTTAAATAAGGGACTAAAGAAATTATGTACCTGAGCATACAATGCATAACCTTCAGCACACCTTGGAAATTTCTTAATAACATCCTCAAAACCTTTCATTGCTGCTTGTACTTGCGAAGTATTATTTCCAGTATAGGCTTGACGATACTGCAACAAAAAAGCATTATTGAGTTAAAAAAAATAAAGCCTTAGTAGAAAGCATACATACTCACTCCCAGGTAATTGTAAGTGCAACTTCTAAACTTGCTACAAATGATATTATTTTTCCAAACAGTTTGTGAGATTATTTTACAATAAAGCCTAATAAACTGTCAAATACTCACCAAAGCAAAACATTTCTGTGCCTGTGCCAAGGCAGAATCTGGGCGCAAACGGATACATTCATCAAAATCTTCTACAGCTTCTTCTACACGGTCAAGCAAAATTTTTAGCTGAAAAAGACAAAAAACTATCAAATGAAAGAAAAATCACCACTGTAATACAGTTACCAGTAAAAACATACTCACTCAACCTTATTACATGGTTGAATTCTTTAGAACCCTAGCAGATGTTTACAAGTTATGTAGCATCTCTCATAATGTCATTATTATTAAACTTTTACCTTGACCAAGGTACTGATGAATGTAGAATTATCACTTCAATATGCATAATTTAGTACACAGTTACAGTAGTTACCATTTATTATTTTTAGTCTGTTGCAATTTTTCTCCTGGAGTTATCCATACAATGAAACATGAATTTCTGATGAAATGTGAAAAATATTAAGGTGGTAGAATAATCCCTACCTGTCCTCTATGATGATAAACATCTGCATTCTGAGGATCAATATCAGCAGCCATATTGAAGTCTTGAGTAGAGAACAAAGGCTGTTGCTGCTGCATATACATACTTCCTCGTTTGATGAGAGCATTAGCACGAAGCTGTTGAGAAGAATTAAAACCGTTATGCATTTATTTTCCTAGATATTTCAGTTTTATTACGTAAGTATCTTTTTGACAGTTTCTTTTTAGATTTAAAAGCTCTCTGCACTAGTAGCTCAGGTAAAATCTTAAGTCTCTTCTTTTGGACTATGCCTGTCACAAAATGGCTTGTACACAATGGACACTTAATACCGAAATGGTATTATTTCCCAAAATAATACCATCCATAATTCATAGAGCTTCTAAACTCTTGATTGCTAATATCCCTCCAATAAAAACTAATATACTCATGAGAATTAAAACACATCACATATAGTCTAAACAAGTAACTACAGAAAGCATATCAGTAGTGCACTCCGACTGATGTACTTTACTACAGCCAAGGGTTATCAGCAGTTGCAGGACCTCCATAAAGAGGCAGCAAAAAAGGGATGGTACAGCAAACAGCATTATTCCCAAGAAAAAAATGGCTGCAAGACTTTTATCAAAAGCAATATTTGAGAAGTGGAATACTTGAAAGAACTGACTACTTACTATACTGAACTTTAAACATTACATTCTGAAGTCTATATCAGAGTATGGGTAGCAAAAAGTTAATCCTGTAATACTGTCATGTGAAAACAGGCAGCTCTAGGGGCAAAGTGGAAGCTAGAGAAAACATAAAATATTTTTCAGCCCACCATAAAATATCAATTCCTTCCCTAGAATTATCAGGGTTGTCCTTAGCACATTTCTTCTAGAGAAGGGAGGAATTTTTGCAAACTTCACATTTGTTCTAAAATTTTGATTTCCCCTGAAAACCACATGATATAGAGCAGGGGATAATACGAGAACAACACAATCACTTCTCTTCTTGAATGTCACTATTACCACTAAGAAAGGTTTTGTAAATCTACAAAGCACTTACCTTTACATTTGCATCTTCCATAACAATAACCTGATTCAAATCAGGATTGGCAGCATTTGCATTACCAATAAGTAAATAGAATGTAGCTCTTAATAGCAAAGCTTCTGCCATGTATTTTCCTTTAGCTTCAATTTCTTTAGTACACTCGCTAATTATTTTGTCGTAGTTTTCTTCCTCCATATATTTCTTTGCCTTTAAATAGCCACCGCTGAAAGAAATGTGAAAAGCAGTTATTAATATGCAAGAGAAATGTTTCTCCAGTTCTAATCAAAACGATATACAAGCTATTTCTGAAAAACCACCTAGATGAAAGAAAATTCTCTTTATATATTTTGTAATAATATTGGACTAGCAAGATTCTAGTAATTCCCAATGCATTTGTAAGACTACATTGAACCAAGCAATTCTAAATATGTGCAAATCCATCCATTTTTACAGATTTGCTATTTATTATTTTATTTTATTCATTTAAATATTTAGATAGCTACCCATCTTCTAATCAACTCTGGGCAGCTCCCAATCCAAAGGATTGGGATTTGATTAATTAGATGGCACCCAATTAAAAGTATTGTCATTATACAGAGCCATATTCTTGCCTTAACCAAAACTAAGCAAGCTGAATTGCTTGTGCATTTGATATTTTCTATAAAACCAAATTTCAGATATTCTGTCATTGATTTTTGAAAACAGATTTTCCTTCAAGTATCTAAACAATCATTCAAAACTATAAGAAAGTAAAGTATTGTGTTTATTCCATTTTTTTAACTATAGAAATCTTCTATAGCAGGAACAACCTGACATATTTTGGATTTACAATTCTGATAAGCCCTAGAAATTAACAAGGGAACAAAAAATTATGGCTTCCAGTTGGTCTAAAAAAAACAAACCACATCCTCAATCACAGCTTTAATCACTGTTAAGGCCAACAGAGACTATGGTGAGAGCAAATGTATCTATGATACAATGCAGATAAAACAACCAGGAGCGCTAAGTCCACACCAGCATATTTAATCAGCAATACAAAAAGCTACTTTATAGTCCCAAATGTGCTTTTTAAAAAGCTAACTGGACTTCCCCCCCCCCCCCCCGAAGATGTTTCGCTTCTCATCCAAGAGTTGATTTTTGAAAAAGCACCTTTGAGACAACCATGACCTGGATGACTAAGAATATTCATAGACATCACTTTAATAGTCACTTTGAAAGGAGATGGGTGGCAAACAAATTTAGTAATTAAATAAAATATCAAATCAGATAAATGGACCACTGTTCTTAGTACTATATATTCTGATATGAAAAGTCTAGAATTTCAGTTAGAAGTTTCTTGCCACAGATTGAATAAGTCAGGTAGAGAGCCATGTGCTATAACACTGAGTTCCAAATTATGCATGGAATTTTAACTGAAGTGAATGTTCAAAAGTGTACAATCCTGCAAAATTTGTGAGGTAAACTTAGGAATTCATTTCTTCATACCCATTTCCTCTTACTTTCTATTCCATCCCAGATTCTTTTCCATTCCTGAATTTTGTCTTCACAACTCCTAATTATCTTGGTGTCTCCTTAATGTAACAGCATAGAACAGGGGTTTCCAACCTCCAGGCTGTAGCCCACTAACAGGCCTCAGCCCATTCAGAATCAGGCTGAGCAAATGGTGGGTGCTCGCGTGCCTATCACTCACAGAGAGCTATCCTTTCTTCTCCCCACTGCCAGGCCACAAAGCTGGAAAGGTTGGGGACCACTGGCATAGAAGACTATGTAGCCTCTTGCTTTTCCTGTGTTTAGGGAAATTGCTTCTTGGTCTTGAACACAGAGTGGGATTTCAACAGCCATCTCCTTTGGCATTGGCATGTCCCTCCATTCCACTGAAAATCAATCTTCCTCCACAGAATGACTTTTCAGCATTCTGTTACTAAACGTGGCCACAATAAGCTAAAAATAAGCTGCGTCTCACAGTCAGTGAAAGCCCTTACTGTGTATCTACATAAGCTCATTTCGCTTTCAAAAAATACAATAAATGGTAATAAAAATAATGTGTTCTATTTATATATCATATGCTACAATTTGTACTGGAAGTTTAGTTGCTTAACTGCTCAGTCACTTACTTTTCTTTTATTACGGAGACCTCTCCTTCTTTATCTTTATCTTCATCAGATTTCTCTTCCCTTAGAAGAGGCTGAGATATAATGTCATCTGTGAAAGAGCTGAAGTAAGATTTGATAAACTGTGGTGAAGGCATCAAGGGTTCCCGGTTCTATAAAAAAGGTAAACATTGATAATTTGAGTAAGGCAAACCAGCCAACCCTATTAAAGAAATAAAATAAACTATCAAATTATGTTCAGAATTTAGCTGTAAATATAGCCAACTGACTTTTCTTCCGATTATTAGCTTTTTCATCCTGTTTGATTTTCTCAGAGTTCAATATTCCATTTGTTGCGTTAAGTGTTAAAGAGACCCTTTCTCAAGAATAATCATTCAATGGAGATGTTTTTGTCATTATTTAGATCCCAGGTAAAAATATTTTTGCAATATTGGTGTACTGACTGATTTTTTGATTAACAGATATGTCTATGATCCATAAAGCTCCATAAACCTTTGAAAACATGCATTGAGAGATATTAAGAGTTGAGAGTAGTTAAAAGGTCAAAATTAACTATCTGATTGCTGCAAACTAGAACCAAGTGTCATTTTAGTGACTTCTATTACATGATCAAAACAAGATATCTCACAGTTCTTGATATGAGTCAGTTAATGATAACACTCCAATAAGTTCATATAAATTCTATGACATTTCATTGAAGTTAATATTACTAAAAAAAGAATTGCATTTTCAATATTCTTATAACTTTACCAGCACAACTATATTTGTGTAACCATTTAAGAAAGCCAATGTTTTACCATTTATTATAGAGAACAAATCATACCTTATATTTGTCTTTGGCTTTTTCTTTCCCAAGAAGTTTAAGAACTTTATCAGCTAGCAACATACTTTGCTGATTTTGAAAGCCCTCTAAAATGCAAACTGCAGTAACATCTGGAAACATAAAGAGAAATTTCTAATCCATTAGTTCTTGGAATGCTATCTAGGAACATGTACTGCTACCAAGTACATTTATATCCCACGGAACAATTAATCCTGATGTTGGAGATGACCAGCTGAGCATCAGTTGCAAATACCTTAGCGTCCACAAGAGATCTAAGCCCAGCCCACCTTGAATTCCATTAACTCTTACCTACCACCAATTTGCTTTGGCCATTAGTAGTTCAGATTATTATAGAGCGCTTTAGCATACAATAAATCTATATATTCATTTGAACTGCCTGGACTCGAGATTTCCTGAGTTTGACACCTATCCAAATTTAATTTCCAAATTCTCACATCACCATGCTTGAAGAACAGATTTTATTTAATGCTTAAATAATCTTTCTGTTTAATGATGATATATTTTAATGTACAGAATACTCACCTTCTAAACATTCTTTTTTGTTGTCTAGTTTCTCATGTGCTTTTGCACGCCTAAAAAGTGCTTTCACATATCTGGGATTAAGTTCAACTGCCTTTGTGCAGTCCTGGGCCACTTCTTTCCATTTTTGCTATAGATACAAAAATAACTAATTAACCTATTTGTTCAAATAAAAAAAAGTAATATTGCTATAGATTTCAAATACTTGTAACATAAATATTAACTGTAATCCTGACTAGCGATTAGACCCATATAATAAAAGGATCACTTTCTAGGCATGAAATCCATTTCTCTTCTTTCCTTTATTTTCACGTGTTTTGCTTTCTTAAAACTACAAAAAAATAAAGTAGTGTTGGCCAGCAAATACTCTCAGGCTCTAGAATGCTATGACAAACTTTAAATTCTGGCTAAACGTGTGGTCACAATGTTGTTCAAAAGATTTACAGGAAGTCAGAGGAAAAGAGCTGCTCAAATCTCTGGAAGCAAGAAATTCCAAAGCGGAAGGCCATAAGAAAGAAGGCTTGCCATCTCGTCCATGTCCACTACACGATATAAACTAAGCAGGCTTTCTTGTGATAGTTTCACCGGATGAGCAGTTTCAGCCTTGGAAAAGTGGTGCTTGATGATATATAACATTATAATATAGGTCATCACCACTATTTGGAAATACTGTTAACCAGGACAATATTAGTAGAAATGTTATTCTAGTATAAGGGGATTATACCCTTTCTCAAAAAAGCACTGGCAATTTTCCTGATCCAGGTCTTCAAATGCTTTCTAGCAGATAGAATTTTTGCTTGCCTCCAAGCTGTTGAATATACATAAAAGTTTTTAACCTCAATCTTTTGTCAGACTTATAATTCTTAATGTATGGTTTTTTTATTCTGTATTTTAAATACTGTTAGTTGCATTTGGTACCACCCCCTCCCCCCCCGGCAATAAATATGGGCTAAACTGAAAAAATACTAAAGGAAAAATCTGTACAATATATTTTGGAAGAATTATAGATATGAATATTTAAGCAACAGGAAAATATGAAATGAGAGTTGAGACATGGTTATGTCTGCAAAGACTCAAAGTTCTGTTATCATTTTTAAAACCAAGAGAACTTCATTTTTAACATCTACGTAATTTGATACATTATTAATTATTATTTTTTTGCAATGGGCGGCACTGTGTCCAATGTGCCTTCTGATTGTACAAGAAACAGGTGGAAACTATATTTAAATTGCAAATGAACTTAAATATAGATTAGATGTTTTCATACCAGTTGTTCATAAGCTGCAGCTCGGTTCTGATAAAATGTAGAAAGGTCACTATTTTTTTCAGAAGGACATAAACTGATGGCTTCAGTATAGCATTGAATAGCTTGTTCGTATTTTCCAGCTTTAAAGTATTTGTTGCCTTTGTTCTTTGCAGCCTGTGCTTTATCTAGAGGACTCTGAAAATAAAAATCATGTATGAATTCTTACAAATGAAAATAGAAAAAAGCCAGCTTTGGTTAAAACTTCATAAACTTTCAAGTCAATTGTAAAGTTCAGTATCTAAACAGCAGAGTTACTACATACATTTCTTTACATACCAGAATTTAACAACGCAAACATTAGCCATAGAACTTTCCAAAGGTCATTTCTTATAACATCAACACACAAATTTGTGACCTACACTTCATTAAAAATAAAAATGTCACATTCTTCTGTCTACCAGAGGTAAGTATCTCTTGCCCTCTATGAAAAGTATTGTCAGCAACCTCTTACTTTGCAAAGCTAGACAATAAACAACGGCTTTTTCTGCTTGCTAGTCATTACAAGATTGACAAAAAAATAGAGAAAAATAGCTGTTCCCCCAAAGGTAGAATATTCCATTTTTCCTGTTTTCTGCTTTACTAAAATTTCCAGCAAATCGGGCAAAATTCTGGGTTCTGCGCTCTAGCAAATGTTTGGCAGAGATTTCAATAGCAGTTCTACTACTGTCTAACCATTTGTCTTCTCTGTATCTCATCATCTCTCTTTTAAGGATGTCAAACAGCTGGGAATGAAAATTATATGGGACCTTCATTTAGTTTGGAGAGCATAGAAATCTATTAACTTGTAATATCTTGTAACACATGTAAGGCCATTATTACTTTACAAAATATATTAAATTAGGTGTAACTTAATTATCTTATAGAAGTATACCTGGTGTATAAAACTGAAAACCGTTTCTTCAGAAAATAGTTACAAACTTAAATATTTTCACACCTCTATCCCACACTTCATTCCATCGCTCCCCAATATTTTTTTCTGTTGCTTCATCCTCAATTGTTCTGTGGTCACTAAGTAAACTTAATTGCCAGACATTCAGAAAGGATTCTTCTCCTTCAAGCTATTTCTATAAATCTTAGAGATCTTACAAATCTTAAGTCTATTGATACAGTACTTTCCTCTTTGTGGATAGTGATATTTTGATGACAGGTTCACAGCTTGGAGAAATTACTATTGGAGGAGAAAAGCTTTTTCAAATATTTCTAAGTTAAGGCTCTTTCCCAATACTATATGGCACAAATCCTATAGCTGTTAGCTTGAAGGAACTAATATTTACTAGATTATTTATTTATTTATTATTTATTTATTACATGTATTTATATGCCGCCATTCTCCTGAAGGACTCAGGGTGGCGAACACAAGTTAAGAAACAAGTACAATAAAATCATAATTTAATCCAAATAATTAATTAGTAGTAAATAATAAAGCCCAGAATCAATCAATTATGAAAGAGTTGTCCTGGGAATCATGGACAATGTGTTTGCTATAGCATTGTCACAATCATATTTTTTTTTAAAATGGTGTGATGGCCTGAATTCTGATCATTGTAGTTCCCAATTTTAAGTTTCTAATGGTAAACACGACATTCATAAATCATAAAAACCAATCAATTCATCATTTGGTATAAAGATGCAGATCTGACACACAAAAACCTGATTGTGCAAGGGTAGAAATCTTATCCATTCAGGATTTGCCCAATTGGCTTTTGGGTCCATCAATAGTCTTGACATCAGAGCTAGGAAGTAGGGCAAATATTGATCCTCAATAAATACCACACCTGGGACCGGAATCTCTGCCTCCAAGTGACAGGACAAGAAGTTATGGATGGAAACTTATCAGAGGGAGACTAAACCTGGAAATAAGGAGGAATTTCCTGACAGTAAGAACAGTTACTCAGTGGAATAGCTTGCGTCACTGGAACTTTTCAAGAAAAGATTGGACAACCACTTGTCCAGGATTGTATTATAAGAACTTGGGCAGGGGCTTGGACTAGAAGATCTCCAAGATCCCTTCCAGCCCTATGATTCTATAGAGGATATGAATGCCTCTATGTTCATCTGGATGAGGAACAAGCAGCCACTCTGTTGCCAGCAGAAACCCTGCTTAAGTTTCTCAACCTGTTTCTAGGCTGGTGTGGTGTTTCCTCACTGCTTGGTGTTTGGTGACTTCAACTTCCATGCTTTGGTGAGTGGGTTTCATGGCTGTTATTGTGACCATGGACTTGTCCCAGGTAATCTCTGGATATGTCCAATACATACTGGCAAACATCCTTGGACCTTGCCTCTGCCTTCAAGTAGCTTGCAATGAACTTGTTTTGGTGGGCATTATGTACAAAAGACCATTTACTAATATGAGGTGTACTATCATCAGCATGCTGATGATCTTCAGATATTTATCATCACCTCAGGTTAGACAGGAGATGCTATTAATGTTTTCTGCTAGTGTCTAGAGCTGTCAGGATCTGGATGTTGTGAAATGGATTGAAATTAAATTGCAGCAAGACAAAGTTGCAGGCTGTTGATCAAATTGCTCTGACTCTTCTGGTATTGTATCTTGAAGAGATGGCACTGAAGGAATAGTCCATGATGTGGTGGCCTGCTAGATTTGTGACTGTGTAACCAAGATACCCAGGTTACACAGATACAGCTGGGGTAAAATTCATTAACATTCATTTCCATATTACTTCAATATGCTCTACCTGGGGCTGCCTCAAGTTTCAATTAACAAGGAGTGTAGCAGCCCACCTATAGCTATAAATTATCTCTGTAAGCATACTGCATCTGGAACTCCAAGCTCTGCACTGGCTTCCTATTAGTTGCTAGGTGTAACTCAAAATATGCACTGTTGCTTATAAAATCCTACATGATTTGGCACTGAGATACTTTCAGGATCAACACCTGCATCCTGAAAGAAGCTTTGTGATTCTTCAGTTCTGCAACGATGCACATAAGCATTGCTTCTCAGTGATAACACCAATTTTAAGTAACAGTCTTCTCATAGAAGTTAGGTTGGCCCTCCATTGATGTGACCTTCCAAAAACCTCTGAAAACTGAATTCTGGAAGGCCTACGGTGAGATTATTTGGCATGATTGTTTTCTTGATATTATAGTTTGTTTTCACATGTTAAAATATTTAATTTCTACCATGACATTTATTTAAATTATTATGTTGCCTGTAATTAATGTCATGAGTCTTGAGACTTAAAAGGATGTAAAAAAATACCATTCAACCTTAACTGCATGAAAATTTATAAGTGTCTTTGAGTGTCCAAAAATAATTTTAAGTTAATTCAGCTGCATGTTTGACAGATTTCTCTGAACATATACATTGAAACAATGAGAAAGCAGTGTGCAATTGGAAAAAGAATGCAAGAGTAAAGATTGATACGCAGATCTATGAAAGCAATACATTATAAGGTTTCATACCTGAGTATGATGCACCTATATCTGGAATATGAAATACTGCTTTAACTACAAATCACTATTTTTAAGAAATTATATATAAAATGAAAACCATAAGAGCCTGAAATAAAACTCCTTACACCAAAAGATCTTTAATCTTAGAAAGAAAGAAAAAATCAAAAAGAAACATGAAAAAAAAATGATGTCTAAAAGTGGATAATGAATAGTCCACTTATTCTCATATAATTTTAGAACTCAGTTCCATCAATTAGATATTTAGTGTCACCAATTAAATTCATTAGCTTGTCCACAATGGCTATATACTAGTTTATATATTTACACACGGTTTATATATAAACTAATACTAGGTATTAGTTTATATATTATTAAAAAATAATTTTTCAGGACTTAAAAAACGCCAAATTTAAAAGCTTTTTTCCCCAGTAAACAACACACACAATACCACCATTCAAAATTTTGAGTGTAAGGCATGTATCCATTCCTATTAAAAACCATTTGTGTATTTCTCTTCTCATAAAACTCAGAATAGTAACAGAGAAGAGAAGCCTTGAGGGAAGGCGAAAAAGCAGTCGATTAAATCTCGAAGACAAACCTGGCCCAGCAAACAAAACCAATTTCGCCCCACCCCCACTTCTTGCTGACTGAAGGACGGCAGCTACTGATAATCAGGTTGCCGTCAAGAAGTCACGTGGCCCAGCCCTCTCTTTCCCCTCGCAGCACAGCCCCCCCCCCCCCAAACGAACCGTTGGAATTGGGGCCCCATGGAACCCGACCCGTCCCCTTCAAGCACTTCAAACCGCAAACTTGCGGCGAGCCCTGCCAACCCCCCCCACCACGCACGTGGCTCGCTCGCGCGCCGCAGCCTGAACGCTTGCTGTGGCGGCCTCCCACTCTTCCTCCCACGAAAACCCCCGGCGCTCCTTCCCCGCTCAAAGCCAATTTCGCCCATCGTCCCCTCTCACCATCTCGTCGCCGCCGGCGGAGCCATCGAGGCGACTACCCCCTGAAGGGTCGGTGAAGGCCGGGCTGGCTCTCCCCTCGGGGGTCTTCCTCTCGCTGGTTCCTTTGCCTCCGGCCCGGGTCCCACGCCTCCGTCGGTTCCACAAGTAAATTGCTCCGACCCCTATCAGCGGCACCCCGATTACCAGCGCGAGCTGCCAGCGCGGGATCCCCGAGCCCGCCCCGTTTCCACCTGTGGCGGCCTCCAGGGGCTTCGAGGCGGCCATGACTCCCGCTCGCCTCGCGCTTTCAGTGGCGGCGGCGAAGCAGCTGAGGAATGAAAAGAGTCAACGGAAACCAGGGGCATAACGGGAAAGGCGGTCTGGAAAAGCTTCCGCCCGCGGCCTGCTACCTATTACCTCGTATCAAACCCTAAGCTGTAGGGCCGCCTGCTGGAGGGAAAATAGCAGGGCGGACGCGGATTGGGTTGAAAGGAAAGTCGAGGCGCTTGTTCGTTAGACCAGGTGCGGGTTGGGTAGCACGGCGAACTCGTACGTTGACTCATGCAAAGGTCGCTTAAATTTTAATGTTTTAACAAGGAAGTACAAAGGTTCGTCAGATTTGAAAATAAATTCGATAAGAGTGTGCCTCTGCCTACTAAGTCAGGGGTTTCCAACCTTGGCAACTTTAAGACTTGTGGACTTCAACTCCCAGAGTTCCTCAGCCAGCAAAGCTAGCTGAGGAACTCTGGGAGTTGAAGTCCACAAGTCTTAAAGTTGCTAAGGTTGGAGACCCCTGTACTAAGTTATATGGAAGGGAGAGTCGGTAAGGCCGGAGACACCCAACAAATCTGTACCCAGCCAGAAGCATGTGTGGTAAAACAAGGAGGATAGGTGCTGAATGAATGCAAATTAAGATAAAATGCTGCTGATCTGAACCAAAACACTTTACCTGTGGGACGTCTGTAGAGATTCTCAGTCATCTAGGTCACGGTTGTCCCAAAGATGCTATTTCAAGAGGCAACTGGACTTTGTTTTATCTTTGAAGAGCTTTCAATTCTCATCCAAGAAGCTTCTTCAGCTCTGACAGGACAGCGGGGAATGGAAGGATTTATATTCCTTGCAGACAGCTGGTCATTTGCATTCTTTTAGAGCAGGAGTGTCAATCTTGCAGCCCACGGGCCAGAGGTGTCACAGGCTGGCCACCCCATTTTAGCAAAAGGAAAAAAGTTGTCGTACGTTACATGATGACAGCGTGACGCCTGAATTTGACACCCGTTATAGAGGGTTGTTGAAGCAAAGAAAAATTTACCAGAGAAAAATTACAGACTATGGGAACCAGGAGCACTATTCAGGTGACCCTAAGGACACAGATAAACCTCCAAGTGCTTCAGCGACCCTCTAAAACACTGGTGTCAAACTCGCAATGTCACGTTGTTACATGACATATCACAACTTTTCCCCCTTCGCTAAACTGGGGTGGGCATGGCATGACGCACCAGCCTGCAGTCTAAAAGGATGCAAATGACCAGCTGTCTTCAAGGAATATAAATCATTCCATTCCCCACTGTCCTGTCAAAGCTGAAGAAGCTTCTTAGATGAGAAACGAAACTTCAAAGAAAAAGTCCAGTTGCCTCCTAAAAAAGCACTTTTGGGATTACCTATGGTACCCACAGCACGGGTGAAATCCAGCAGGTTCTGAAACGTTCTGGAGAACCGGTAGCGGAAATTTTGAGTAGTTCAGAGAACTGGCAAATACTACCTCTGGCTGGCCATGGAGATTTTGCAATATCCTTCCCCCAGGAGTGGGGAGGAAATGGGGATTTTGCAGTATCCTTCCCCTGGAGTGAGGTGGGAATGGAGATTTTGCAGTATCCTTCCCTTGCCACGCCCACCAAGCCACACCACGCTCACCAAGCCACGCCCAAAAATTGTAGTAAAAAAAATTGGATTTCACCACTGACCCATAGGTGTGCAAGTGAGCAATCAATACAAAAGAAATACATTTGAGGTTTGGTCATGGGGAAAGAATGACCAAAGCAAAATTTCAAAATGATTATGTGAAGGAAGAATGGGTTTAGAGGTAAGAAGAGATGTAGAAAGTCATGGTTATAGAGAGCTGATGAGATATTCAGAAAAGGAAGGGGTGAATAGTTTATAAAGAACAAAATACATTGCTATGAATTAATATATGAACTGGCTTAACTACAGATAAATTTCTTTATCTTATATCTTGTACTTTATTGAGCTTACTATTTTTATTCCTTTATGTGTTTTGCATAATATTGTTTACGCTAAAATGGAGTAGCATGATTGGAATAAAAGTATGTAATTTCAATACAGAATAATTATTTAGCTTCATATGCAATTGTGGAAGGGAGTTTACAGTAACAACCTTTGCCCCAATTTATGCTTATTTTTTTGAAGAGATGTTGTGTAATTCTTCCTGAACTTGATGACTTCTAAATGTACAGAATTCCCAAACACTTAATGGAATTGACATATTGACACTTGGTATTTGGCAATTTTGTAAGGGAGTCTCCTAAAGCGAAGCTACCTATGAATGTAGAAAATCTTTTGCACAATTTTTATGTTTTCTTTCTTCCCTCTTGAAAACAGCATCTCATATTATTTTGCTGTTAATGAAATGTTGTCTAGCCTATTGCCAAACATGATGGCTATTTTAAAATGAATTTGCCTGAATATTGCTCACCTGCAGATAAATTACTTCCTGAGTTGCTTCTGTCGGTTTGACTGTAGTGGTCAGTGGAGGGAGTTCATTGTATTTTCTTCCTATTTTGTTTCCTGAAATATTTAGTTGAGGGAGAAGAAAAATGGGGTTTGTCTCTGGTATACAAGCTAATAAATGTTTGTTTGATTCTCTATTTTGATACAAGGGTGCAGCTGTGATAGTTGAAGATGATGGTATTTGCCTGCCTGATAGTTTCATTGGTGGTAGGTGCACTTTAAACACTGATGGTAGCTTTCCTGGTGGTTTTAATGGTGGAAGAGAAAACTTTGCCATAGCATAAACATCTGTGAAACTCTCCTGAGAAAAGAAGAAGAATCATTTTTAAATTAAAAACAAGATAGATATTGTTGTTTTTGAACTATACCATGTTCTTTCAAGGGGCATAAATTGCAGAGCTGAAAGCGTTCTCATAGGTTTTGTCTCCTTAAGTAGTATTTAAAGAGACAAGGTAATTAAAAATTTGCATTATTTTCAATTGGCTACTAATAAAGGTTAAAGAGAGATATAGATCCTTGATGTTCTATAATTAATTGAATCCAAGTTAGAGCTTTCTTCTGGAAACAGCATCAAGAAGCCAATTTGCCTGAATCTCTTATTGCTTTAAATAACTCAGGCTACTTTTTCCCCTTTCTTTTAGGTTTCAGGAGTTCTTTATCACTAATTTTCTGAGTATGCAAAGACCAGCCATGTTAGGGTGAAACCTATGCAATACAGGTAATCCTCAGTTTATGAATGGAGTAGAGCCTGCCAATTACATGCGTAACCCGAAGATTCATTGGTTGGATCATGTTAATTTCACCCTGCTTTCCCCAATGCATTTGTTAATCAAATGCACAAGTTGTTAAGTGCACATGAGGTATCTCAAGGTGGGGAAGACCATGGGGGGGGGGGCAGTTAGTGCTGGAACAGGCCACTTGCTTCCCAATACCCAAGGCCTCTCCCGACCCACTGAGATATCTCATGCTCCTTTGGGGTCCCCACAGTTGTTTCCCCATACTATCCTGCCCTGTTGGGTCTCCACAGGCACTGGGCACTGTTTTGCTACCTTATTGGATTCCACTTGCTCCTTCCCATTCCATTTCTGATCGCTTAGTTAACTTTTTGAAGATCTCCAGAGCAGGCTAACTTACTCCCTGAAGCTGCTCATTCAAACCAACCACCCAACAGCCAGCAGGAAGCTGTTGCAGTGCTGCGCAGGCCTGGACCAAATGAGGCCTGCAGGAATACTGGGCTCATGGCAGAAAAGCAGTAGCCTTTTACTCAGATGTTGGTGAAGCTGTAAGAACATGATATCTAAGGAAAACAGCTTTACCAGCATCTGAGTAAAAGACTTCTGCTTTTCTGCCATGAGGCCAACATTTCTCATGGCAGAAAAGGCCTGGGTGGGGCCAGGCAGCCAATCAACAAGGAGCTTGTTTCCTTTGTCTCATTGTTCTGAACCGATTCCATCCCATTATGAATATGATTTGATTTAATTTTAGTTTTCAACATTTTTTTTCAAGTACCCAAAGGAATCAAAAGAATGAAAGAAAAAACCCTACATATTACAAAGAGTAGTTCTAATCAGAAAAAGAAGGACCCAAAACAGATGTGGGGGTATATATAGAAGAAGTATATAGAAGAAGTATAGAAGTATAAGTATCTATAAATTATTATAGATTGGCTTTTTAAAAAATTCCGAATGAAAGAATAAAAATAAATTGATATTGTTCTGTTCTCTAAAATGCAGATGTTAATTAATGAAGGGCAGTCCATGAAAAGGAAATAATCTGAGAAAATGTAAACGTGGCAACATGCAACAAAATTTAGTATGTCCAGCACATCTTTTTCTTTTATGAGTTGGCTTTTGTAATCTAACATTTTAGTAAAATTGTGTCAGAGGACTAATTTTGCTTTAGATGAAAACCAATACTAGATAGTGAGAAAAGGCCACCTAAAGTTTTTCAAAGCAGCACAGAAAGGTCTAAGAAAGATAAGTGGAGAGAGAATTAGGTTAACAATTATAAAAATATTTACCTTGGTAATCAATTCTTAACTTTATTATGGGTCAAAATTCTGAATAAACATGCATATAATATTTGAGTGTAATCATTATAAGATGTTTGTTCCCAACTAATTGGGATATGTAACTGAAAAATATTTTCCACAAACTCATGTTTCTGTAAATCTAGATGACCACAAAGAAAAATAGCACTAAATATTTAGAGCAACTAGAAGAGTGTGTGTGTCCCTGTTTTTATTTCTTCCCAATAAGCTTATTTTATCTGTTTCTAAACTATGTATGTAATTATATAATTATGTAATTTATTCCTATTGGCAACTTTTTAAAAGAAAGGGATTTATTTTCTTTCCTACCTGAGAGTATATCCTGGTTATCTGCTGCTTTGTAGGCTTTTCCATTATTTGTAAGAAGAATCACATTGGAGTTTTACGCATCAGGCAAGTGTTCAATAGAATTCAGATATTAACCCATCACCATTTGCACATAATCTTCATTGAGAGCATCAGTCTGTATTCATTGTTCATGATGTTTTTCTTCTTAAGAATTAAAAAAACAATAGTTTTGAGCTTAAAATGGAAGGGTTTAATTTCAATTCCACACACACTCATGATAAACAGGTAAATAAAATAGATCAATAAGTGTTCAGGATGTTTTAATGGTGGAATTAAGGAAACTTAAGTAGGCTAAGGAATGACCAATGTATTGCTGGTGAAGAACAGGGAGCAAAGATGATTGGACATGAAGTAGAGCCACTATTAAGGCCTACCTTGTGGCTATAAGGGTGGTGAAATGTAACTTTGTCTCTGCCCCCATTGTTTTGCCAGTAGTTGCCCAGTGGTCCTGTTCTGGATGACTCAGTGCTTCCTTGGAGGGACAAATACCAAATCCACATAAAGGCTTGCTGTGAGGAATAAGATGTGCATCTGGCAGATAAAATCGGTTACATGCATTCTGTATGGTATTGGACTCTATCTAGCTTTAGAGCAGAGTCTATAGAGATGGAGGGAGCTAGATCTTGCAAGGTGATCTGGGAAGAATTCGAGCCCATGGAACCTGAGGAGATGGACAGTATAATGGTCAGGACAATTCCTGACAAAAAATAGAAGGGCTTTTCCGTTGCTGTGGACTCAGCAATAGCTACAGCCCACTATCTCCTAATCTGGGTTCTTCATCTGCTATTTTCCCTTACTTAATTTTGAAGCTAATAATTGTAATTGACTGGATGTTTTAAAGGTACAGTTTTAAAACTTGTTTCTGTCTTTTAAATGAGAATGTTATATCCTTGTATTAATACCTGCCTATTCTTTATCAAAAGATATTTCCTTACCCTTAAAGATGCTTTTGTCTGAAGTTTCCTTTCCTATAAGCCAACTTAATTGTTAAGAGTTGTTGAAATATTCAGGTTATTGTCTCACATGATCAAGATCATAGAAGGCCAGCATCAGCAGAATTATTAAATCAGCAATGATGTCACTGGGCAATAGACTAGTACAAAGTTGGCTTTGGAATTAAAACTATACTGGTGCTAATTATCATGAACTATGTATCTTTCTTTATATTTGCAAACCTATTTACTGTGTTTATATTTAACAGAAAGGAAATATGTCTGTGTAATTAAAGTTGTATACAACATAAATAACAAACATGGCTTGCATCAGATATTATTTTTTTTTTTGCCTCAGTAAGATTTTCTTGTAGAACTGTTCTGTATTAGTTCTATCCCCAATCTTTTAGTAGATTTATTTAGACATAGAAGGCAGAATTTATGTTCCCACCAGTACTATACCAACTTGGAAGTGCAAGTTAGATTTTAAAACAGCAGAATATCCCCAACAGAGTGATATTTTGAAAAACTGTTTATATAGAAGAGCCAATTTAATAGCATCAACTGATGTATCAGAAAAAAGTATTAACAGTGGCCATTAAGTGAAGTGCTATAGGCTTGGCAATCACCAATAAATATGTTATCTTTGATATTTATCCCAGTTACAATACAATACAATTCTTTTTTGGCCAAGTGTGATTGGACACACAAGGAATTTGTCTTTGATGCATATGCTCTCAGTGTACATAAAAAGAAAAGATACATTTATTAAGGAATCATAAGGTACAACACTTAATGATAGTCATAGGGTACAAATAAGCAATCAAAATCATACTAGGAAACAATCCCAATTGGTTTTAGGACAGCACTGAATTTCAGTCAGTTAAGAGTAGAAGAATGTACTTTGTCAATTAATTTGCTGTTATATAATGTACAAATCATATTATAATTTTTAGCAACATTTTTTTTTAACCAGCTTCTTAACAGACAGTGTACAGTGCAGCATACAGTATGGGTGAAGTTAACTAATGGCATAGGGTAAGGTATCAGTACGCTGATGATACTCAACTTTTACATTTCTACCCATTCCCAATTATGTGATGCTGTGAAGATTCTATATCCGTGTCGGGTCTGGAGGTTTGGGTGAGAAACAACTGACATTCATCTGAACCCAAGCAAGATTGAATGTCTTTGGATGTTATGGCACTCTGGTGCTGACAATTTTCCATCTCTCAAATGACATTGTACTGCCCCAATCAGAACCTGTGCACAATTGGGGGGTCCTTTTAATGGCTCCTATTTGAGGAATAGGTGGGAGCCACTGGAAGAATCTTTCCACAACTACAAGATGTATTGTACATCAATTGCATCCATTCCTGAACTGGGAGCCCTACTCACAATCATTCACACCTTTATTACTTGTATTATGGAGTATGCTGCACATGGGGCTACTCTTGAGAATTTGGAAGCTTCAACTGGTTTAAAATGCAGCTGGGCAGGCAGTTATGTACCTCCCACAATTGGTGCATGCTATGTCTCTGTGTGGGTTGCATTGGTTGCCAGTCTTTCTGGATACAATTCCAAGATGGTGAATTCTACAGTATGGGATCAAATTATTTGAAGGGCCATCTCTCCAATCATACTTATCTCTCCCATCAGGTTTGATATGTACGGCCATGCTCGAGTTTCCATCTGCCAGAGAGTGTCATCTATTGGAGCCCAGGAAGAGAGCTTTTTCTGTCATGGATACCATCCTGTGGAATATATTCCCCTGAAGATCAGATTAGTCCCACCCCTACTGGCTTTTCTCAAGGCCTTAAAAACATGGTTTTGTCAATGAGTTTGATAACATAGGAATATGGTAGAACCAGTGTAGTGGCTACATTGACTATTATTTTTGGAGATGATTACCTCAACTATTAATTTTATGTTATGATTTATATGGTTCGACATTGTTTTTATTGTTTTTACTAATATTGGTCTGCAGTTTTTATACCACTTTTTAATTGTTTATGAACCAGCCAGTGTCTTGTATGGAAATGGACAGCTATAGAAATTTGATTAATAAACATATATTTTAGGGCAATCATGTAAAGTGGTAAAATGGGATTTATTTCTATAGCTGTTTGAAAAATATTGGCTAATGCCAGACATTAATTTTGCCAGAATGTGTCTTTTCATTTGTACATCAATTCCATTGCTCTTAAGGTTCACAAACACTTTTAGAGCTTTGTAACACTTTGGAGACAATTTTTGCATAATCCTAGATAAGTATTTTTTCCTCTGCCAAGCATAACTCTCTGCAGTAGATACAATAGCCAGTAGCCAATAGCTGTAATGACTTCATTACAGAGTGGCATTAATTTTTCTTGCTACCCAAATAATTTTAAATAAATGGGACTACTTTTTTCTAATTCTGCAAAAATAGATCAATGCATGCAATGTTCTTGTATATATTTTAAAAGAAAGCATCCTGAGTTGAAAATATTATCATCATCACTTTAGTTCTATTTGATTACTCATATTTATATACTCAAAAAGATAATACAAGCAACTGACAGTTTATCAATAATCTTGAAAACTAATGAGATTGTGTGTGTTTGTGGTGTGTGTGTATGGTCCAGGATAGAGATGAGGAATGAAAATAGAATGAGCAAGGAGTGATTGAAAAATGATTGAAGAATATATAAATATTAAAAGGGCAGAGTGAACCTTAGAATCACATAGGGCTGGAACAGAAACTCTTCTAGTCCAATCCCCCTGCCCAAGGCAAAAGTTCTTATACTATCCCAGACAAATGGTTGTCCAATCTTTCCTTGAAAACCTCCAGTGATAAGAGTACCTAAGAGTACCTAGGCTAAACATACCTAGTTCCTTCAGCCATTCATTATATAATTTAACTTCCACACTTCTTCTAATTATCTGGATAAGTTATTTCTGCCCAATAGTGATTGTATTGAAGTGTATATTAATGCCAATAGGAATGTGTGGTTTCTAAGGGAAGAACTAAAATCAGTCCTGAGAGGGATGTGTGTGTGTGTGTGTAAGCTCTGAAACAACTGGTTGGAAACTCTCACAGATGTTCTCTGAGTTTCTGAGCAGCATTGGGATCCTTCGTTTGTGCTTTTTCGGAATCTGCGACGGGAGAGGCAGCTGAAATCCGAGGCTTTCAAGCAGATCTGTGGGCGCTTTTATGTCCCTGGAGGACCTTCCGCGTCCGAACACTCCGCCTCCCGCTTACTGCCACATCACTACAGCCCTCTTGATAGCGTGTCTCGCCTCCGACAGAAGGCAGCTGTTTGGAGGGTGGGGGCGGAGGGAGACGGTCGAGAGGAGGGATTTTTGCCAAAGTCCAACCGGAGGCGAGAAAAGATGAAAGCGGGACGGGAGGAGGGCGTGAGTGCCCCAGCGGTGGCGCCTCTGGGTGGTTGTCGAAGAAGGCGGGATGGAGAAGGCAGGGCTGTAACGGGAGCATCCGTGGCGAGGAGTAGCCGAATTCTTCCTCGTCACGGAGAAAAGAGGTGCGCTCCGGCACGTCCGCACATTTGACTATGGACAATCCAGGATCCCGCTCGTCAAATTCCACGTAAAATTCCACTCCGGAGGGTGCTTTAAGTTGCAGAGAAGCAGCGCAAGTTCGGTAAGTCTTTATGAAATGTTCCTCTCTGTGTTTCTCTGGCTTCTGCACGAAAGGGGAGTTGCAAGCGGAGTTCTGATTAGATTAAGTAATTAACCTTAACGTTAATTACTTAATTACAACATAACGGAGAAATATAGCAATAGCACTTAGACTTATATACCTTTTCACAGTGCATTACAGCCCTCTCTAAGACGTTTACAGAGCCAGCATGTTGTCCCCAACAATCTGAGTCCTCATTCTATCCGTTAAGAGTGGTAATTTGTCAATAGTACTAAACTTGGACCCATGAAGTTAAAACTTTTGATCATTGGAAATTGTTCTTGAGCTAGTTCTTTTGAAATACATAGACTCCTTGGGCAGTTCAACTGCTAAGTAATTTCAGCAGAGTAAAGAAGAAGAGATGTTGCGGGGAATGGAGGCTGCTTGGTAATGCAGAAATATCTGCCCCTAAATAAATGAGAAATGGGAAAAGTGGGAAGAGATGAGAAGGAGGACAATGCAAGACTGGAGATAGAGGACTCCCCTTTGTAATGTTATCATGGGTTTTGTTTTTTAGTATGAGAGTTTTTTTTTTAATATGGGCTAGAAGAAAAACAAAAAAAGTGAGGATTTTCATCCTACAGATGAAAATATAATTTTAAAAAATATTAGATTGTGAGGAAATGGATAGGTTAACATTAAAGATAAAAGATAAAGAAGATACAGAATATTTTTTAACCTGGAATTTGTTTTACCAATAGTTAGATAATAGAGGTACAAATTAGAAGTTGGAAGAATACCACTATGTACAAGAAAATATTATTATTATTACTATTACTATGTATAACTAAATTGAATCAGACAATACATTATGAGACAAGCACTTATGCATGTTAAAGAAAAATGTATAAAATGTATGTATGTATGTATGTATGTATGTAAACAAGCAGACATCCTGCAAGCTCCGGAACTTAAAATTTTAAAAGAATTAATATTTTATTTTACTAAGCTTTCGTCAGCTGTCTGCTGACATCGTCAGAGTAGCTATGGAGCTACTATATCCAGAGCTCGCAGGATATCTGCTTCTTTATTTATTAATATACCTGGAACACATATTTTTAGAATAGTTTGTAATATATTGTATATATACAATTTTCCATTGTTCCTTACTTTCGATATATAATCTGTAGCGCTATCAATAATCCAAACTTTCTGGGATGGTCAGAAAACAAGACACAATTAAGTATTTTATTGTAACATTTTAAAAAAATTCCTGAGCCTGGAATCTTGATTGGACTCTTATGGGAAAACAAAGCAAACTGAGTACTAAGAGGAGTGATGGATATATGGTACAAATTCTAACTATGCAATCATATGAATAGAATTATAATCCTTACCCATTTCTGACTGCAAGGCCCTGTATTATCAGACTTTGATATGTCAACATAAAAGAACTTCAGTGGTTCCCTCATTGCTGCCTCAGTTCCCTACACCTGCAGTGAGCATTGTGGGGAAAATAAATGTGAAGGCAATCAGGAAGATCAAAACCTTGGGAAATATCTATGACAAAAAGAATAAAATAAATTTCTGATAAATATCTCTTATACAAGCAGGTTTTGAAGTCTGGCACAGATGCTTTTCCATACAAGTACAGTTCAGAATATTAGGAATCGTGTTTTATTCCTACAACAAAATATAATTTATTACTAGATTATAATAAGCTACATCTTAGATTTGGTCTATAAATATGAGATTCTTCTGAAATTTACTTTATTTTTTTGAACTGCTTTTTCCACAGTAGAAAAAGATGGCCAATTTTAAAGGTCATGCTCTTCCTGGAAGTTTTTTCCTTTTGTTTGGCTTGTGGTGGTCTGTGAAATACCCATTCAGGTACTTCTGTCAAAGGAGGAAAAATATTTATCTTGGTTCCAAGGCAGGATTTCAACGCTTAGAATTTATTGAAGGCATAATCAAGGTTTTCTTTGCTCTTATTGGTAAGTTTATATTTTTTAAAAAATATATAATTCTAAATAAGTATGATTATGATTTAAAGTATCTTTAAAGAAAAAATTGATTTTAAAAAAATATTAACGTTAAAGCAATTTATAGTTGATGCCAGACTGTAGTCTGGATTCTATCTAGTGTTGAATAATGTTTCCCTGCATGGAGATAGAATTCAGTAACAAAACTGGACAACTAGCCTGTTTATTTTATACCTTAATCTTTTAAAAAAATATACATATTTTTTGGATTGCTATTATGATGCATTTTGGGCTATATGTTTCATTAGAGTAGAATATGTTTATACATTGGTGTTGTTATTTCATATATATCTCTTATATTTTAGCTTTATTGTCAAACTGGAACAAGAGATTATTTTATTATATAATTGTATCTGTATTGAAGAGAGAAGTTAGCAGTTTTCCTTATATTGTTTTTGTTCATTTTTATGTGCTGCTTTTGAACTTTTTCCATTGTCCCTCCTTCTTGCTTTTCCTTTTTTTTGTAATTTTACATTTATATTTATCTTTAAAATTAATAAAAATTCTAATATACATAATGTATAACTCTAAGTAAGAGTTAGATCTTTCCAAGGAGAAAATAACCATATCTTGCTAGAACTTCAGTAAAGGACACGGTGTTTTCACTTGTCCTTATCAGGATTAGCATTCTATGGTTATATTGGCTACATTTAGACATTCATACATTCATACATTTATACATTCTAACTTATTTAATAAACCACAAAGCAAGGAATTTGGAGAGCTGAAATCATCAAAGTTGGTTTCCAAATGTTCCATTACCAGGCTAGATAACATCTTCAGTGGAATTTAGAGAATGTCAGTGTTGGTGTTATTCTGCTTACAAGGAATTTGTATAAAAGCACACAAAGTTCTTATCAGAAGAGATTGCGGTTTATTCAAGAAATTTAAAAAATCATTACATAAAATGAACCGTGAGATTGTCTTGGTTACAAAGTGTGGCTCCATTCTTATCTCATCGCTTGGTAACCATGGGTCCTATAATTACGTAGGGTAAAGCAACCGTTGATGTAGATATGATGGTGATCTGGATATGGCATCTGTCATCCCATTGATTGCCATTGTTGAGTTGACTGGTCTGGTTGGCTAGGTGTGGGTATCCCCTTCCTCCCACATCGTTCCATGTGCATCCCTCCTGAAGCTGTGTGTTCAGTGGAAGGGGATGACCATCCCAGACAGAAGGAGCGTACTAATCATTATTCAAGGATATACAATATTTTTTGAAACCAGTGGCAAGCCGTAACATTTCTCTTGGGCTTATCCAGTTTTTCCTGTCTGTTGGAAGATAGAACCATTACAGCTAACATAAGGTGACCATCCAAATAGTTTAGGGATACTATAGTAAAATATCTTGGGTGACCCCTGTCAACCCTAGGAATGTAATTTAAACATCAAATACACTTTACAAATATAAGCAAGCATGAATTTCAAAGACTCGATGCTATGGTCTGTGATTTGCTCACATTATAGGTACAGTATTGCATAAAACACGAGATGATATTACATTTGTTTCAAGAAATGGAAATGTGCAAGATAGTGTATGAATGTTTTCACACAGACCTCAGCCAAGGAAGTGTGTTTTGCAGTGTCATTTTTTTTTCTCTATAGGATTTTATACATGGTAAGTAAAAGTATGGAGGATATGGTAGGAAAATGTGGGAAGTTTTACAAATAAAATACATAATTTATGGAGCCATTATAATTTTATTTGTGAAGCAGGCCTATTGCACAGTAGCACTCTTATCTGGAAGCAACTTAATATCCATTAGGTAAAGTAATGATTTGAATTTTTTTTTCTTTGCATTATGGCCAAAACAAAGCAAAAGGTTCCCAGCATATTTTTTTTTTGTTATTTTATACCCAGGTATGGCAGCAGAGCAGTTTGTTCCTGATGGACCTCATATGAAGCTATATAATAATGAAAAAAAGCAGTGGAATTATTTAATGAATTGGCAGCATGCAACCATGTACCTCTTCTATGGCATCTCAGGGCTAGTGGACATTGTGACTCACAGCACAAATGTATTACCAGAGGCCTTAGACCGAATGATGCTCTCACTTGCTGTTTTTGTGGAAGGTGAGCTTATGGTATTTCACTGCACTGTTTATATAGAATAGTTTTCTGAATCCAAATGAAAAAGAATAGACAAAGTTTATCTGTTTGGTAACTATGTCATGTAATCAATATGAGATGTAACAGAAATAGGGAACAATAATAGATGTTTAAATATTATGAATTAATGAATTAATATGCCTGTTTCTTTATTAGTGATGCATGCAGAGTGGAAGATTTGTTTTATTTAAAGAAGATTAAGAATTAATTATGTTTGAAATAATTAAGCATGACTGTCTTTAAATTACATTTAAAGACAGTAAGCAAAAATCATTGTAGGTACCTCAAAGGATGTTTTTCAACATTAAACATGTAAACAACCGAAAATCTTCTGCAGTAGCAGCCCCGAATTACATTTATCTAGCATCTGCTTAAAGAATATGGCTCAAGTAAATAGATTGTATTTATTTGTTTGTTTATTTAACTTTATACAAAGTTAATTGTACACAAAGTTAAAAATACCATCTTTCTGCAAATTTGAATGCATACATCCTATATATGTTTAAAGATTCAAAATAAGAAAACATGAGCATGGCACTTGTACATTATAGCTCCTCCTATGGTGGAAATGACAGCTTCCAAGGATTTTCTATGACCTGCTAAGACTTTATATTAAATATGTATTAAATACATACTTTGCATGACACAAAACCGAGAGCTTTTTAGCAACAATCATGTACGAAGCCTGCAGAATAAAAAGTAGTTGACTTCTTATTCCCTTTCACCAGGTTTTCTATTTTATTATCACATCCATGGGCGTTCCATGTTAGATTTTCATGTTCATCAATTACTTTTAATAACTATCTTCGGAGGTGCTATCTGCATATTCTTGGAAGTCTTTTTGCATAACAGCATTGTTCTTGAGATGTTCCGAACAAGTCTTTGCATATTGCATGGAAGTTGGTTCTGGCAGGTGAGTGAATAATTTTTCTTTTCCGTCCCGATACATTAAAAACAACTTTTGAGATTAGAACCAGGATCAGCAAATGAGATCCTCAGACAGCTGCTGAAGATTTATTGGATAAGATGAAGATTTATTCATTACTTCAACCCTTCTCTGCTTCTCTTTATCTGCTAAGGCAGGGGTCGGCAACCTTAAACACTCAAAGAGCCACTTGGACCCTTTTCCAAAAGGAAAAAAACACACCAGAGCCACAAAACCTGGGTGGGCATGGCCAACTCAATGTCACTCACTTCCACCCAGTCACATGACCCCCCCTAGCCACACCTACCCAGCCACAAAACCATTCTGTCTCTCTCCCCGTCTCCCTCCCATGTCTCTCTCCCTCTGTCTCTCTCTCTCTCTCTCTCTCCTCCCCTCTCTCCCCCCTATGTATCACTCTGTATGTGTCTCTATGTCTCTCTCTCTCTTCTCCCCTCTCTCTGAGGGGAGTGTGTGTGTGTGTGTGTCTCTCTCTCTCTCTCTCTCTCCCCCCTCCCTTCGGGTGACCGTCCTTCTCCTCCCCACACCGCTCGTGATGCCCTGGCTTGCTGTTGCTGAGCCAGGAGCGTGCGCATGTGTGGGGAGACCCTCCCCAAGCGAGCCCCAAAGCACAGCAAAAGTGCACATGGAGTGGGCGGCCGCTCGCTTAGGAGAGCCTTAACAGGATGTGGCTTCTCTCCTGCACTAATGATCCAGCCATCGCCTTGCCATTTCATCCCCCACCCCCGGAGATTCTTTGGCTGAGTACGGAGGCTGCGAACTCCAGCCCAAAGCGGCAGGAAGCGAAGGCTGCCTTACATGCAAATGTGGCATGAAGGCAGGTACAGGGCAGCTTCGCTCCTGCATTCTCCTCCTCCTCCCACTCTCATGACGCCCTGGCTGTGGCTGAGGCAGGAGCGTGTGCACGCACAAGGAGACCCTCCTCAAGTGAGCGCCGAAGCTCAGGAAAGGTGTGTGCAGGGCAGGCAGCGGCTCGCTTAAGAGGGTCTCCCCACGTGTGTGCATGCTCCAGGCTCATCCACAGCTGCCCAGGGTGTCACGAGAGTAGTAGTAGTAGGAGAGTGCAGGAGCAAAGCTGCCCTGTACCTGCCTTCGGGCCACATTTGCATGTAAGGCAGCCTTCACTTCCTGCTGCTTCAAGCTGGAGTTCACACCCTCCACACTTGGCCGAAGAGCTGCCGGGGTGGGGGATGAAATGGCAAGGCAATAGCTGGAGCATTAGTGCAGGAGAAAAGCCGCATCCTGTTAACACCCTCCTAAGCGAGCGGCCGCCCACCCCATGCACACCTTTGCTGCACTTTGGCGCTCGCTTGAAGAGGGTCTCCCTGCATGTGCACATTCTCCCGGCTCAGGGGGGAAGGAGAGTGCAGGAGCGAAGCTGCCCTGTACCTGCCTTCGCGCCTTACACTTACATTTGCATGTAAGGCAGCTTTCGCTTCCTGCTGCTTCAGGCTCCAAAAAAGAAATAAGAGGGGCGAGGGGCAAGGGGCAAGGGGCGGGGTCAACCAGTGATGGGACAGGGAGCCGCGGCAAAGGACCCAAAGAGCCGCATGCGTCTCCGGAGCCATGGGTTGCCGACCCCTGTGCTAAGGTGACTGCAATGTAATGATACTGGAGATTACTCTGAATTATTGTAAACAGTTACAGTAGAGTGATGACCACTCTTTGTTCTCCTATCAGTGCCTGCATCAGTCATTTTATCTCCATCTGCTTGTTTCTTCAGAGGAAAAGAGACTAAGCTCTAAGCTGCCAGTATTTTCCCCTGTCCTGCTCCATGAACTCTGAGATAGACCAAGATAACAAATTAGGCAGGAATGAGAAACTTGTTAATGATTGGAGAGGGTAACAGTTGGGGGATGAGATGAATGAGAGGGGAGATGACATCTTTAGTTAGCAGAGCTGTGTGGCAAAGTATAGGTATTCTTCTATTAACCTTGGGCGTCCTCCTGGACTCACGGCTGTCTTTAGAAGAGCACTTGACGGCCGTGACTGGGAGGATCTTTCATCAGGTTCACCTGATTCACCAGTTGCGTCCCTTTCTGGATCGGGACTCCCTACACACAGTCACTCATGCCCTCGTTATCTCCCGCCTAGACTATTGTAACGCTCTCTACATGGGGCTCCCCTTGAGGAGCACCCGGAGGCTCCAACTGGCGCAGAGTGCGGCCACGCGGGTGGTTATGGGAGCAACATGGCACTCCCGTGTGACACCTCTCCTGCGCGAGCTGCACTGGCTCCCGGTGGTCTTCCGGGTGCGCTTCAAGGTTTTGGTTACCACCTTTAGAGCGCTCCATGGTTTAGGACCTGGCTACTTACGGGACCGCCTACTACCACAAACAACCTCCCACCAGCCGGTACGCTCTCATAGAGAGGGGCTCCTCCAGGTGCCATCAGCCAAACAATGTCGACTGGCGGCCCCTAGGGGGAGGGCCTTCTCTGTGGGGGCACCTACTATCTGGAACGAGCTCCCCCCGGAGATACGAAGGATCCCGGATCTGCGCACTTTCCACCGTGCTTTGGAGACACTCCTATTCCAGCAGACCGACGTGGCCTAATTTTCTCCCCTTCTTTTAAATTTTTAAACTGAAATTTTAATTCGTTTTAAATTATTGGGAGTTTTAAATTGTCTCGGGCAAAAATTATTTAATTGGGTTTTAATCATGTTTTAACTTTTGTATTTATGTGTTTTATTTTGTGCCTGTTCACTGCCCTGAGTCCTTCGGGAGTAGGGCAGTATACAAATTTAATAAAATGAAAATGAAATGAAAAATGAAACCACCACAGGTGGGATCAGAATTTCAGTTGCTAAGGAAGATACCGTAGTTGCCACAGTTGTTAAGTGAATTATTGCAATTAAGTGAATCATGCAATGTTTCTCCATTTACTTTGCTTGTTTTCTTTTGTTTTGATTGTGACCTAAATAGTGAATATCAAATAAAGTAAATATCTAAATCAGCCTTCCCTATATCATCCTAGTATAATGGAGAAATTACTGGTAATTTTCAAAGACCTAGAGTAGTGTTGGCGAACCTTTTGAGCACCAAGTGCCGAAATGGGAGCGCATGCATGTGGGGGGAGCGCTGGAAACTGGAAGAACAGCTCACCAGTGTGCACGCGCAGGAGCACCACAAACTGGAAGACCAGCTCCCCAGCGCGCACACACAGAAGTGCCGCAAACCGGAAGAGCAGCTAAGCTTCCAGTTTCTGGCATATGCATGTGCGCCAGTCACCTGGTCTTCCGGTTTCTGGCATGCATGTGTGCATGAAAACCAGCTGACTGGAGTGCTGGGGAACTGCTCTTCCAGTTTTTGGCACTCCCAGTGTGCGCGCTGGGGAGCTGCTCTTCCAGATTCCTGCACTCCCCCCTCCCCTGCGTGTACTCCCATTTCAGCATTCGGTGCTGAAAACGGGTGGGATCCTACCGGTTTAACAACCAGTTTGATAAGCACACGCTTCGCGCAGTTTGGAGAAAACTCACCTTCTGCATTGCTGCCGGCAAGGAAAACAGCTGAGGCGCAGCAATCCGCTCTGCCGCGCTGATCAGGTGGGCTTCGGAAACAAAAATATAGGTGAGTATAATGCAGGGGCGGGCAGACCCACTTCAAAACTGGAGTGAAGCGGTTCACTCACAGCTGATAGTCAGAGCTAACGGTTCCCCCAAACCGGTAGAAACCCACCACTGGCCAAAAAGGTTTGCCAACAGTGCTGTAGGTCTTTGAAAATTTCCTGGTCGAAACTTGAAGCTCAGTTTCCCGGTGCTCGCATGTGCACCAGGGAGCTGCTTTTCCGGTTTCTGGCGCTCCCGTGCACGCAAAAACCAGGTGGCCAGCACACATATGTGTGCCAGAACCCGGAAGAGCAACGGGTGACAGCTGGCATGCCCAGAGAGATGGCTCTGTGTGCCACTTCCGGCACACGTGTCATATGTTTGCCATCACGGACCTAGAGAATACCTTTGGAGGAAAGGCTGATGTCAAACAGTTCTAACGGCATTCTTATAATAGAGGTAGATAATCTGCCATCTTTTGGGGATATGCAGGCCTCAACTTCAGTTTATGTGGCCTTCAGTCTAATTAAAGAACTGTGCAAGAGATTGATTTTTCATCAGAACTATTGGAACTGAGAGAACAGAAAAAAGTGGATATCAGAATGAGAATAGGCATTTTCAAAGAAGCAGAGGCATAAACTTTGCTTTTTACTCCACTCATCACATGCTTCAGCACTACTAATTATATGGGAAAAAATGGATCTCAACCAAAAAAATGTAGCCTACCTCAGCCTTAAGCTATAATAAAGAACACACAAGGCAGAAAGGAAATCTTATAACTGCCTTTATTTATGGCAATTTATATAGCCACCCTTTCAAAAACAATGCGGGATGATGCTAAAAAATAAACAATAAACAAACCTAATAATAGGACATAAAGCGGTTTTCACCAAAGGCAATTCAAAATTTGAAACAGCCATCCCAGATAGCTCTACTAATCCCCCTGACCTAATACCTGGGGATGCTATTACACAGGGTAAACCAGTTTGAGAAAAGGCATGTTAGGTATGAATGACCAGACCACATATGTAGAGTATAAACTAGCTATTTTATTGTTCTATGCTAATTTCACAGGAAACTTACCAGGCTGGCAGCTTCCCCCCCAGGAAAGACAAGATAAACTCCAACAACATTCAAGAAATCAGGCCTTGCCCTCTTGTGTTTACTTAACGACTCCAGACTAATTCCCAGCTTGACCTTTCCTGACTAAGATGGTTGCTCTCCAACAGCTTCCCAAACCTGTGTATATTACGCAAAAATTGGGTAAAAGTGGTTTTTCTTTTGGTAATGACACACAAACCCATTACCCAATCACAACTGGAACATTTATATAAGGACTTTCTGATAGACAGTTTTGGATAACAAAAGAAAAGGTTTGGGAAGCATTAGTTTAAGAGATGGGTCCTGAAGCATGGAACCCTACCAGATCATATTGAGAAGCAAATACCCTGTTTCCCCCAAAATAATACATCTCCTGATAATAAGCCCAATCGGGCTTTTGAACGCATGGCAATAAGGCCAAGCGCTTATTTCAGGGTTCAAAAAAATATAAGACGGTCTTATTTTCGGGGAAACACGGTATAATTGGAGAGAGGTAATCCCATAAAAAAAACAGTATTTCTAATGCCCTTTTCCTTTTTTTTCACAGATTGGATTTGTCCTTTACCCTCCAAATGGACATACAGAATGGAACCAAATGGATCACAATAACATGATGTTTCTGACCATGTGCTATTGCTGGCATTATGCAATTACACTTCTTATCATGGCAGTCAATTATACTCTAGTCAGCTGGTAAGTAGATATTATTGGTATTTTAAAGAGCTCCACTAAAATGTCAAGAATTTCTCATTTTATTCAAAATCTCCACACATTCAAAAATAGGTCCTCCAAAGGGATAGGAATGAAAAATTATAGCCATCTACGGATCAAATGGCATTCAGCCTATAACTTTTGAAATATATAATTGTTCCTTGATGCTTGCATACAAATTGCAAACAAATTGTGTATGTAGTTGTATACATAATATAAAAACTGTTTATATTTGTGCTTGGAAGAATGTCAACTCTTTAATTTCTTCCTAAAATTCTTTTAGTTAGCTTATTTATTTTGAGATGTAATCCTATGTAATCCTTCAGCACAGCACACAGGTTTAGAAGAACTTACTATATAAAACTAAGGAAGGCAAAGCTTTTGATTATGCCTATTATTTTTGTTGTTTTATAATTTATACATCCATATAAATATGTATACTGATTAATTTCTTGGCCACACAGTAATATAATAAGAGGAACTTTGGAAAAAGAAGTAAATATTGGAAAAATAGATGGAATATTAGAGTTGGTTTTTGCATTCAATGTGCCATCTCATATAAAAATAACTATCCTCTACTTCACTGATTAGCTTAGAATGTGTGATGATTTAGCATGAATTGTTCTTGTAATTTTTCTTCTCCAGGGTGGTTCGTACCAAAATAATGCAAGTTCCATCCATGGAAATTGGATTACTGAAAACATCTGAGCGAGAACAGGAGTCAGAAGATGAAATTTAATTTCTACCGAAACATTTTCTTATAGTTCACTTTCTATTTTAGTATTTCTAGTGCCTGGTGATTCTATTCCCCTCCCCCCATTATTTAGTCTTACAAAATTTAGACCTTAATTTATGAAAATTTCATTACAGCACTGTTTTTCTCAATTGAAGTAGAAACATGGCATTATAGCAGTAGCATGTCAAATGAGAATCAGTTCTGGCCATTAACAAATGGTGGATCCACTCTTTCATTGTTCTTGGGTAAACTGGGAAAATTTCACATATTTTTCAAAAGCCAGATGCAATCGTAATGTAGCAGAAAAATGGACATATATTAAAATAGTAAAATGGATCAATTATACATTAAAACTATTTATAAACATAAAGAATTTCTAGGATAGATTTCAAATTTATATTTGTAAATGTATTACTTTATTTGTTTTTTATTTTTGTAATTATTTATTATCAAAAAATACAAAAAGCCAAACATTTTGTTTCAGCAAAAAGTGATTTTCCAAAATTACTGTGTATATTACTTTACATATGAGAATTACCTGCAGCAGAGTTGGCTTATTTTTATAAAAAGAAGAAGAAAACTATGAAGTCAAAGTATATTTCAGATTATTTCTATACTTTGAATTCATTCAGTGCAAAGAAAACCCATGCCATGTTTCAAATCTCTGTTTTGCACTGAAGCTTATGCAAACCTTGGAGAAGAGATTGACTGGGTTCGCACATTATGAAGTACCTTTCTCCAAGTCATTAAAGTATCTACGTGAGGGCACTTGTGATGTGCATGTGTATGTGTCCAAAAAGTCACGATCAGTCTGTGACCATGCAATAGCAGCCCAGCCCTTCTTTTGTGGGTATCACAGAAAGTTTTGCTGCATACAGACTGAGAACTTATGAATCATTGTCAGATAGGATCACAGCTGGTATTTCTGCTAAAATGAAGATTAGCATAGCTTTATAAAACATGAAGAGGATTTGCCTGCAGACAGTGTGTTTTTGACAAGTAAACCAATAATTGTTATTTGTAAACAAATCCCCCCCCCCTTTTGTCCTTATGCTAACATATCTTTACAGTGTTGCAGGAATGGCAAACATATTTAGAATGCTGGTGGCAATGGCAATGGCACTTAGACTTATATACCGACTCTGTAAACTGCTTGGTATACAGAGTCAGCATATTGCCCCCAACAGTCTGGCTCCTCATTTTACCCACCTCGGAAGGATAGAAGGCTGAGTCAACCTTGAGCCTGGTGAGATTTGAACTGCCAAATTGCAGGTAGCCGGCAATCAGCAGAAGTAGCCTGCAGTATTGCACTCTAACCACTGCACCACCATGGCCCCTGCCCTCTGGAAGATACTCCCATTGGAGGTGAGGTTCACCCATTCCTGGCATTCAAGGAGCCTAAAAATTTGATTCTGCTGCCTGATCTGGGTTTTTCAACAGGGGCCTTCTATGTTGGGGATGGCTGATTGGTTAGAGAAGATCACCCCCAGGCCACCCATTCTCATGTTATTTTAACTTTTAATCTCTTTTCAGTTTTTCTAATTTCATTCATTCATTCATTCATTCATTCATTCATTCATTCATTCATTCACTTTCTGTAGCCACCCATTTCAGTTAATGATTCTGAGATACTTGGCCAGTTAGCAGTACAGCCAGGAAACAGGTTCCTTGACACATTCAGCACCCCAGGCTTGGGAATATCATCTGTGCATATTGTGAGAGGGACTCTTTGGAAGAATTCTATTCATCTGAAGTAATATGGCATGAAACAATACTCAGGAAAGACTACAAGATACGTGCCTTTAGTTTTAACTTAAAGTACATACTCAGGTTAGAATATCTAATTTGAGATAAAACATTAAGAATGTTAACATAATTAAAATATTTTATGTGTCTCTTCAACAATTATACATTTGAAGAACTCTCTAGTTTTATTTGTATATGGAATACAAAAATGGCCATATTAATTGCCGTTTGAAATGCACTCAATATTTGTTTTAAAACAATTTTTCTTATTCAGGAGTAAGGAGAATCCTCTAAGCTATTCACAGATGGTTCAAGTCCTTTAAATTTATTAATAGTTATTGGGTTTTAACAATACTGCAATGTATTATAGTGTGTGTTGAAATAAAAAGTTTTAGTTTATTTTGAAATAAGTACAAATGAATGTAATGAGCTACTTTTTATTCTAGAATCTATAGACCAATCTACTTAATATGCTTGCTCTAAAAATCTAATATTACGACCTTTGGAAACAGCTGGTCATTTGTTGCTCAAGTGAGAATTCTGGGTTGATTAGTTATATCTTTGTTTTCTTGACTATTTCACTGCTTATCATCTCCCTCATACAATGGTCATATATCAATGGGGTCAGTTATGTCAGAACAGGAGTTTAACATAGCTAGACGTGGTCGTATCTGGAAGACATAGCTGCTATCTGTTTCAAATTCAGTGTTCTGAAATCTCAGTACTCAGGCATTAGGCTAAAGAAAAGCATTGAAGATATATTTCCTTTGTTTTCTTCCATAGCAGCTCCCTGCCAGGTAAGCATCACTGAAGACATTCATTAATACAGTAAAGAGAATGTTGTTATTCTAGAGATTCTATTATATTAAGGCTTTTTATATGGTTCCAAGTATCCTGCTTTTTATAACTTTTGTCTTTTAGACTTTTAGCTGGAGAAAGTAATTGATTGCAGCTTTGACATTTAGCCCAGTCCCAATAACAATATTAATATTTAATATGGAATTTGACTCTCTTAGACTTGGAAACACTGATCAAAAGAATCTGGCAGGCTTATCCTAAACATTCTAATACATGATATATGTAGCTCAGTAAGGACTTTTCATTGTGTCTTCTGACTGCTAATTGGTGTTCGTGGATGTTGCCTGCTAGTCTTCTGCCTATATGTCCTACATAGTGGCTGCTATTGTCCTTACACTATATGTTATAGATGACTCCTACCTTTTGATCTTGGACTACTGGATCTTTTGGTTACTTAAGATGTTTTGGAGAATTAAATTGATTTGAAAAGTCCTTAATGCCACAACATATAGACAGCCGACAAACTGTGAGCATCTTAGACCAAACTAACTAACTAAATAAAGCCACTAGGAAATTTCTGGAAACTTGGCATTTAGACAAATCAGCTATCCATAGACACATAAGATAAATGACATTTTCACACACCAAAGAGACAATTAAAAAAGCTCACAAGGAAATCAAAAGACCAGACACATTATCTTTAGCAGCCTGCACTCAGATAAGCAGGGCTTAACACCAAACAAGCAGAAAACAATACCCTACCAAGGAACTACCAAGAGCAAAGTCACCTTGGAGAATAAGTCCTCTGCTGTAATTATTGCTTCATTAAAAACTTTATTTGCATGGCATGGGATTTCAATTGAACTTGTTTGTGACCAAGTTCGATTTTGCAAGTCAAGCAGTGCAGAAATTTAGATATAAGTGGGGCGTAAAGATAATATAGTGTGAAGGATAAACAGAGGATAGTTCAAACAGTGAAAGAGATACTAAATAAAACCAAACCTCTTAAGAATGACATTGGGCCATATCTTGCACTATTTGCCTGGAGGAATAAATTAAGGACAGAGGTTCTTTTAATTTCTTTGCAACGGTTAATGGGAAAGTCATTAGAAAGTATGCCCACAGTGCCCACTCATTTGGCTCCTAAAATACACTCTTTTAGACTCACTGCACTATCCCCCAGTGCAGCAATATGACAAAAGTATACATTATTTTTCACCATAGAAGCCTGGTGAACAAGTTAGATTTCAGATAGACAACAAATGGATTCCAGTTTCTAATGTTTAAAAAGAAAGAACAGCCTCTTATGTTGAAGAACCTCATCAAAAGAGGAAATATCAAAACAGCTATTGCTATATGACTTACACTAGTGGGCTGGCTCCCTTTCCTGAAATTAACACAGAAGGCCTAGAGCAGGGGTGTCAAACTGGATTTTTTTCGATACTCTGCCAGCCAAAACAGGGCACAGGGGACCGCACTGTGCCCCGTTTTCAGCCTGAACGGTCTCCTGCAGCACTTAAATCACAAAATAGGGGTGCAGAGAAGACATGCATGGGGCCCCCGTGCCTTATTTTCACCCTCCATGGCCTCCTGCAGCATTCTGCTGGCCAAAAACGAGCGACGCGGAGGCCTTCTGAGGCTTCCGTGCGGCCTGTTTTAGGCCTCCCCGGCCTCCAGCAGCACTTTGCAGGCCTCCAGCAGCACTCTGCTGGCCAAAAATGGGCCCTATTTTTTGGCCGGCAGAGTGCTGCTGAAGGCTGGGGAGACTGAAAAGGAGCCACACAGAGTGCTGCTGGAGGCCGGGGAGGCCGGAAAGGAGCCACACAGGGGGCCGCACACAGCCCATTTTGGCCAGCAGAGGCACCTTTGATATTTCCAGGCCAGCCCCATGGGCCAGATTTAAGTACTTTAGTTTGACACCCCTGGCCTAGAGGATTTAAACTAAGACATGTTGCATGCAGGAAATTAACAGCAAATGCAGCTCATGTAATTCCTGTACAGACACAAAGTTGTAATTCTTTAAAAAAGATGTGGCATAAAGGCATTGTGTCTTTAAGGAAAGTAGTCAGCAGATGCCTGATAGATGCCTGATAGACAACTGCCCTTAATGACTTGAATCTATGCTATATAGCCCAGGGGTTTCAAAAACAAGGCCCAGATCCGGCTCGCAGGATGCTTACATCTGGCCTGCAGGGCTGCCCTGGAAACAGCAAGGGACCGGCCCGCAGTGCCTCTGCCAGCAAAAACAGCTTCTATTTTCACTGGCAGAGGGTTGCAGGAGGCCATAGCAGCCAAAAACAGAGCTTGCGAGGGCCACAGGCAGCCCTCCCAACTCTGTTTTCACTGGCAGAGGGTTGCAGGAGGCTGTAGCAGCCAAAAACAGAGCTTGCGAGGGCCACAGGCAGCCCTCCCAAGCTCTGTTTTCACTGGCAGAGGGTTGCAGGAGGCTGTAGCAGCCAAAAACAGAGCCTTGCGAGGGCCACAGGCAGCCCTCCCAAGCTCTGTTTTCACTGGCAAAGGGTTGCAGGAAGCCGTTGCAGCCAAAAACAGAGCTCAGAAGCCCATTTTCGCTGGGAGATCACTTGGGCTACCACAGGCGCCCCCGACACCAGTGACATCAAGCTGGCCACGCCCACCCTGGCCCTGTCCCCCCTGTCCCCCTGAAGTCAAACATAACTGTGATGTAGCCCTCGATGAAATGGAATTTGACACCCCTGTTATAGCCATTGGGTACTCTGGAAGCCTGGATCCAGTTCATATAATATAATATGGGATCTTGTTTAGAATATTAATTATTCTAATTATTATTTATTTAGATATTTAATACCTAATAAACAATAATAATTTAATATTTAAATAGACAAAGCAAATAATTTGCTATTTCCTAAAAAATTGGATTTTGCTTAGAAAGAACAAATATTTTTACTAGAAATGAAATTTTATAAAAGCATGATCTAAAGTAGCCTTTATAGGCAGTAGCCGAATGTGCTGAACAGACGAAACTATTGCCAAAAAAGCTAATGCTTTTGCAGCATCAACAAAGAGATAGCGCCAGGACAATGAGAAGTGATAGTATCACTTTACACTGCACTAGTGAGACCACACTTAGAATATTACATCCAATTCTACTCACCATGATACAAAAAAGATGTTGAGACCCTGGAAAGTGTTCAGAGAAGATTAGAAAGGATCAGAAGGCTGAATCATACGACGAACGGTTGAGGGTGCTAAGTATGCCTAGCTTATTGAAGAGAAGGATTGGAGAGGACATAATAATTGTCTTCCAGTACTTGGGTGGACTTCCCAAAGAAAAGAGGATTGACGTATTCTCTAAGGTGCCAGAGAGCAGGACAAGAAGTAATGGGTGGAAGCTTGTTAAAGAAAGATTCCAGTTAGAAGTAAGGAAGAATTTTCTGACAGTGAGAACAATTAATCAATGGAATAGCTTGTCTCCTGAGGTTGTGTTGTGGGTGCTCTATCACTGAAGGTTTTCAAAAATAAGCTGAATTTAACTGGAAAGCTATAAAGCTCCTGCTTTGAGCAGAGGTTTGAACTAGAAGACCTCCAAATTCTCTTCCAGCTCTATGATTCTATGACTAATGCTGTCCAGACATTCACTGATGCCCTTTCTAAATATTGTAGCAACTACAATTCCCTAGTGGGATCCAAATCTGCTCAAAATAGCAATTATTAATAGTAACAATAGTAAATATTATTACAATTATTTATTATAGCAATAAAGAAAATAAAAAACTATATTTGTAACTTTTCCCATAGTATACTAAATTGCCTGAATGATATTCTAATATCAGAAAACCATAATTCAACACTGAAACAGCCATTTAGTGTCATTATCCATTAATAAAATGTCACTACTAAAAAGGCCTTTGCCCAACTAGCCATCAACCTTGCTCCATTTAGCAAGACACTGGAAGTATAGTCTCAGGTTGCTCTTGCATAAGTATCCAGTCCATCAACATTTTTAGGGATTTATCCCTTTTAACAAATCGTCTCTGGCAATCCTCTCTAGAAAAACAAGAAGAAACTTGAGAAGGAATACTTGTCTTATGATCAGATTCAACAGTCTTACCCAATTCAGTTCCTTCCTGATTTGTTGAATTTCAGCTACTGGTGATTTTGATGATTAGAAAAGGTAGCAAATGAAAGAAGGAAATTATGATGTAACCTTAGAGAGGGGGGGTTAAATATACAGTAAATGTACGTATAGCTGTTCTAAGAAGATTGGAAGCTCTCTTCCTTTCCCCTCCGGTCCCCTCCTGTCCTCTCCCCTCCCTTTGATTAATTTCCTTTTTTACTTTCTTTTCACTTTTCTCTATCTTTTTATAATTTTGAATTTATTCGTTTTATTCTATTGAAAACCTCTTTAATAAAAATTCTAACATCTATCCATCCATCCATCCTATCAAAATAATTTATAGGTCAAACATATTTAGACTATAGGACCCATCTTATAGACATGCCTGACTTTTATAATCACCATTTAAAAACCATTAATACCGTTTTACACCTGTAGTTTTTCACTTCTCAACAGTGATTGTATTTCTCCAAGCAGTGTTTTCACGCAAAGCAATAAAATAATCATTTTAGAAGGCAAGTAA